GGCCTCGCCAAATTTGATGTTTGAATTATCTCTCTTTGTTCGGACGCAACGACTCGGCGCCTACGCACATGCGATGCATTAGCGGCATAATTAAGATTCGCATTAACCGGGGCAGCTGCGCGTTTCGCCGGAGAGATCGAACGATCGCCGAGAAACAGCAATTGAAATCGCGGCTCTCGATTTTCCTATTTGCAGAGGCGTACAGTTGAAACAAAAAGAAAAATGCCCCGACATAAAATTGGAAACTGTCACTTTTCCAGCGAACGCGCCGGAAAAGTGTGCGCCGACGAAAGTGGAGGAGCGCGCCCGCGCGCTCGATCAAGCGTCGTCGAGCGCCAAATATCGCAAATAAAAAAGCTCGCCTTTATCAACCGAAACCCGATTTTTTCCGGCTCGCTAACTATTGCCACGAGCCTATTTAAAGATTCGCTCGGGAAATAAAAACACGCGCGCGATCTGGCGAGCCGTGCAAATATGATTCGACTATGCCAGCGAATGAATTTTTTTTTCGAGGGTTACTCGAAATGATACGAAATGATCGGCGATTTTTTTTTTCCTGTTTTACCCGTCATTTGCGACGGTAAAGGCAGGATTTATTTGTGATTCGAAGATATCGATTGCGCGCGCAAACACGCGATGTTAAAGAATCGACAGCATGCGTCGCGCGTAAATAACCCCGCTAGTTTTCATACACGGAATACTCGGAATTTCACAAATCGAAAATGCTTTCGAGCCAATAATCCGTTTTTTTCTCTCTCTTTTATTCGACAGAAATGAAATGACGAGTGGTCATTCTTTATACGCGTATAGAGGCGGAGAGAATGAAACCGTACGATTAACTAATTGCGATTTTCAATTTGACGCTCGACCGATTGCCTGGAATGCGTGCAGCTCTTGTTCGAACAACGCGCTGTGAGCCATCGCTACGGCCTCACCGGTAAATTGATACTTTTATTCATTACTCGCTTAGTGGGTTCCGATAGCATTGTTAACCTGCACGCGCGCTTTTTCGACACTTTTGTCAGATCGCGAAATTTTAATCCCTTTTTTGCAAATAAACGAACAATGAGATTGTTGCTGAAATTTCGAACTATATTCTCATTTTCAATTGTTTTCGTAGACGCTGCGACTGCCGTAAACTAAACGCGTCTTCAAAACGAAAAGTCACATTCGCGAGTAATTTAACTGCGAACGCTGTTTAAAATTACAACTGGACGGAAATTTGCAGTGCGCGCCGAAAATCAGTGCAAACGTCGACGCTCTCATCATCAAAAATGAAACTGACATCTTTTCAAGGAAATCGTCAAAAATTAATGAACACGCGCAGCGTATCTGAAATGAAATAAACGAATGACAGAGAGATGCGCACACAGAGGTACGCGCGCATACACAGAAGAGTGGCGATCAAGCGTGTAATGGACAGTGGTCAATTACCAGTGGCGAGACTACACGCGCGCGCGCGCCCACACACACAAACACACGTGACGCGCCTGAAATTGAAGTTTTTGTTTCCAATATCAATTCGACGCTTTTAATTGGACGAACGGCCAGCAGCGGACTGCGCAAATATTGCACGCGGACCGCACACTATCACCGCCGGCTTTTTAGGCGTTATAGCGATGCGCTCGATTTGACGGAATCGTATTACTCTGTGCTTTTTCGACCTTTTCCGTTTCCTTTCTTTCGCCGATCGCGTCGGTATATGCCGAATTGCCGTACACCTGCTCACCGCGCGGTTTTTTTCTTTGCCTCTTTTTTTCTTCCTTTCTTAATTTTTTTTTTTTTTTTTTTTTTTGCAGTTGTTCGTCGAGTTAAGACGACGGAGCATTGCTAGCAGCGAGAGCATCTCTGGAGAATCCAAAGAGGCAGTAAGTTTCCGCGATGGATCGACGCGCAGATACACTGCTCCCGAAGGACGTCGAGTTCCCAATTAAGCGTCTTATGTGCCTGCGATTTGCTTCGGTAAACTCGCTACTTACACATCTCGATCACCACAGTGCTAAAAAAAAAAAAAGAAAAAAAAACAGAAACGTGACGACTCCGCATCCGCAGTTGCCTTAATTCTTCCGACGCTGAAAGATTGGCGCGGCGGGAAATAAAGCGAGAGCGCGAGCAAAAATAGAATGGAGATGGATTTGCTCTTACCTCTCGCAGACGAAAAAACGAATTACCGCGCGCCCGAGAGCGGGCAAATATTGGCGGCCGATATTAGGCGCGAGAGAGAGAGAGCGACGCAAAAATATGGTTCTGCCGAGCGAGCGCGCGTGTGTGCACCTGGATGTCGGCCGAAAGAAAACTTGCCAAGTTATGAGATCCGATAGGCAAATATTGATTTGCACTCGCGAAATCGAATGTGGGGGGGAGGGGAGGTCGTTTTTGCGGCGAACGTCTCAAGCGCGAGAGAAACGAAACTCGAGGGCGGAGGGGGATAATTAGCGAACGGTCAAGAAAAGGCTTCGCGGCGGATTGTTTTCGAGCGGCATCAACATCCATCTTGGCGCGGGCAAAAAGAGGCGGCGGAAGAAGAGCAAACCACGCGCGCGAGCTTTCCGTTGGCGCGTCGGGCGCCACTAACGAAAATGACTTCCATAAAGCTTTTAACCGAGGCCAGCGGCGGCAAAAAAAAGGCGCTTAGGCGGAAGACCGAGCGAGAGAGAAACGCGATTATACGTCCGAACGTGAAGCAGCAGCAGCTCCGTCTTCGTTGCAAGGAAGAAAGCGAGTCGGGTGTTAAGACGCCTGACAGTTGTATAAGGATAAAGCCGCTCATGCTGAGTGCTTTTATTTGTCACGAAAGTAAGAGAGAAAGAGAAAGCTCGAGCGCGCCGCGTGCCATTACTTCAAATCGATTCACTTTTGTTTGTTGACTCCATTAGGGAAGACCGAAGCTTTTTCCACTTCGGCCTGCCTTTTCACTTTTTCGTTCTTTCCTTGCCTCTTGCTACTGCGCGCTCGCACTCTCTCTCTCTCTCTCTCTCTCCCTCCCTCTCTCTTTCTCTTGCTGTGCTTCTTGATGCATGCCAATTTCATCTTTTCGTCAGTTGAGCTTGCAATGTTATTTTCGTAATTCTAAATAATGCAATTGACAAATCAAGTCACTTGGTAGACTATTACTTACTTTGCCACGACGACGAGTACATCATCAATATTTAAAAAGAACGATATTTTTTGACGTATCATGCTAACTAAATTTAAATTTTTTATTATCATATAACAAATAATGCTTACTATAGATTGTGGAATTTCTAGTTAAAAAGCTTCGTCCATTGCTAACTAATTTTTAATAAGCAATATTAATAACGATTTGGCATCAAATGATGAAATATGGCAGGATCAAAGATAAATAATTATCACCATAATCATATTCGTTTTACAAAAATTTTGAAGACTACAAAACTTGTAACAATTGTAACTTGGAAAATACAAGAACATTCAGTGAAGCACCTTGCAGTAGACCTTTACAAGAACTGCCAGGCAAAGAATAAATTCAGCAATGGGGCTTGTCTACTTTCGATTTGTAGTTTTATTATTGATACTAGTTGCGCCATCAACAGTTTTATGAGCGCACAGTTCGAACGCGCTGATATCGGTAATGTCACTCCCTTCACCAAACATCATTGCAATCTCAATAAACACGGTTTAGACAGAAATAGAAATAGCGTCATTGTCCGGATGGTTATGCATTGTCTACGCGAGTGAATATTGTTTATGACAATTAATATTCTCGCTCGAACAAATGTTCAAGATCGCGACTGTTTAGATAGTTTATTTGTGGGGCAATGATGGTCGAAAATTTGAAAGATGATCAGAAGTACGGTAATTTCAAGTTTTTGTAAATGCCTAGCTTCAAAAATGTGCTCTTCTATTTGATTTGAAATGCATCGGAGCCTACTCAGGCAAGTTGTGTTGCGAAGAAAGCGTACTTACACTTTGATTTGACGATTCAAGAAACGTTAATGACTTGAAAATCGACATCAAATTCATAGACAGAGTTTATGGTATCCGCCAGAGTCGGGATGACTAACGATTATCGCGAATTTTGAGGAAGGTCTATACACTTAAAAATGGTTCAGCGCGCTTATTCAGTTGCTCGCTTGCTACGCGTGAAAACCAGTAAACATGAAATAAAGCGTATTCTAGTCTATATACTTGTCATTAACGTCGACACTTCAACGAAAGTTGCAGCATCATTGTACTTCTGCGTATAACAGAATGATGCAATGTACTTATCCCATAATCATTAATTCCTTTGACATCTCAATCAAATTTTTTCTACTATTTTTAATCAGGACCCAGCCCAACACTCAAGCTATTACACTTGCGACGTTTTTATTATTAAACGCTTGTTTTATTTTACGATATTAAGTCGGACTTCCAACAAAGAATAGTTTGTCGAAAAATTGATCGATGCTGGCTGCTGGGCTCTTCATGATATACATTGTAAGTGATGGAGATGTTCCTGAAACGCGGATTTGATGTCAATGAAAAGCGTCGCAAGCGTAACATCTAGCGCGTCGGACTGGGTCTTGATTAAAAATGGTAGAAAAAAATCGGTTAAGGTCAAAAGTTGAAGCGAGACTCGCTTAAAATCTATGTCTAGACAAGATATTACGCTTCCATCGATTTAATTTGCCAGCTTCATTAATACGCTATACATTTTCAAAGAAAGTAGCAGCATTCCCTAATCAATGATATTCCAACAGTTGCTTGCTCTGGAGTTTTTACGCAGTGTTTGTACAAGTAGTCTGTGGTTGTAACCGTCGTCAATACAGACATGAATAAAGAAAATTGATTCCTTCGAACAGAGTTTTTAAAGAGATTAATCGTTTGAAGCCGCATTGTAGCGTTAAAATCGTCACTAACGAAATATAGCAAAGATTATACGGCAGAAACAGTATTTCTCGGCAGATATTATTGTAACTCATAAATATAACGGCTTTTAAACGTTTATGGTTCACTGAAGGGTAAATAAATAAAACATGCAGTACACTTACGTCTTAATTACCTTAATTTATTGATAAAAATATTAATTCAATAATAGTAAATCGCAAACGCTAGCGAATACTAACAATGTGATTTTCATTTTTACCAATGCACAATTTTCATCGATTTGAAAACTTTTTAACTGAAGACTTCAAAGGAATTAACAAATAAAATATTAACGTAATTCCAATAGTAACTGATGTTACAATAAACATAACTCTATACAATATAACCATAATCATAATTGTATCAAGACAATAAAAAAAGTAATGACGGCATCATTCTTCCGAACTTATAATTAATTCAAGTTTGAAGAAACGCATGATTTAAATCTTTCAAGTATTACGGAAATATTTGTAGTTTACCTATTCCATTCGTTGAAATACAAAACAATTTACACTCTCATGCCTTAGTTTATAAAACTCACAAAACGTAGGCGTTGGCATGATTGGTTATTAAATACATTTAAGTATAAAAAGACAGGTAACGGTCTAAAGTATGTTCATCTATAATTGTCAACTTTCTTACAACTAAATAGTTGATATTTACACATGAGACAATTTTTGCTTCAAACCGATTGCGATCATTTTGTTACTTCACTGAACTCACATTTTTGTTTGCGATTGTAAACAAATTATTTACTTTGCTTATTTGCCTCGGCAGGCAGTTACGACTTCCTGGATCAATTTCACGTAGTAGGACTAACTTTTAAACTATTAAGGCAGTATGGCATTACGATTTCACTTCAATTTTATAAAATAAAATTTTTTTTAATAAAAACGGAAACAATAGGGAAATCACATCTAATGTGACTCAATTTTAATTCTTTCAATTACAAAACTTTGTATAATTTTTAATCTAAATACTAAAAATGTTCATCGACATTTTTTTATCATAATTTTCTTGCAATGTAATTAATTACTTTGTACTAAAATAATTCACGATTTCACATTGAGCTATTATAAAGAAAGATCAGGCAACTTTGAATAATATACTGTAATTTGATAAATAGCAACTTTTACGTAATAAAATAGTTATAAAAATTATTTTTATAACAAAAATGCAGCTACATAAAATCATGACATTTTATTTACAATAACTGTTTTACGAATTTAGTCATAAGATTTTCAAAATAAGTGTGCCTGTAACTTTGTCGCTTAGATATGTGCGTAAAGGTATTCAAATTTGAAAAAACAATGAATAGTGAAATGATTACGGCTTTATAAAGTTGTATGACGATCGATATTTTCAGTATAAGTTATGAAATTAATTTAAACATCCTAATAAGTATCAACAAAAGCTGTAACTATTCTAGCAATAGCCAACTATATATTAAATTAATTTATTTGATTCAATTCAAATATTTAAAAATCATTTTAAATTTGACGAAAAATCAAAAATTTTCTAGCCTGAACACGTAGCAATCATGCGGAATGTATGTCATACAAAGGTTTAGCTTTACATAGTCAAAGGTTAAATTAATAAAAATCTATTCAATCGCGAACTTCGCACTTTTCAATTTCACATGAAAGTTGAACCGACTACTTCAGAATTATTAACTTTATATGCACATACAACTTTCACATCGCTTTGGTCGAAGCGCATGCATCATCTGTAAAATCTCACTAATATCATTCTGTACAAGTTATTGGAAAATCCAATCGAAGAGACCGGGAAATGTCAATTATTCTTTTCAGTTTTGATTGCAATCAATTATGTTACGCGGTACACATTGTCCATCTAGAATAAAGTCCCCACAACGAATTTTTCCAACTGGAAAGACAAAAAACGAACTCTTTGTAAAAAGTTCGATCGTTTCTCGGAAACAAACTTTCAGTCGGCCGTCACAATTGGCTCACTCTGCTCTGTTGGCTTTTCGACACTGGTGAAGTCTTGGCTCGTAGCGGCGTCAGACTTATTGTTAGGAACTGCTGTTTTCAGCTCTGGTCCAAGTGGCGCTGGCAGATGCGCTTCTTCCAGTTTCACGTGTTGTTGCTGTTCTCCGTACTCAATGTTTGTGTTCTCACCATCGGCGCCGTCATCACTTGAGCTGATATCTCGTCGTGGATCGTACTGGATAACAATTCGGTAACCGAACTCACCAGGGAAGACTGTGCTGAGGAAATCTCGATTGCCGACGTTGACAGATTGTTTTTGCTGCTGATGTTCTTTGGGTGCAGGTGACTGTCGGGCAACGTCGGTGGTATGATCTTCATTTTGTTTGGATGACGATGGAGTTGATTCAGGTGATTTGGCTGCAGTTTCAAGATCATCGTACGATGATTTTTCTTCTGTTGTAGCTGTTGATTTACATTCTGATGTAGATTCGGCTTCGAGTTCGGGTTGTGGTTCAAGTTCTGTTTCGGATGAGCAGATGGTGTTGAGCTCTGAACTTCCGGAAGAGACGTTAAATACCTAAAATGTGATGAGCGAATTAGTAACTAATTTAAAAAATTCGATTCCATGGTGTATTTCATAGTTTTCTATTTTGTAATTGGAATATTTAGTTATAATATGAAACAAGCGAAAGTAATATTAGAATTTACTAAACATTTTAAAAACGCCTGGTAAAGATAGATTACAATCAAATCGTACTTTAAAAGCGTAAACCTTTAAGGAAGTTTCAATATTTATTACTTCATTTTACTTTGTTATAGTATTGACTGCTAAATAATTATGTGTTATTATTGTTAAATGTGAGTTATGTGTATCAGTTTTGTAAAGGAAACCTTCAAGATTTCACAAAATCACGTGACCGCAACTGCGCGAATACTTCGACAGGCTTTAAATGATCTTGTCCATTTTTTTCGTGGGTGTTTTTTCTTATAAAAAAGACCGACTTTCTCATCTAGAAATTGAAAATTTTCAAGTTACTATTGCAAACCTACCATTCCAATAAATTTATAATTCATTTTTGCAGAACCCGTGGAACATATTAAAAAATATACTATGCAAGCATACCCGGTGCTCATAATGTAGTAATGAAAATTACTTCAGGTTCTTGCCGTGTAGGCTCTTCGACTCTCGGTTGTGGTTCCAAGTCGATGAGGTCTGGAACTCCGTGGGTGCTTTCGGACACAGTGTAGCCATCGGCAGAATTTTTGCTGGCAGCGTCGTTGGTTCGGTTATCGTGGTCGCTGCAGGTGACCTCGACAGTGACATAATTGCGGGGCTTAGTGGACGAGGGCTTGGCGGGCTCGGGCAAGATGATCCAGTCCACGGACGGGGGCGGCTCATTCGGAAATCGTCGTACATATGTATGTCGCTGATATTTATGTCGCTCGCTTGACGTACTTCTGGAAGTTCCATCAGGCCCTTCGTGGTGCAGTATGGATATTGATTGTTTTGAATGGATTGAGGTACCCGCATTACTTGATCGTCTACAAATACGAAAAAATAAATTAGAATGAATTGCCATTATTAATTATAGACTCTAAAAAAATCTTTCAAGTTATGATTATTAAAAAGATAGTTGTATTCCTGATATTGTAGTTGTTTTTTCTAAAATAATAGATGTTTTTACTGAATATATGTAATTTTTCGATTGAGTGTTAATATTTATTACTATTATAGGTTATCACAAGCACATATGCAGCATATCAGTACATAATAAATAGATCTCCCTGATTTCGTTTGAAGTAAGTTTCATTACTTGGAAAAACATATCATTTGATAGTTCAGCGTTGTACAATCGCATTGATTCTATTTTAACTTGCTAAGTAAAGTGTATTATTTGAAAAAAAAAATAATGAAAGTTTGCTCTTCATGATAATATTGAACTGTCAGTTTGGTCAAACAACGATCAAGAGAAAATGGTCAAAAAAATATATTTAAATAACCAGCTTAATTAAGCGACCTGAAATTAAATTAATGCAGTTGCGCAAAGTCAAACTATCGAATAAAAATTTTGTTTTTCCGCATTGTCGCACTTACTAGATACAAGTTCATCGAGAGGAATTTCCTACAGTTTGGTGTACTATATTTATGTGTAGAGACCTAAACTACAGTTAGAAGAAGAAAGCAATTCGAATAAACCTAATAAAAAAATGTTTGCATTAAAATACAGCAATGCATGATTCGTTGGCACATAATAAATATAATTTAGAAAATTATAATGTTCTGTTCAAGTGAAAACGTTAAAACTAGTTAAAGTATCGCTAAGAGTATACCAATGCCAAACGCATCCACACATTACTGAGAAAAACTGTTTTATCGACTTTACTTTGAAGCCAGCCGAGAAGGCGGCGTTGGCAAAGCAATATGTAGGTGGAGGCAGTTTCACTGTGTCTGTTCAATAAAACATTTCTACGGATTTTTTTTTTGTTCGAGCGATTCTTCCAGAAAACCTCGATTGCGTGCCGTTTACGCTCTCAATGGCAGCACACCAAGCATTTTCGTGACGAGGTGAGCTAAACACGCTACACTAGGTACACAATGTACATGTCTAGCAGACAAATTGACCAATTGAATTACGCATTACTACTGTGATAATGTACCGAGTAATTGAACATCGGGTAGCTTTATAATAGGAACGCCCAAAAAGTGACATGCTAACTTGATCTACGGTGAGGCGGAGGGACGGAGGAGGCGGGCATCGGCGGCAAACAATGTTGTGATTAAATTTCAACGAAGTTTAATTAGCGTTGAAAATTGTTCGCGGAGAGCGTTACGTTTGCGCGAGCGCACGTGTAAAATGAAAATACCTTGCGTGCAATCGACGAACCCACCTTTGTACGAGTCCCGAGGATTGGAGCGCCAGTCTTCGCCATTCGTTTCTCGATGCTGCTCCGGTGGTAACGCTAGTCTCGGGAAGTTGCCTGACAATTTCGGCCATGTCGTTGCCGAACCCAGAGTTGGATCCCTGCTCCGATAAATCATGCATCGATTAGCATTGTAATAGTAAAACCAGTCCAAATTGATATTTTAATTGTAACGCGATATTAGAAAGAACAATGTAAAAGTCCATTTGATTTTTCGTAGAAATCTGATAAGCGATATCTGTGCAAGCACATGACTTCAAATTATGTGGCTATTCCCGTCATACTCGAGGTACGTTAACAGTAATTAAAATTAGTATTCGATATATCATTATAATTAGGTCAGGTGCTTTTCCTATTATATGCAATACGAACTATTGAAACATGGACGCTTTGTTCTGGTTACTTTTACTTTTGTATCGATGAAAAACTTAATTAACTTGGGTAATTCGAAAATAATTAAATATAAGCTTATCTTCTTTACACGCTATGTATGACAACATTTCCATTAAAAAAGCTGACCTAATTACGAAAATTGTTATTTTATATCTCTTCAATAGTGAAAGGAGACTAGAAAAAAATTTTCATTCAAAAGCACGTTCGGTTATCTGGTAGTCGTATAAAATCCGTCGCATCACCTCTATTTTTATCGTTAAAAATCCTCCACAAAACCATTGATTCAAGAAGCTAGCTTAAAATTCTTTTACGAGTGCTACATTTTCGGCTTTCTCGAGTTTACTTGAATAATTAAAGGATATCAAATCCTCCGTCATCCCTTGGTTGCTTGCATATTTTTTTTCTTTTTAGGCAACTCTTCAGCTTTCAATCCGCTACATGTGTTATCCGCTCTTCCTCCAAACCCATCTACACGTAGCGATTACTACGCCTGCCGATGTATCGTAAAAATATGCTTTTTTTCTCCTCGCGGAAGCTCGAAGCAAAATAAAAAAAAAGCGTTATCACTGGTCTAACGAGTTTATTCGTTCTTTGAATTTACACTAGCTGAAAGTGATTTTAGTTTTTAGCATGAAACGTCACAGATTGACAGAAAGCACAAACGCATCTAATCCAAAGAAACGTTGAATGCTGCCGAACTAACGAAATTCATCAGGTAAACGATATAGCTAGGAGGAAAGTAAAGGTAGAACGAGTGTGCGAGCAAAGAACTTACGAAATTGGAATTGTCGTCATCATGTGATGCCGTTGCCGTTGAGGCGATAGTGACGGCAGAGCTGGTGATGGGTATGAGGAGGGTCGAGGAGGGCAGCTGCTGCTTGATGTCGAAGGCAGCGAGGGACTGCTGCTGCTGTTGCCTGGCCTGAGCTGCATCAGCCTTATAAAGTTCACCAAGCGCTTTATGCAACTCCGAGTTCTCTCCTCCTTTGCCGTGAGCTCGTGACGATTCACCTGCTGCTCCTATGTGTACACACATCATCTCATGTGCACAACGTTCCCAGCACCATTTTTCGTTTCTCGACTCGAGACGATTTTTATCAAACTTGTATACACCGTATATATAACTGGTTGTACAGGATGAACTATTTGTTTGTTGGAAACTTTTGTTCGATTTTTTTTATCGAATTTGGACAGTTTTCCGTAGGCACTTCCAACAAACACAGAGATACAGAGTTGTCAACAGACTTATGCAATACTTATAGCTAACTAAGATAACGATCTATCGATAATGACCCGCTTCAATTATTTCATTGAAAATATCTCTTTAGAACTCAATCTCTTTTACATGTTGATTACTTTCAAATATTCATTATGCAATATTACTCTCGGAATTCAACGGGCGCGCAAAGAAAAAAAAACTAGCTTGTTGTACAGAAGCAATATTGAGCTTGCAAGCAAAACAAGAGTAAATTTGAAGCCTACGTTCCCTCTAAGATGTACGATTTCGATACGCAGTTATCGACCATGCGATTGATTGTGCGATGTTTGACAGTATGGATGACAAGCGTTGCAATGGAGCTGTATTATTAATATTCATCGGGCATGCACACTATGCCGACGCAAATAAAAATCGAGAGAAAAAAGGTAATCATACTTTCAAATTGCATGTTTCTCAAACACCTAATGTACACGTACAAACCCACATATACATGTGTGTGTCTGCACGCGCACGCACACGCACACGCACACGCACACGCACACGCACACGCACACGCACACGCACACGCACACGCACACGCACACGCACACGCACACGCACACGCACACGCACACGCACACGCACACACACTCACACTCACGACGATGAGCTGTGCAAAAATTGAAGAAAAAAAACCGAGAGCGAGGCATTGACGTAAACTAAACGAACGAAAGAAAGCGTCGTTGTCGTTTCCCCCGGTGAAATGTAAATACCAGTAAGGCGCGCAATAAAGAGACGTTGATGCGGACGAAACAAAACAGAAGAATCGGAGAGGAGAGGTGGCTCGCAGGTGCGCGCGCGTAAATCATAGAAATAAAGATCAATGCGCAGACGTCGCGGCGACGCGCGGAGGCCAATCACGAACGAAACGCCTCGGGATAAACCACTTATCCGTTATTGCCGCTGCCATCTTTTCTATTTGTCGCGGAAACTTTGCGAGCGATATTAAAATGTAGAAGCGATCGCCGGAGAAGATGTCGTTTTTCGAAAGTAGTCGGTTATCTATAAAACAATAATTGGATTTATCATGGAAACGAACGTACGCGGGCTAATTGAAATAGTTGAAATTAAACTTCGCGGCAACAAACATTTTAAAACAAGCGAAAATCCATGTTAGCCGTGCAGTCATTAATTAAGCTTGGAGAAAAGTGCAAATAAAGAACACACACAGCCGGAACATTGTTATTACTTGAATCGACTCAGCGTTAGTGTCCATAAATCCGACGGGAGTATCATTCGTGATTAACTCCGTTTGCCGCCAAAGATAAACGTCCCTGATTTATTAATAAACGACCAAGTCATAAACGTAATATATTACAAGAGGTGAGAGAAGCATAAGGACAAACATATATGTAGAAAAGTTGGCCATTCCAAACAAGGGGTAAAAAAATGAAGATATATACACCAAGAAAAACATCCAAAAAAAAATCAAGTGAGCATCTTATCTACGACAGTGCAAAGTAAAAGAAAAGAACCAGATCGTGTCGTAGCACACGAACCTGCAAGGATTGGCTGATTAGCTGTGAGCGCTTTTCCAGTTCTGAGAGCTGGAATCTAAGGTCTGCGTTGCGCTCGCGCAATTTCTCTCTCTCCTCTGCAAGATATTTTCGCGTTTATTACGCCTCAACCTCTCTCTCTCTCTTTCTCTCTCATCTCCCCCGTCTCAACTCTCGCCGCCTCTTATCAACGTGAAGCGAAAAGTTCTGTTCACCAGAGAAGCAACAATGAGAATCTTTCTTTTCTTTCTCTCTGTCTTCAGAGGCTCCGCTCTAGTTTGGTTTATAAAAATGCATAATACATGGGACACAACAACAAATTACGTGGACGCGCGAAATATGTACAACTCGCTGTGACTCGCCTGCCCGCGCTCGATCATCGCCTCTACTCGTGCTTTCTTTTTACCGCGACGCTCCTCGGCTATTTGCTCGAATTTCCAAAGGTGGCCAGGTGCCTTTGCGCACGCTCGCACTCGGAGGCGAATTTCTCGCAAACGGCGAGCAGGTTACGCTCGGCAGAAACAAGCAAATAGGACAATGACGGGCGGGGCTTTAGGCGCCGATCAGGACGCTCGACTGGAATTGGAGGAAAGCGACGACAGGGAGCGACGATCTAACGCCGAAAGGATGCCTGCTACGTACCTTTGTCCCGGTACTCCTTTTTCACGTGCTTCACCTCGTGCCTGAGGATCTCGAGATCGTTGCCGGAGCCAATAGCCTTCACGGGGAAGCGGGTCACGCACTTCGGGCAGTGACTCGTCGACACCGGCGAGGTGGTGTGACAGGAGACGTGGAACTTGGCCGCGCACGCCTCGCACATCGTTAACGAGCCTGCAAGCGCGAGAGCATTGATAAACTTTGGGCTGCGCCTCGCGTGCCGCGAAACTTGTTGACTTGCTGCTAAGCCCGAGCCGACGCCCGCACGTAGCTCCGAACGATTTAATAATTGCATTGTCACGGCGCGAGTAGACTCGTCTCTGCAGCCAACCATTGTCATCTGGACGTTCAGCTCGATCGATCGATCGAATCAACACGGAAAAGACTCGAAAACCTTCGCGAAGATTGCTCGTGCGTTCGGTGGGCCGCGGGTAAATCATTGCGCCCAGTACCAAGCCCGACAGTATCGTCGAATCGCGAACGTCGGAGCCGCTTGTGCTCCCGCGTTATTTGGCCGTTCAACCGGATCCTCGGCAGCGCGCGGCACACATAGCCAATCGCGAGAACGAAGCATTTTCACGGTGTTCGTTATCCGCGAGCCCGGCTGCAAAAGAGCAACGAACTGGAGCGAAAGGCTTACCTGGGTTTCGACAGGAGACGCAAACGGTCGAATCCTTGTCGATCCATTCAACGGTGAGGCTGGATGGGAGCCCAGGTATGTGCACGGTCTTGCCAGTCGACGAGATCTTCATCGTGCCGTTGCCATTGTCAGTCTTCTGTTTGATCGAGAATTCCTTGTGCTTGGTGACCTCGCCGTTGCGCATCACGCTGCCGCCAGTCGCTGCGGCAGTTTTCGCGGGTTGGATCAGCGGTTTGCTGCTGGTGCTCTGCTTGCTCGAGCCGCTGCCACGGCCGGTGGATTTGGTCGTCGGCGTCGGCGACGGGCCGTTCAGCCGGGCCGTCGTCTGTCGAGTCTGCGGCGCATTGCCGGACTGCAGGTACGCGTATCGCTTGCGCTTCTGCTGCGGGCGAAAAGGAAAGGGGATTAAAGGTCAACGAGGGAGGCAGTGCACCGCCCTATCGAGTATGCATCCGGCGCGATCGCGTGTAAATCAAGCTGAGACTCGCGCGAGGCGAGGCAAGCGTCTGAGAGCGATACGCGTGCTCTTATTTGCGCTTCCTCGTTGAAACTCGAAACAACCGTGACAGGGATTGGCTTCATGAAACCGTCGCCCGCGTCCGATCGATTGAATTTCAACGGGTGAACAATTAAAGCTCCGCGGGCCGACTGCAATGAGCTCTTCGACCTCGGCAATGTCACTCGCCGACAATGTACTTTTTAATAAAAAACAAAGAGAGAAAGAGAGAGAGAGAGAGAGAGAGAGCAGCTACGTACCGGTGGCTGAGGTGCACTGTAGAGAAATTGCGAGCGCACGTTGCTGCGTCGCTTGCGTTGGTTCCTGCGCCGCTCGATCTCGCCGAGTCGCTCGTGGCTTATCAGTCCGATGCGACCCAAGAAGCACTTCTTGTTCTCAGCCTCGACTGCCAGAGATGCTCCGGGCGTCTCCTCCTCGCTCAACGCTTCCGGGCTGCATTCCGCCTCCTCGTCTGCCGAGCCTGACGTCGACGCTTCTCGGCCTTGTCTGCACGTCAAATCAATTGTTTATTTGTCATTGCCTCGTTACATTTCCGTCTTCGATAGTTTTCCGAGTGTAATGTATTATACTTATAATTAGATAGTGTCTGATAACTATTCATACAAGTTGCAAGTAATTCGTTACGGTGTTTACACTGCATGGATTGTACGTCGGTTCCCACAATTCCGGGTACGAAAGTTTTCTTATGAATAAGCGAATTAGTTTTGCGCGTGCGCTTCGTCACGGAAAAATTTCACTCGAACTTTGCATCGACTAAATAGTATTAATTGCTCTACCAGTAGCGCTTACACGATATACAAATTGGCAATAAAATTGAAGAACCAAAATTTCCGACGCGTCAGCTCAGTTTTGATTAAAACGAGTTAGAGCCAAGCACAGCAGGGTAATGTAACGCTATCGATGCCTGTGACGTAGGTGCATTTCAGTCGAACTACGAGTTTTTCGTGGCCACTAAGCTCGTCTAAGTACATAGCTTGTTGTTGAGGGAGCACGCGCGGGATCAATATTATGCATGGCCAATGGAACGATAGAAACGAACAGCAGTGATTGTTTTTTTTTCCTGTTTCGCCTATAGTGAGGATAAACTTCTGGCGGAAGTTGAAAAACTTCCTTCTCGCTTCTTTCTCTTTCGTTTTACTCCTCTTCGCTTTGTTATTTGATATAAGAGGAGCAGGACGAAAGCATGCGAGTTTAACGCATCGATGGTTTTTCGGGCATGCAGAGCATTACGTTTCTTCGATAAAGATTTTTACGGCTCTTCGCGGCAGTTTTACGATGCAATTTCACAAGTTTAAACAATATATTGAAAAAAAAGGAGAATAGCGAGCTGGGCATTTATCGACAAGTGCTTGAAAACTCAGAAAACAAAGTAACAGAAAAGTCAAGTGCTGTAAAGATCCGAAATGTAGTTAATTCCGTTGAAAGTCAGTATTCCACCCCTTCAGCTTTGAGCAGGCAGCAGTAGCAAGCGAGATAAGTCCAAATAATTGCATAACGCGAAAAGAAATTGCAATTCGGGCCTTGCACTGCTGCTGCTGACAACTACTAGCGGTAATTAAAAGTTTTTTCAAAAGTAATATTTGAGTGTCTTTGTGAATATTTTACTTCTACAATGCTCCTTTTCGTCGTACGTTACGAGGAACGAAACTCATCGATGTTTTAGCGAGGGAACTTTACGAAAAGTGCGAACAGACCGATGGATAAAGTAAAGGAGGGCGGGAGGAGGGGGGAGCAATTAAAAATTCATCGCGACGAGGAAGAGAAGAAAATCAATCCGGGACCGAAAGAACTTGCCACTGAAACATCCAATCCGAAAAAGATTATTCCTTTTGATTGCTCTCTTCTCCCGTACAAGAAAATCAACAGGTACTTGAACAAAGTTCACTCTACTCACTTGAAGCTCGTTGGACTATGTTGGCCTTCAAAAGGCGATGCTGTGACGCCGTTCTGTTGCGGAGGCGGTGGTGGTTCCTCATCCTCGCTGACGTTACTGCTACTGCTCGCGTGGCCGTTGACGAGGCTGGCATTACTGCCGTTACGGATAATGTGGTTGTTGTTCAGCTGCAAAGCTTCTGCCAACCAGAGCTTGGTTTCATGTAGGGCAGTCTCCGAGTTCAGCGCCGCTATTTCCTTGCGCAGCTGGCAGTACAGATCTTTCTGCAAGTTCGTTCAGAACAAATGTAATTATTTAATCAATTTGAGAATCATCTTTTTCTAATCCAGCTTTGTCTTTCGAATTATTGAGATTGGTCGTGATTTAACCGAAAGCAACATTTTTCTGTTGCGAGACAACGAACCATTTGAAGAAAAAAAAATGCAAATAGTAAATTGCCGTACGTATTTTTTATGACTATACCACGGAACATCTATTCGCAAGCTTTGCCGAGAAAAAGGAAATAGTGACTGCGCATTTTACCTTTGAAATGTGAAACAGACCAACTACTCATAACTGATCCTTGTTTGTACAATACCAGTCAATACGACGCCTCTATAATCTTTAAAATATTATGCATGGAAAAATATTAGTCTGTTTGTTTATCGATAGGAGCTACAAAGCGCGTTTGTACCTATGCGATACGTTATGCGCACTTGTCGCATAGTGTGCGGTGCGTGCGCATCTCTACCAAAACGTTGAGGCTATCAGTTGATCGTAATTTTAATAGACCGTCAAAGCTTTATAGAAGCATGAATCAGCTAAAAATAATAAGATATTGTCTATTTAATATTGTTATCACGGCCTTGGCTATTTTAAATTATAACCTGGCTTTTGGCAGTCAATTGGAATTTGTCGGTGAAATTATCAAGAAGAATATTCAGATATCACGAATCTCGGTATTTGTAAAAAGGGCGAAAAATCTTTCTCCGACGTCCTCTATCTTACTTGGACAGTTGTCAAGTAGATTTTCATGCGTTTACATTGAAATGCACCGATTCCAGAGTATCGTCGACGATGGTAAATATAATTGTGTATTAAATACACTGTGTCAACGGATCGAAAGAGATGTAAAAATTGTCTTAATTGATACGCATGGTAGGATAAATATCGAAAACGAGCTGATGGAAATCATTGATTTTTTAATTGTGTACAGTCCGCAAACAGTTCGACCGCGATGTCTCATTGTAATCATTAGCAATATTTACAACGAAAACTTTCTAAGTTTCTTCGAATATGGATGGTTGAATGATTTTTTAGACATTACCGTTCTACAAATCACTGAACAGAGTAATACGTCATTAATGATACCTAATAATTCTAACGTAATCGATGTCAAAATGCACACGTACAATCCTTTTAACAAGACCTATATTGTAAAAGAGTTGCACGATGACGTCGTTATATTCGATGACAAATCGTTAAATTTGCACAAAACAGTTTTGAAAGCATCTTTTTTTAAGGAATTTCCCGATCTTATTGTCGATAACAGCTACACTGGAGATAACTTGTGGAATGCTTTGAAAGGCCAAAATGTCGACTTGATGAACGCAGTTGCTGCAAATCTAAATTTTTCCATAAAAGTTACAGCGGCTTGGGACAGCTATTACGATTTGTCAAAATTTAATGTATCGTACAATCCGAATGCGCTGAAGAATCGGTTGGCTGATTTCCTATCGCCAGGATTAACGCTCAAAGGTTTTGAGGCGCACGATTACAAGTATGAATATTGTTGTTTCGTAAGTGTAGATCCTAATTATATTATTGTTAGGCAGTATGGCACTAAAATGTTACAGTTGTCTTTTTATTATGTGGGACTATCGATCACAGGCATAGCAGTGATTATTCTGTTCTCCGTTTTATTACGACGATATTACAAAAGTGAATTTTGGTCGGCGTTGAACACTGCCAAAATTCTATTAAGATTACAAGTCGCACCGGCACCGCGTACCGTAGTAGAAAAATATTTTATGTTATTTGTAACATGTCTGTCAATTCTATTCGTAGAGCATATTCTAGAAGAAATTATGAATATTTACCTAATTGAGGATAATTATCGGGAACTAAAAACACTGCAAGATCTCCTTGATTCGGGAATTATTCCTTCAATTTCAAAATACACCAGAGATCTCATCAACTCCAAAAATTCCGTATATTTGAAAATCTTGTCTAACAAATCGCGAGTCTTAGATTCATATGGATCAACGGAAGATTGCGTGTCACAATTGATACATAATCTTAATCGCGTTGAGGGCTGCGAAATCAATCGGGTGTTAGGCGAAGTAGCTGTTAAAGCTTATTCGAAAGTTAAAAAAGGATCTATTTTGACTCTTGTAGAAGAACCTATATTTCCTGGATTTATGGTAGTACCGTTTACGAAAACGTCACCATATGTCCGACCTATTAATCGTGTGGTTACATATCTTTTTGATGGCGGCGTTGTTGATTATTTGCACAAAACTACCATGAGCATTTTATCGCTCGATAAAACTAAGTTTTATTATCCCGGTAATTTTCCTCAAAATCAAGGTGAATTAGCACTGCTTTATGAAGGTGGAAACTTGGAATCATCGCATAAAAGCTTACTAATATTCTTAACGTTTACATACATCCTAAGCATCTTTGTTTTTGCTATTGAAGTAATATTGAAAATAATAAAATGAAAAGAGTATTGTTAATTTTACAGTATTGGTGAACCGATATTTTTAACTTTTTTAAAAATCAACCTGAGCAGATACATCGACGTGTGTGTATACGTGCGTTTGCAAAACATTTCATTTAATACTGTTCTTGATGATCTTAAGAATTAGACACAAACAAAATGCATTTTCTGTACCATGTTTGTTTAATAAAAGCGTCGTTAATGTGTCATGTTAGTTGTTACTTGTAGTTTGTAAAGATTTCTTTGTATGAAAAACATGTACGTGTAGGTAAAATATATCGATTAACTAATTCATGTTTCTGTCATGAGGTTTAGGTGGCGCACTGCGTATACACTATCACATTAATATTATACACAGCTCTCGATATATACTGTAAATTACGTTTGCGATTTCAAATGAAATCTGAAATAAAACAGCTTGAATATTTTATATACTGCTTTATCAAACATTACCTTTACCTGCAGTGCTTCGAAATTGAGCGACTCTGAATTAATTAATTATGATTTATAGTTAATAAATGAATTCATTTTAATAATAATAATTTCGGTAATTTTGACGATCTCCATTGTTAGACAAAAAATTGAATTAAAAAATAAGTAATAATAAGTAGTAAATAGTAATAATAATAATAATAGTACTTAATAAATTGCAGCACAGTGACAATCTCAATATCTGCTGAGAATTTCATTGTAAATAATACGAATGAAAACAATATATTGCAAATTTACAACATAACATTTTCGTAATAAACAGTTCTTAGCATTCTCGTCAAATATTAATAAAAACCACCGTTAAGATTATTATTATTATGGAAAATTTGATAAAATCGACTTTCAATTGCTAGTCATTAATCCATTACATGATCGATCAACTACATCTATTGATCAAATCGTCGCGTGTAATCGTCAGCTCGTAGTTTGACTCTATTTTTCTACTTAGAGCCCAAATAGCGAGTTGGATTTTCCTTGAAGTTCGACAGCGTTTCCGCAGGATATTTTATTGATTGAAAGCGCAGAGCTACAGCGACCCCTTCGCCTTCCTATACTACCCTGCTGCCAAGACGCGCCACGCTCTTTCAATTTTCAAGCGTAACTGATCGCGTTAGCCGAATTTTTCCGTCTTTCTTTCTCACGAGTTCTTATTTACACCTCCAACGGCTCACTTACTTACTCCTTTCACGACGTTTTCTTGCAAGTTTTCAGTTACTTTTTAACTTATACGGATGCAGCTCTATTGCTGCCAAAAGTTTCTTTCCTCAATTCCAAATACTTCTTACGCGTCAGTTTTTGATTGGAAGATATAAAAAAATTTATTATATTTGTTAAAGGAAGCTTCTAGTTAAATTGCAATTAACTTAAAATGTAGTCAATAGAACTTGCGTGCTCTAGTGGCATTATCGTAATTATACTTTAACAAATTTCATATATTGCTACGGTCCGAGGGGGCGTACTTTTATATTGACTTTTTGTCGAGAATTCGAAATATACATGTCAATTGAATTCTTGTTGATACAATTTCTTTTCCTCCTATTTTAATTATCCGAAACATATAGCAATATCTTTCTATTTTCGAACTGCATACTGGAATGTTTGAATAAAATTGCAGTATTCGCGGCTAAAACTTTTTATCTTGCTCGCATTTATATAAATGTTTGCTTTTTCGTTCATCAAATATCTTTTAACTTTTTCGGCGAACATTCATGTTTCAAAATATTTTGAAGTCATCCGAATTAATTAAATTTATTTGTTAATCAAGACTGTGAAAACAAGAACATTCGATAGCGCGGTAAATAATTAAAAATATATTTGTAATGATGCTGATTCCATACAAAATACTTGAAATTCAAATATGTACGGGTTTCCTTATGGAGCTTAAACTCAAACACATTGTATGAAAAGAACTAGTGATTTGATATAAGCAATGCCTCAACTATTGATAAAAAATGAATTTATCTCATTTTATGTTTAGTCTTTTACAATCTAAAAAAACTGTACGATGCTACGAGCATTGAATCCAGCTTAACATACATGGAAACGATGCTCTAGCTCGAGATACTACTTTGTTTGGAAATATATTTACTCTCCCACGGCAATTTTTTCCATCTCTAAATATTCTCGTCTCAAAAATAGTAGGTATCACCGCACTCGATATTTGTTTGAAGCCGTCTTCAGAATGAAAGTAACTATTATCTACGAACTCTCAAGATTTTGTTTATCAAATCCGACAATTATGCCAGTCCAATTGATCAAGGATCAAGGATTATCGAGAACAGTACACGGCATACAAGCATTAACGACTGGCTAGTGAAAATCTGCTGTCGAAGACGTCAGCAAGGGTAAATCATGTGTCAATCATATTGTAACAACAATCGCAGGAGAGAGGTCCCCGTGCCGAGGGTAAGCCCCTCGCGAGGAGGGCGTTTTCGCATGACAAACCATTACTCGAAGGAGGGGATGTGTGTGTATATATACCAGGGCCAACGTTCTGTACCTCCTTCCCGCGTCTCCTTCTCACGCAAATGGCTTCCCCGTATAACTCGATTTCCAAGTGTCGTCGCTTGCTGCTCTGTAGCTCTCGCGCGCGCGACAGAGTTCTGCACGTACACAATGCGCTTTAACAAGGTCACGCCGCCGGCAGCGCGGAATCTCTGCTTTATCGACGCGAATGCAGGTTTATAAATAAAACGCTCGACGAGAGTGAGGCCGCCGTCGCTGCTGTTTTCCCGAGCGTGCCGTCGAGTGTTGCGGAAGAGAACAAGAAGAAGAAGAAGAAGAAGAAGAAGAAGAAGAAGAAGAAGAAGAAGAAGAAGAAGAAGAAGAAGAAGAAGAAGAAAAGAAAAGACTCGCGACGGAGAGTCGCCGCGCGACCTGGCTTATTGAATGTTGACCGTAGATTTTGCTCGCTCGCGGCGACGGCGAGATCCGTGCAGGCTTTGATGCGGCTGTCGGACGGTGACTCTACGGCGAATCTAGATCAAGCGCTGTTTACCTGCCACCTGTCGATCTCCAGGATTTTAATCTCGATCATCTTCATCCGCGCCTGCAAATGCTTGTCCTGCAACATGAAACAGGTGGAGAGAAATTATTTCACCTCGAGCTGCGTCGACCCGTGAGTCGCGTAGCGTGCGATTTTTATTGATTTTTGTTGTTCTCACCTGTGGGTCATTGGGATTGCCAGATAGTTTCTGCGAACACTTCTGAAACAGAAAGAAGAAACTGAAAGGACAGCGGTCGGCGTGAAAGCGGCGTTTCGCTCGCTAAACCGCGTTACTCCGAGACCGTGACATTGATAATGTCACGGCCGCGCCGTTTATTGTTTCGCCAAGATAGTGAATTTCGCGTGCATCGCGCACGCGGAGACTTCCAAGGGAGCCGACGATGACGCCTGCACGTAGTCTTCGATAAATTTTCGCTTCGCGCGCAGATAACCGGGATTAATCGTCATCGTGATCGACAGAGGCGGAACGCGCACGCGAATTTCAATTCGACTGCTCTCTAATCTACACCGTGCCGCGCGGCGAATCGAACGAAATGAGTGCGCGTGCTCGCCAGCAGTCAAATACACTTTTACGCGCCGCTCGAATTATTCAGCGTCGAAGGTAATATAAGCAACCAAACCTTGACGTGATTTCAGATTCGCGACCTCGTTTCTTGATTTTGTGCTTTCTTTCCCCCCGCACGCGCAGGCAGGAAACTAATTTTGGTGAGCGCAATTTGATCCACACGGAAAAGGAAGGAAACCTTCGCGCACGAGCCCGTACACGTTCTGCCATAGATAATACGTTGCTGTCGTTCGTTCTCGTTCCCTCGGGAAAATAAGGCAGCGATCGAACGCGCGAGCGCATCTGTCAACCAAAAGCTACGTCGAACTTGAAAAAAAAGCAACAAATAAAATAACAGTGGCCACTTTCGAGAGCGAGTGCAGCGACGTAGAAACAGCGTTAGGATTGCAATTAAGCGGCCGGTAGTGTGCCCCTTGAAAGGAAATTAATTGCGGACTTGCACACTTTCGATTCCCGACGCTTCGTCTTTCGGAGGTATAAGTAAAAAGAAGGAAAAAATAAAACAACGACCGCCGAGGAGCAACACTGTCACACAAAGGACCACCGCCAGGTATAACTACACCTCGCGGCGTCGGCGTCGGCGTCGGCGTCGGCGTCGGCGTCGGCGTCGGCGGTGACGGCGGCCCTCCCGTCGTGCGTGTCAATTGATTCTGGGCGAAAATTTTACCGGTGGGCGTATTTCAATGTTTATTAGGGCAGCGACGGGTCGACGCCAACAAACGAGGGCGAAAATTTTACGAGGACGTAGACGACGATTTCTTTCTAGTTGACTGCATCTCGGCGATCATCTTCTAGCTAAACAATTTTCCTGCCTTTTCCCTTGTCGGTCGTTCAAGTAACGCTCGGCGTAAAAAAAATGGAACGTTGACGTTTAATCGTGTTACGAAGACAGACAAAAAGTTTATAGGTAAGGTCGCGCGCGGTAATAAATATTGAAATACATATTTCAGTGGGTTGAGATAGTTGGTAAAACTGCTGTACGATTTAATCGTCGAGCTTGCGCAAAGTTGTTTGAAGTTGCCTTAGCGCGTTCTCTCTCAAGTTTTTAATCAAATCGCTTCCATCGGGAATTATTCGAACAGTAAGTACACTTTCCGGGACACTTTTATTGAATTTTCCAAACTGTTTTTTGCTGTTTTCCACCGAAGAATACTCGCATTTTTCGTTTTCTTTTCAGAATTCAATCGGACGCCGAACACTTTCGATCTCTCGCGTTATACGCATGCGACAACGCAAATCAAACATGAATGTCGCCAATATCCTTTTTATCGGCTGTACTTCGTTTAATCGAAATCAATAATGAGCGATACCAAGCCTCGCATTTTCAATAAAGACTAATGGAAAAACTCTTCAACGAGAAAAAAGTAGTCATGTCTTGCGGTTGTAATAAATTAACATTAGACTTTGAAAAAAGAAAAGAGAAGAGAAGCAGCCAGCTTGCTGAAAAACTCAAAACACACCAGCACATGGTGTGTATCCCACTTGTCCGAAAAGCCTGGAGCAATAAAAAGCTAATACATTCCAGAATCGAGAGAGGGAGAGAGAGCGAGAGAGAGAGACAAACGAGCGCTACGCTCAACAAACTTTCCTCTGCGCGAACAACTTGGAATTATGCTCGTTAATCGTGATTACGCCATGGCTGGCCGCCTTATTATTTCGTCTTTCTTTTTTCCCTTTGCTTCCACCCTAAGTATTTATTGATTCGTCGGCGTGGTGAATAACTTGGCCAAAAAGTCTGTATAGGTATTTAAGCATGCGGATAAACATGAAATCAATAAAGAGAGAATAGGTAGGTATACAGGGAACGCGAACGCGACCAAGCAAGTTTGATGGTCGTTAATCTTTCAAGTTTCATCGCAAGGTCTCCTAGTGTCGAACGCGAGTTTTTTTTTTCCAAGGCGCCAATAAACAAATTAGCCTCGTTGCGCCAGCGAGTCATTGTGATGGCCCGCACCTGACAATGCGAGGCGCGCATCTATCCTTCTCGGCTGCACAGAGAGAGAGAGAGAGAGAGAGAGAGAGAGAGAGAGAGAGAGAGAAAGAGAGATATGAGAGAGCAGGCCGGAATTTTAGAAGCGTGCGGCGCGCGAGAGAGAAAGACAGACGCCGAGAGATCACACGGGGGACGGGGTAGTTTTATCGACTCGCACGAGCGCTCGCGCGCCTACGGACACTCGCACACTCACACGTCCTCGCAGCGCGCGTTTTTGTCGTCGTACGCACGCCTTTAAATAATTATCGGCACTTTTGTTTATCGACGCTTCGATTTTTCACTCTGACTAGATGCACGCACTACCTCACTGAGCGTCATACGAAATGAAAGAACGCACTGAAGAGTTAGATACAAGAGAGAGTGCGAGAGGGAGGGGGAGCCGGAGAGAGAGAGAGTGAGAAGGAGAGAAAGAGGGGCAGGTTTGTATTTTAAGTAGTATCGCAGTATTTTTATATTAAAACACGAAAATAAGGCATAAAGCCGTCGTGCGCTAGCTTCATTACGAGGTAAATTACTGCTGCACGCGCGTAGGTAAAATACCGCTTCTCTTTCTCCCTCTCTTTCTCACTCGCACTTGCTAGCTTGCTACTCGGCGCACTCGGCGTCCGCTATCTTACATCACGCTCGCTTAAACTGCTTCCCTCGATATAAAGTAAAAAGTGAAATAAAAAAGAAAGAGACGCTACGACAGCGGAACGACTGCTTGGCTTGGCGATATTAAAATAGAGAAAACGTACCTGATGCTCCTTGATGGCCATCCACAGTTTATGCTGCGTGGCCACGAGGCTCTTCTGTAGACCCACTGATATTATATCCATGATCGTGTGTTGCTGCGCCGGAGACGCGCGCCCAACTGAGCGCTCCTCGGCCAGCGGCGGAGTAGAGAACGGCAGAGCCGAAAGAGTGTCGAGAGAGAGAGAGAGAGCGAGACAACGAGAAGGCAGCAACGCAGAGCTACCTAACCTATAATCGTCGTCGTCTCACCGCCGATCCGGTGGCTTCTCGCCGCCCCTGTCCTGCCACTATTTTCTGCTTGCGCGCGCGCGCGCGTATGTGTGCGTATGTATGTATGTATGTGTGCGTGCGTGCGTGCGTGCACCGTGCTCTAGGCAGCCAGATATATATTGTACACACTAGACCCCGGCGTCGTGACCTTGTCTCTTTCTCGCTCACTTTTCCACTAGCTCTCTCTCTCGCTTTCTCAAACCGAGAGTACAAGGGGATGATGCGAAGAACTTGGATCCTGCAACAGAACAAAGTTATGATTTTGGTTTGTTGAATTACTTTCGATTGCATAAGATGCGAGATATGTTCAGCTGCGGTTTTCGATAAACGCTTTTTCATAATGCGGAACGTATAAACATCTCTCTTATAGGCGAGTTTTATTACTTCGGGGTTTGCGCTTCGTATAGACGAGACCTCCTGCTCAGCGAAAACGACAAGATAGAACACGAAACAAATCATTACTATACTTCGTCGATAGCACTATAGTACTATTACTTTAGCTTTGCCCAAATCAGACAAACTAACTTCCTGCGGGCCTGAGAGTGAAAATTTTCCATACTCACTTGGTTTCTTTTTTCCAAGTACTTTGGCAGCATCCATGAATTTATTATCAAAAACTTGTCACTAAAGCCTCTCTTAAGTAGGCTAAATATATACGTCAGATATAGAGATGTTCCGCGGCTCTATATATACATAAAAGGCTTATGTGTCGGGTGCTCACATCGCGCATTACAATATATATATAAAAAAAATAAAAACGCATAAAATCATGCACTCATCACAAGTGTAATCGGATGTATATATCGTTTTGTCGTACATCGATCAATGACGAATCAATGTGCGCCTGTATATAGTCACTTTAACGAGTAAACAATTAATAAACACACGCAGGCGTATATGTGCTCTTGTGGAGGCACCTTCAGTGCTCGTAACGTGACGGTCTTGACTGTTGATGCATGCATACCTAGTACCCACACTAATATTTATACACACAAACACGTACGTACGCACATAAACACGCACGACGTGATCGTGGGATAGAAGTGCATCACTGATTGATCGACAATCGAATTTTCTCACGGACACTTGCAAATGGATGTTACCTCTTTGCGAAAAAAAAAACTTACTTCGCGTGCACACCCAACTCGAGCATCACAAATATATACAATTAATTTTAGCTACATCGAATTCGTTCCCTTTTTCCTCTCTTGGTCAACGGGTAGTGTCCAGCGCAACAGTCGTGCTTGTTTATAAAAAGAATATTACACGAAAACAAATGCAATCTTGCCATTGCTGCTGCTGATAATCTGCAATGCGCGTGAAAGCTTTCAGGGAATTCGTGCACATACGTAATTTTTCTTTCAATGCAAAAAGCTGCACGCTTTCCCACTAAGAGAGAAGGCAACGACGGGGGCACATTTTTTTGACGCACACATAGTAATTTGACCACGGCCCGTCACCGACTTTTAATACAACCGTACGCACCGAGCGCGCGGGCGTTCACGCGACAGAGCGCGAACGCCCAAAGAAAAAAAGTACCGAAGACGGAGGAGGATACAGAAAGAGAATCGGATTATAGAGAAGTAGACCAAAAGAAAAATTTCGCGAAACAATGTCTTCTCGCGCAGATTGATCGATGCTAATTAGCCACTAGCTAATTCGCCTCAACCGTAGTCCACGTTTATTTATTTTATTGTCGTCGGTTCTTTTTTTATCGCTGTTATAATGGGAATCTTGAACCAATTGGCAAATTGATTCGCCCGTCGCGATTTTATCGCGCGAATGCTTGGGCGACGGAAAAGCTAAAAGTTTACTGAACGGCTGTGCGCTGTAAAACGATAAAGTCGCTCTCTACTATTTCCCATCTATAATACATCAATCAGTACCGGGGCGCCGTGTGTGCGTGCATATATTACCGAACACATCGACGACAGCTAGCCCTGTTTACGCTCACTCGTGTATCCCACGAGAAAGTCGATGAAAACTGAAAAGGGATCCGCGCGCGCGTGCGAGCACAGCGTGCAATCGTACAAACAATGCTGATAAACGCCGACAGTGCGAACGAACGTACCTGTTATTCGTGTGTGCGTGAACGTGTGTGCGCGGCGAAACGCACACGGGAAGGGGGAGCGGCTGCTTCTCCAGGTGCTCTTTCCTCGCTACAACTCGGAATGGGAAAATTCTCGGGCACCGGTTCGTTTATGCGAGGCGCGTCAGAGATGAGACTTTGATTTGCCAGAAACGCTCGCTCGCGTCTTATGTTTTTTTTCTCCTTTCCTTACCACCGATTTTCTATTTTTTTTTCCAGGTGCGGCTTTACGCTGCTCGATTGGTTTACCGACGCTTTCGTTCATTTATGAAATTCGAATACCCCTGCAATCTTATTTCATTATTTCCCGGTGCATAGAAGTTATATATGCTTTTTTTATATACACGCGCAATTTCAAACATTTGCTCCCTTTCAAATTGTGAAAAACAGTATGAATATTTTGTTAATGAATTATACGCATTTATCTTGAACCGAAGCTTATATGTTAAAGCTAATCAATAGTCGTCTTTAATTTTGTGAAATAAACATAATGAAACAATTTTGTTAGATGTCCAATATTAAACAGTATAAATTAATAAATGATATTTATGAACAATGTCAAACGTTAATCTAATTGCACAAAACCAATGATCACAAAATAGTTGGCTTTTCGCTGTCAATGAAAAAGATATCACACTCAAATTTTATCCACCTATTATCGTGAAAATTTTTATTACTGGTTCTGGTATTTGTTTACTTTGACTCTTTCTACAATGCACGTGTATAACTACGCATCAACCTCAGTGCCTTGTTTACGTTTTTTCACCCTAACTACAATCAGTCATTCGGAGAGCACGTGGATAAGCGAATGGCAGTGCGATTTCATGGAGTGAAATCACTGCCTATTGTTATGCAATATTTATAAAAATACAGAATAATTAATTAGAAATAACGCAAGTGAACACTTTTTACTGAAACAATGAGGATTTTGATTGTTAATTTGAGTTTCGACTCCAGTGACGCTGAAAATGAGGATAGAAGCGTTAAATTGCACAATTATTGTGAAAAAAGTACGCAAATGTTTTTGTACGACCACGAGCAGTATGTTGCTGAACACTGAGTACCTCTTTTTAAAATTGATATTCAAAGCAAAAGCATCTCAAAGTAAGTAATTTATAATATTTTTTAATATGATTCATTGTCTTTTTTAAAAGATTATCCAAATGCATTCTTTATTTTTTACGCACACGTTCGAAATATTGAATAGCTATTTTTTTTGTTTTTTATCCAATATTTTTTGTTTAAATTAACGTTTTTTCTACCATTAATACATCAGAATATATCAGACAAAGCTTGAAGGTATTACAAACTTGTGGCATCCAAACTGGTTGAGGAGACTGAATCTGATTCTAGTGACTTTGTTTTGAAAATATAAGATTCAACTGAAAATTCTAATATCACAATAACTTCCAATTTATACAGAAGTACTAACTGCAGTAATTAATTATTATAATCAAAATAACACCTTTGCTTTAAGCTATTATCAGGTATGCAAAAACTAATAAAGATTTTTTGTTCAAACCTCTTTCAAATATTTTTTTTGAGTATATTAGTTTATTACTTTTTAGGTAATGAAAACAGCCAATTTTTACAGATGAATCTAGTAGACAGAATAAAGTATTGTCTATCAATTCATTTGATCAAATTAATCAGCTATTTAATATTTCTGACATAATTACCTAGATAAATCTTTGGAACTATGATTAGGTAAAATATTATTGTGATGATTAAATTAAAGAAAATTAAAATGATTAAATTAAGAATATTTCCATGAAATATAACTGCATAATACAGCTACTGAAACTTCAAGTACTCAGTATCACAATCCTCTGTGGTATAATTCAAATAATGCTCATAGTACAGCTATAGAAAATATCGAATTAACAAAAGAAACGTTGAAGAACTCTTATTTTCAAGAACAAAATATGATTACTGTGTTAAGGAATAAACAAATTATTTTAACATATACCTATTGGATCCTCAAAATAGGTAGTGATTATGACAGATTATGCTACGAAGAAAACTTTTACAATATCAAAAAATAGCATTCAATTTTGTACATTTCACTTGAATGAAAGAAAATTTAAGATTAATTTAATGAATTTGTTGAATATAGTATGATGAATTTTTAATGAATCAGCTGTGTTAAATTTATTTTGCAGAGTCTAGTATACTAAGACAAAATATTAGTATTGCTATTGCAGAGTAGGAAAAATTGAAGCATCTTTCTATAAAATTTTGTTTGCTCTATTTCTGTATATAAATAAAAATGCAACTATAATTATAAAAGAAGCATTAAAAATAAATAAAGACTACACAGAATTTTTTTTATCCCGAAAGCACCGGTTGGTTATAAATAATACTTATAAATAATAAGATTTAGTAGTAAAACAAAAACTATAATATGTTGTAATAGATGATAACTATAATAACATCATTATTGTACCCGATAACTTGCCTGTATGGTGTGGAGTTTTAAAACACATGATAAAAGTTGAATTAATTACTAAAATACATAATGAATTTGCAAATATGATTCTATTTAATTTTTGATTGTCAAAAACTGTAAGTATAAATTAAATAGACACAGAATATATTAAATAATTTTATAAATTATTTGTATTTATTGTAGCTTCAACACAAGCCACAAATCAAACAGTTTATAAGTAATCTGTTATACATTACATCTTATACTATACGAAAAGTTACTTATGATTATCCTAAATAAAATTTAATGTCATAATTTCTGTTAATGGATTTCAATTTCAAATATAAAAAAAATGGGAGACGGTAAGTTCTTAACTATTTATTATAATTACAAGTGCAGATTAAATTTATCAAAATAATTATGGAGTATAATGCTAATATTGTTAGAAGAGTTTGCTCTATCATAGCCACTAATTGATCATGTCGTTCAATTAAGATTATCAAAATTAGACATAAAACTTTTAAGAAAATTTTTATAAGATTTACAAACATAGATGAACTCTATTTTTCTTCGCAAAAAAGTTCTGTTTTGTTTCCCCATGTAAACTACTTATGTGCAGAGGATAAGACTTTTGATAGACATGTTAGAGACAGATAAATATTTTGACCCTAATAGTAAATTGAGTTTCAAATTTTTACAAAGTTCTAGTTTGGTTTTGTAAATAAAAATATATTAATTATTTTCTCATCATAATAATAGCTAAGCAGAGGCTGGTGATTGTTTTAATAAAATCAAACCATCTCAGCAAGAAATATTGTTAATTTTACTGTTGTACACATAATCTATAGAGGTAACTACAAAAAAAGCATTGTAACTTTAACATTTATTTTTTGTTATTTCACTGTTTTGGAAACAGAAATTCTGTTGGATATTATATTCATTTATAAACTGTGTATAAAATAAGATCATGAAGGTTATAACATTGCAAATATAAATTTTTTTATGAACATATCTAAGAGTGTTTCCTTTATCTGCTTACTCATTTGGCACATTTTTTTACTATGATAAATATAGTACTCATAAGATATTCTAAACAAATTAATTTTATTAATTAAAAAATCTGTGTTAATAATTATCTGCAAATCATTGCATAATTCTACGTTACAATTAAAAAATTATTTTCGGCTAATTATTTATAATGCGTACAAATTCGTGACACAAACAAACATACCTTATTAATTCACTTCCTTCGTTATAATTTCATAAAATCATCAATATATGACGTGGCTTGAGGTTATTTATTTTTTTGTAAATTAAACTCGCAGTTAAAGAAAACCTATAAAAATAATAAAATAATAGACTACGGGCAACACGCTCCAAGTAACGCGCTCCAGCTCCAGGCGATACTAACATCCAATTTACATTTGGCATTAGTGTAACTGTTTGTCTGTGTGCTTTTGAAGTGTGTGTATATATAAATGTGTATATGCATGCTTTGCACGTGGGATACGTTAAACGGTGCGTACTCTTAACCCTACTGTGTTTGTATTTTGTAATAATTCTTTTTGTAATGCTCTGGAGTTTTGTATTTAAAATATATTTTAAACAATATATGTTTTTGTATTCTAATTTGAATGGGTAATAAGTAAATTTTATTATTTGTATTCTGATGAATGAGTGACAGGGAAATAAATTTGTTATTGTTGTTCCGCTAATTATGAGTTTGCCGGTTGTAAATTTAATGTCGGACTCGGAAGACGGCAATGACGATGTTTGTAACAGCTTTATTGTTAGTTCAAATAAAATGCCAGAAAATTTCAGTACAAAAGAAACTACTTCAAGATACACATGCTCTTGTAAGTGCAGTCATACAACTCCTCAGGTAGATCCACTATTCAGAATTATATTCAGAGATGAACATATTGCCAGGTTAATATTTTTAATATTACGTGATTGTTAAATAAATAAAATCTTCAAATGTTTTCGTGTGTTCTTTTAATTACTAATGCTATTCTATTATTTAATTCTATTGATATATATCGTAACAAAACATTTAGGAAGTATCGTCTGAGAATTGAGGATATTTTAAAATATGTATTAACATCTAAAATTGATGATCAAAATAGTGGATTGTCTGCATCAGATTTAGTTTTAGAAGTTTATGATCCAGCTACTGTATCTATCGTGAATACAAATTTGCCAAGAGTTCCGAATTCTACTAACAAATTTGAAGTTGAAAGGCCTAATAACAGTCAAATTGAGGCTCATCAAGCAATTAATTATCATGATTCTTCTTTCAATGTTTTGGAAAAGGTTCGATTGGAATTGTCATTAGTTTTAACAATATTTTTCAAAAATCAATGTAAAATTGGATCTTATTGCAGGAAAAAAAACAAGAAATAATTAAAGAAAATGAAAAGAAAAGGAAAAATCAATGTCTGATCCCTATAACGTTTCCCAGTAACAACCATAATTTAGTAGATAATGTACCTCTACAAAAGGTTTGTTGAAATTATGCTTCATTTTACATATTATCTGAATCAACTATGCATTTCAGAAAATAAAAATTGAAGACACGATGGAAAATAAAACTAATGTTCAACCAGAATTAGAACCCAAGGTTGGTATAGTAATATAATTCCCAGTATTTATTAAGATTACTTCAGTTGAACTAATTACCTTTATTAGCAAGTACAGGCAACTATCAATGATGGAAATTCTTCAGCTTTATCAATAATTTATCAAAAAATATTAAAGCAAGAACATCCTCAAGAAAATAGAGATTTAGAAACTTGCTTTGACAATTATTCTGTACAAATAGGTTCTTATGGATATTCTCAAGACAAAAGTATATTTATATCAAAAGATGGCTTAACATTTTTTGTGCCAACATTTAAAAGAGGTTGGAATCGCTATTTATAAATATTACATTTAAACTTTTAAATCATAAATTGCTGTACCATTATTTTTTAGGCATGCAATTTGTAATTTTAAACATTGAAATAGATGAAATTACCAAAGTTTTCACTCATTTTTCCAATATCAAACCGTCGATATTTTTCTTTGTGACCAAAAAAGCTGCTGAAGGTATAAGAAATTTATTGCGTATGAATGATCCAAACGGACCTTACATAGATGCTGGAAGCATGAGTAATTTAAAAATTATTTTTATCATATTATATTAAAAATACACGTTACTTAGACATTAAAATTAAATTATTAATTGTAGATGCCATTCATCAGCGAATAGTAATTTTACCTTCAGTAATCAGTGATGAATCCAAAGAAATAATAAGGCAGTTGTTCAAAAATATTCCAACAATAGATATAAATGAAAATTATGCAGAAAGTCTTCTAGGAAGAGACATTCCTATGACTGTTAGTATTTTTTCCTTGCTTATTTTTTGTATATATCCCTGTTCAAAAGTTGCAGGTTTAATGTGGATTGATAATTAAAACTAATTTATACATTTCTTAGTCGAACGCTCCAGCAACGCCGACAAATCATCAAACACCTTCAAATGCAAATAATCTCGTTATCGAGAGTGAATGCTATAGTGAAATGAAAATAATACAAAATACTAATGACATAGGAGTCAAAAAAAATAAAAATTTATGCACAATATTTTTCTGTCGGGTTTTAAGGGTAGGAACATTTGAATACCCTAAAAGAAGAGTATTTTCTATAGATATAAATGGTATAAAATTTTGTATACCACACTTAATAAACGGTAAAGCTTGTTTGAAACAATGATTAAGTAAAATAAATGATTTAAGATCTTATTTATTTATTGAATTTTTTTCACAGTTTCTTCAATCGTAACAGTGTATGTCAAAATTGAAAAAATAGTTAAACTCAGAATAAGTTTCTCTGAAGCATGCCCAGTTATTTTTTTACATATAAGTGCTGAAGCTGCAGCTAGAATTAGATCATCAATTGGCATGAATGATCCAACTCACCTAGATCCTGATTGTGGAGGTTTGTTTTTAATGAAATATATGTGCGAAATAAAGCATGTTTTTAATTGCTACATTTTTTTCTAAAGATGAGACACGCAATAAAATAATTATTCTACCTCAACAATTATCTGAAAACTGTAAGATTATACAAAAACTTTTTAAAATTGGATTGGTAGAAAAATTGAATGAAAACGTTGCAAATAACATTCTCATAAAATCATTTTCAAAAACGGTAAGATTAATTGTTTATAACTGAAAAAAATGAAATTTTGAATTGTACGAAATTTTTCATCCAGACTGAGTTAATAAACCCAATTGCACTAAATGTGAATGCAGCATCAGAACCTAATGATAGTAATAACAAAAATATTCGTGTCAGTTTTGTATCTAATTCAGTAAAAATAGGTACTTACAAATGTGTGCAATTGGATACCAATGTCGTAATTTCCACCAATGGATTGAGTTTTCATGTGCCAAAAGTTGGTAGTAAGTATTTCAATTCAGATAGAAAATAAATATCCTAATATTAAAAATAATTATGTTTTATTATTTTAGGTCATGTTTTCAAAAACATTGTCATACCTTTCAATGAGATGACCAAAGTTTATTACTGTTTTAAAAAAATTTTTTCACTATTTGTCTGTACCACTGAATCTTGTGCAGAAAGAATAAGAAGTATACTAGAAATGCCTATGATCAACAATGGCAATGTATATTTCAATCCAAACAGCGCAGGCAAGTTTATAAATATATATGAATGGATTGTTTATTTGATGATAACATTTTAATTGTTATTTTTCTAGTAAGGGCTGAACAACGAATAACTATTATATTCAATCATTCGAAGTTACATGAAATACCAATACTTAAAAATCTGTTAAATCATACAATGTCTGAGGAAGTAACAAAAAAAGTAGCTCGTCAAATGAAGCTGAATAAATTGGTAACTTTCTTCTATAACAACAGAATCTATTAACTTCTATTAATTAATAATTACAAAATTTGTATTTTTTTCAGTAAAATAATTAAATTATGAACAACCAAACAATAGAATATTTTTTCTTATAAAACAGGAGTTGAATAGACTAATCATTTAAAAATATTTTGTATGTACAAATAAAGAATATATTCTGTATTAATGTTCAATTTTATATACGATAAATAATCTCTAATCAACTATAAGCTCAGTAAACAATAAAAACTTATATTTTTCTTTACTGTTTATTCAAATATAACTCATTTTTAAAGTAGGTATCAGAGTATCAAATTTCTTATGTACTTTTAAGTTGAATATAAATTAATTTCTTTAAAATATGTTCAACATTCATTAACAAAGTTATGTGCTTAATAATCTATAAATGTAATAAATATTTCATTTCTGTAAAAATGTTGGAGCAGCACCTGTCATTCGATTTGGCGCCTTTTTGGTGCGCTCCTCCGAAAAGCGCCACTGCCCGCCCTGAGTACTGTATGTATTTTAGGCGTGAATCTCTGGTTTTTGAAGTAGATTCAATTTTTATAAATTAATTTTAAATTTATTCAAGTGTGTTTTAGCATTCCCAAAACGAGATATTATAGGGTAGGAATAATCAAAATTCTTTACATAATATATTTTAAAATATCGATGAGTATAATTGTATATTTTTTGAGGTTAAGATTTTACATGTTCGTGCATTTAGTTGAACGCATTTTAATGATCTTGCAACAATATTTAATAATAACTACTTATTTTCTTCGTTTTCAGTTCTCTATCTTTCGTGAATCTATAATAATGTTTATAATAGATTTGATGAATCTGTCAATTAAATTTATATATTTTTTTTTTTTTTGGTGTGAAGTTTTTCATAACTTGTTGACGAAAGTAAGCTGGTTTTTGTTATTCGTTTTACAGGAATAGGTTTACTATAAATTATGGCAGGAAAAAGGTCTGCAACATCTGATCTTAATGCTGATAATTGGAATCAAGAGGATGAACTAGAAGAAGCTGGCACATTTCAAAAAGCGTCAGAGGAAGTGTTGAACCGACGTATTGTCAGAACAGCAAAACGACGTCTTGGAGGGTCAACAGACGTAATTATTTGATTTAACTGATTGAATTTTTATGTTTTTTAATTATTTCAGTGAACTTTTAATTTTGTACAGTTATCAATGGAAATTCTACAGTTTGTATTCTTTCATTGCAGGATACAACAAAAAGTGCATTTGGTTCATTTACAGGCTTCAAAAGTACTTCTACTGCAACAAATACTTCTTCACCTTTCAGTTTCTTATCAAAAACAAATTCAGATAGTGGTATAGCTAGTTCGTCAAGTTCGAGCTTCATCCCTAATAAGACTCCAACAACAAATGGATCAACAAAGATTGCAGAAAACGGAATAGGCATGTCTTCAACTTCAACATCCTCTAGCCCCTTATTGTCAAAAGACACAAAATCAGTATCTACTGAAAGTAGTTCTCCTAAAAGGCCTCCAGAATATTATGCAAAGTTGAAAGGACTCAATCAAAGTGTTGCAAAATGGATAAAAACTCATGTGGATGCAAATCCAGTATGCATATTAACACCAATATTTCGTGATTATGAAAAGTATTTGAAAGACATTGAAGCAAAACATGGTAAGGAACTTGAAAGCACAAAACTGGTAGACAAGTCTGAAGGGAAATTAGAGTTCAAGTCGAATGAAACAACTCAGTTGATAAGTCAAACTGAGAAAAAGCCAGAAAGTTTCATTTTTGGCAGTTCCAATCCAAAACCTACCACTGAAAGCTTTAGTGGTAGTTGGAAACCAGAAAAATCAATATTTGGTGGTTCTGGTTTGAGTGGAAAAACTATGTTTTCTGGAGATAAGAAGAGTCCCTTTAGCGCAACATCAACTGTAATTTCTGACAAAAGTCCTTTTCTAATGAAATCACAATCAGAAACCAAGCAAAGTGAAACAAAGTCTGAAGAAAAACCTGCAACATCATTGAGTTTTCCAAAAATATCTCATAATCCTGGATTGTTTAGTTTTGGTCAGACCCCCACAAGTACCACAAGTACAGTTTCTACTGGATTCAGCTTTGGAGGGTATATATCAAGAATTTAAAAATAATATTATATTTTATTGAATTGAACAGTGTTTGATTTGTGACATTGATTTCTTCAGAGGTAAGCCTTTCACATTTGGACGACCAGCAGCAAAACCAACAGAGCCAGAGGAAAAATCAGCTGAAAATGAAAACAAAGAGGATGAAGACGATGAACCACCAAAACCAGATTTCAAACCAGTCACAGAAGAAGGATCAATTTATGAACAGAAGTAAGAAACAATTTAAATAATGTAATTTTAAATAGAAAATTTATGAGTATTTTTCATTGTTGCAGGTGTAAAGTCTTTGTAAAAAAGGATACCATTTACAGTGACCGAGGAGTGGGTACTTTATTTTTAAAACCAGCTCCTAATGAAAAAATGCAGTTGATCGTGCGTGCTATAAACTGTTTAGGAAATCTGTTACTGAATACATTGCTAAGCGAGAGCATACCGATAAAACGCCTGAATAAGACAAACATAATGTTGGTGTGTGTGCCTTTGCCAAACACGGATACACAGCCCGTTCCAACTCTACTTAGGGTCAAAACATCTGAAGAGGCCGACGCTCTATTCGAGGCTCTTGAGAAGCACAAAAAATAATGATTTTGCCAATTTTTGGGGCTTACTTAATACATTATTTAGTTCATGGGAAGAATGTCCGTTTTCGTGATGTTTCAATATTTTACGACACTGGTGGATTTGTTTCAAGCATTTTTTTCCGTAGCTGTTTAAGGTATAGCTATTATTAATATTTCAGCTAAATATTGATAATAATCTTGTGTTCGCGTAACTTCCTATAAAATAAAGAAAGCTTTCAAATTGAAAATAATTGTGATAATTTAAAAAATTCTGTTAATTGTAGCAATTACAAACGGAACTGTTTATTAGTACACTATTTTATAATAAAAAATAATTTTCATTTTAGAATATTTTACGTTTTCAATTTTAACTCAATTCTTTTCAATAGTATGTAATTTATCATTATCTTGAATTAAATCCACTAGTGTCAGCGCCTTTGAATTATACTGCAAGAATGAGATAATCCAAGAAAAGAAATAGCAAGTTAACGTTTTGTGTAAAAATGTATCTGCTACGTACCTGAAAAAAGCCTGTATAGTTGATAATACAACCAGTTATGTAAATTTAAGATGAGATATTTGCAGAAAAGCAAATTAGTTGAATCGACGACTTTTTTCCGTTGATTGACCTTTTCATTAAATGTTTTGTAGATCTTTTTTAAATGTTTTTTAATTGTAGATAATTGTAAAAAATTGATAAAGTGCAAGCCGAAATTTGTAGCAAGAATTTCAGAATATTCAGGTATGTAAGACGCATTTTTGATCATGAAGCGTTTACATGCACAGCGTGAGAATACTTTGTCCAAAAATTTCGATTGCACATTAATGAATTACCACTGAAATATTTGTGCATTCACATGTATGACTCTGCATATTATTTTATACTGTGTTTGAAGACAGTTATTTTTTTATGCAACTCAAATGTAAGAACTGAATGTGGAATATAATTTCCACTGCCATTAGTATACAATTGCAAATTTAAAAAAAATAATTTAGTAAACGAAATAGATAACTTGTACATAAATAAATTGCTGCTAAACTGAAAATTGAATAACATCATTGAAACCTATCGTCACCTTGATAGTATATATCAAATAAATCGGGTGGTAAAATAAATACTAGTACTTTTTTTCAATGGTTGTTTATTTACACAATATTTAAAGTAATGTTCAATTTATGTAGCTGAAGTTTGAAATACAAAGGTTGCTATTACACGGAAAAAATGCCTAAATCTACGTCTGCACTTGTTAATCATGAAAATCCTTGTTAATGTAATAGTTATTACTGATGTATTTGTTTCGTTTATGACACTTTAAAATCTAACAGTGTGAGAAATACTTCATTAATTTTTTTAATTAAAATACGCTAGATGATAAATTTTAATAATTCTTTTCAATAGAAATAAAAGTCAGTTCTCAATAGTATTTTCCTTTCTTCAAAAACTTTTAAAAAGTAGAAAATGCTAATGCTTGTTTAACAAACTGGCTCTTATTTCTTTTCTGCTTTAAATAAAAGTAAGTTTTGTTTCCAAATGTTTCACTTTATAAAAACACAACTATGCAACATTATTCATTCTTCGTGTTTTTAAATGAACTATATAATGTCTCATATATATATATATGTATATACATATGAGACATACATATATATACATATATACCATTCGAAGAAATTGATTCTGCTAAAAAGCATTTTATACATAATAATTTCTTTGATCTATAATTATTTCATCGTCAACTACTTCAATTGTATGACAATTTTGCGAATATCATTCTCAATTTACTCTATCCCAACTAATAGTTGGAAAATAAAAATTTACTTAATGTATAATTACCTATCTAACATTGATAAAATAATAGATGATGTATGTGAGGATGTAATTATGAATGAACGTTAAGTTTGCATAATTAACGTGAAATTCTTTTATATACAAGTAAACGTAAAATATAGGATGCATGTTACACAATTTTCTATAAAACTCTATTCTTAAATTTATGAAATAATAATCTTTACACATAAACATCTATTCAAAGAAATGGCGTTTTTTCGAGATAAGCCAATATCGGTATAAACGTTTGCAACAATATTTGCCGTTGTTTTGATGCAATTATAAACATTAAAAAATTTATTATTAAATTTTTTGCGCCATAAAAGGCGTTAACGCACCTACTTGTCCTAATCCCACTTGTATGTGTTGCATGTGAATTTCAACACAATTCTGAAAAACTTGTTGGTTCTGTGGAGAAAGTTTCGATCTAATTTGCTCCATAGTTCCTTGTAGTACCTTCAACTCGTAAGCATTTCTATCTGAATCTGATAGATACTAAAAAATTTTACATTTAGTATATGAATTACTTTTATTTCTTTTTCTTATATTTTGAAATTACTTACTTTGACTTGCAGCATGAGAGCTGTGAGATCTGTAACAAGTTGATTCATACTAGTGGGTTCATTCTCATTTATCATGTTATTTTTTGCAACCATATCGGCAGCCTCTTGTCGACATTTTTCTCTAAGATGTGAAGGTGCCAGCATTGCTGCTACACTTGGTTCGGGAGCAATTTCTTGACACATTCCTTGAACGTCATTCAATAAATCTTGAAGTTCAGCATTCATTTTTTCAAGTTCAACGACGATTCTGAAAGATCATTATTACATTAATTAAGAAAGTTTAATATAAGTTTCAAAAATGAAATTTGTGAAATTTTAATTTACCCTGCATATTTCCTTTCAAAATCTGGTGGTAAACTTTCTTGCATAGATCTTCGTTTTTCAGCCTCGCTATTCATTTCCTTCAACGTCTTGATTTTACTTTTCTTAACAGTTAAAATTTTATTAACTTTTACCATATTTTCGAGTAACTTTACTGGATAACCATTCATGGTACCAGATGCAGGTGTCTTTTTAGTAATAGTAGCATTAGATATTAGTGGATCGTTGTTTAAATTTGGTGAAGCTAATTTCATAGCATAGGCTGGTGAAGGTACATATTGCACGTGTCGAGGTCTGAACTTGTGTGTAAACGAGGCAAGGCTTATTGTCTCAGGTGGTTCATTCGACTAAAAATAAAATATACCATTAGATTAAATAAAATTTTTATTTTAGTCAATTGCTTTAGAATGTCGTCGAGCTTACCAAAACTTCATAGTCGGGAACGCTGTGAGTTCCTAAGCCAGCCCTCTCAAAAGTAATTCTATATGTATTATTACTAGTGTCTACAGCATCTATACTACCAGTAAAAAGACCATCTTGTGGTTTCCTTAATCTTGCAGTAACTTTTGTTCCAATAACTAACTGTAGTGGAATTTCAGATGGTAAATCCTTGAAGATTTGGGCATCTGCCGCTTTTCTCTGTTGAAGCATGCGTATCTTCTGTCTTTTTCTTTCTAATTCTCTTCGTTCTTCTTCAAAAAAGGCTTGAGAACATCTTCTTGGTTTGCCCATCATTCGTCGAATTTTGCACCATTCTACTCGTGTAAGTTTTCGCGTTTTAAGTTGAGGGAATGATTCTTTAAGGCAAATCATAAAATCGTTGTCACCATCAAATAATGTCCTGAACAAGTTTCAAATTTAATAATGATTAGATTGAGCAAGCAAATGTTGATGTAAAGATAAAATGTAGTTCAAAAACTTACTTGTCAATATTACTGTAGAACCACTCGTAACATACCCACTTATGTGCTTTTGGTAATTTCAAGAGATTCCGTAACCGCATACCAATCTTTTGGCCAATTTTTCTGTCTGGTGATGAAGGGCCTGGTGGTGGATGCTTTTCAACCGTTTGTGGTTTTTCTATTTTAATGGGCTTTGAGACTGGAGTAGAAGGCGTGGAAATGGATCTTTTAGGTTCATGATGAATAATTTTGTGATGTTTCTTCATTGGTGAGGGTCGTGTAATCTTTTTAGGAGACTTTGTAGGTGTAGAATCTGGATCCTTTTTGACTCTGTAATAAATACAATTCAATAATTTTTATTTAATAAACAATTCATTTATGTATGACAAATATTTAGATTTTGTAATTACAAATATTACCTGTGATGGGGATGATTTACTAAAATATCATCGTAAAATAATTTATTCTTTTTCCTTATTCTTGCTGGCATTCCTCTTCTATTGAGTACTTGGACAGGTTGAGGAGGATTAGGTTTTGGGGGTGGTTTGGTACCAACCCTTTGCAAACCTAATAAAGCAGGGCCTAGCTCCTGCAATGGCTCCTCTTCAGTTTCCATTTGGAGCTCACCAGAATTATTATTGGAATTCTGGTTATCATCAGAGATGTCCATTTCTTCCTCCATTATTTCTCTTTTAACGTTGACTTCAAAGCCACCGTTTTTTATGGATAAAAGAGCCTCTGCAGATTCATCTGTAAAGAGAAAAGTTCTTACTACTTAAAGTTTATCTTATAGGTGCAGTTCCATATTTAATAATAATCAAGGTTAAATACTATTTTTTATATTTAAAGAATCAGTTGCCAAATATAGGACCGAATTTTTTAAGAAATTATAAAGTTGAAAAATAAATATTTTTTTCAATTTTTATTTGCTTTATGCATATTTATTTTATATTGAACTCAAATTTTAAAAAGTTGACATAAAAATGAGTTAAAATGTGTAAGTCAATCAAGTAATGAAATAGAATTTATTATAATATCATAAATATTTAAGCAAAATGGGAAATAATTAAACATTGCTTCAAATATACATATATAAATTAAAATAAATAATAACTTTTGACCTTGATCATGATTTGTTAGAAACAAAATTGTATTTATATGGACCATGCAAAAATTATGTACTGGGAAATAAAAATACATTGAATATTCAATGCCTAAAATTGTAGTTGCATTCCATTCACTTATGATTACATACAATTAAAAATGGAGTCTGCTAGCACCAAAACAGAGCCGAGCTTTGAATGTACTACGCAAAACTTGACGAAAGCGTGCCAAGTGAACTGAAAAAACAAGTTCAAAAAGGTACCCAAGTCATTAAGAACACCTCGTTCAATGTAAATCTTTCTCAATAGTTCAAAATAACAAATCGATATTTCGCATTTAAATCGCTCGTGAGTACAACTTATTATGCACTGACTACGAAAAAAAAAAAACAAATGCAACATGATGCGCGACAAGAGTAGCAGGTAGGCAAAAGAAAAGGAAAAAAAAAACAAAAAAATTATATACTACCACAAATAGCCATTATCAAAAGCCATGCAAAAAAGTCACAATTCGAATGTCATTTTTGCGCCTGGTGCTGCTGTTTTTGAAACGACCGAGCATCCTCCCTGCTCTCGTTATTTTAAATTGTCGCTAATTCGAAGGTCGCCTTTGTAAAAATGCAGCAGGATCGATGAAATCACACGTAAATACCCGAGCTACGTATTGATCGAATGATAAAAAAATTTGCTAGACGCGCGAAACCAAAAAAGTTTTTTATTAGCAAGTCAGCTGAAACATAACCAAGCTAAACATTGTACACCAGCTGCAGTGGCAGAGAAACACACTTACACATTGATACATAGTAAACACGCACGTAACAGCAGCGCGAAAATCGGGTCTTTGAAAAGCGCAAAATCACTGATAATCACTTGGAAATCACCAAATATCACCTTGGCGACGACAAAATTATTGGTTTTATTTGATAATCTAAGGCAAGATTGTACGAGGAGTTCGAAAGTACCGAGGTCGTAGTGGTACCTCGGCTGTATTTTTGAAATTTTGAACTGCTGAGCCAAATTCAAACGGCGTTTCAAATACTCGGCTTAACGATTACACAAACTCAAGAAACTACATGGAAGATGATAACTCGAGGCTCGAAAAAGATCATGACAAGTAGAGGTATGATGGAAAATCGTAGGTACACTCGATAGCTTGGGAAATTTGCGTGAAATTTTCTACTTACTTTCAATCTCGTCCGCCATGTTGACGTTGCTACTGGCACTGTGATGCATGCCGCCGCCAAACTGTTCGTCCCGCGCGACGCGCTGCTCCATTCGCAATACTTACTGCGCATGTGTCGAAATGTTTCTGCGATGGACGACCGCGTGAACTTTCTCAACTCGAATTTTCGAATTCCATTTCTGTATTTCTCTCTTGAAGTATTTAATAAATCTATCGTAATTTATCATAAAAAAATATATCATTTTTTTCAAGTAGTCTAACTCATTGTTTAAATGTTTTTGGTGATTAACTGATGCCATCAGCAAAGAATTCCATATAAAACTATAGTATAGATCTTTATTGTATGTGGGGGCGTGCTTGTCGGTTTTCTAGTTACAAACTGGCGCTTTACATCAAACTTTAAATATATTTCAAACTTTGATTACATATTTTTTTTTAAATAATGGTTAATAAAAATATTATTGTTGTTTGTGATATTTTAATGTTATTCCATTGATATGTGCCAATATAAAATTTATAATAACGAACATAAAGATTATAAGTCCTAAATAAATACAACTTTTATATTTTCATTTACACGCTAATCGAAATTACTTGTCTTAATCAATTTTTGTAATTATTGTGATTAACACTTTGGTTGCCTTCATTTTCAGTTCAAAAATTCACCAATACGAAGTTCATTATCAAAAGAGCTCTTGTAACTATGATTGTAGCAGTTTTAACAACTGTTATTTGCCTTGAGATAAAGCCAGGCATTCACAAATATTGCAGAGAAAAAGATAAAGTAATAGATGCGGAAGAAGTAGACGATTATTTGCTTGTCGATGCTGAAATCAATTCTTCAATTATTTTGGAATGTAGATTTTGGTGAGAGCTCAACGTGTTACGATAAAAGAAAAATTACAAGTACAGGAAAAAAAATATGTTAATGCGCCGCATTTAATGAAGTCCTAATTATATTATAATTAAAAATGAAAAAAAAATTCTTTGAAGAAAATGCCTTGCTTTGAAATCTGGCATCATGGTTTCTACATTGGTATTCCAACAATAGTCTCTGCTTTAAAAATAATGCCCTCGCCGTTCTATAATGAGTTCTAGTATTAGTATATATATATCATAAAATGTAATCGGTTAATAATCTTAGAAATTTTACTTCACTATATTGATAATAATTTAATATAAAAAATAATTTAATGCGCACTACAAAAATAAAAAGTACGTCAATTACAAAGCGAAGATCAGAATAAAAGAGAAGCTCCCAAGATATGGTACTGGCAAGATCCCGATCAATCTAACGAAATACGCGAGGTTGAATTAGACATGGATAATAACGTTTCGTTAAGTCGAGTTCACGTGACCAGTGAAAACGCCCTAATATTTAGAATATTTCACGAAAATGACACAGGGATCTATCGATGTCTTGGCAAAAACGAGACTCAGGAGAAGGGTTTGCACAACTATCGAATAGAATGTAAGTCCTATGCTGTTTTACGTGAGGCAGATACGCTTGAAATTATAATTCAACGCACGTTTTAGTGACAGTTAAATCAAATAATTCGGATGTCAAGGGCGATTTGGCCGCATACGAACATTTCAAGAAAACCAATCTCGATCCTCTTAATAAAAAATTTGCGGCAAGCATATTTTTCTGATAATCTAAATTAAATGAGATTACTGACATTTACTGATTAATTTAGGAATCGGACATCGATGAATTTGTAGGTATTCGAGAAGCAGGAATAAGCCTCGAAGTCGTTACAGAGTGGGGTGTTTGGGGACCGTGCAAAGAGTGCGTTAAAATGCGAGGAGTAAAAAAGAAGCGGGGTCACTGCCGGCTAAAATGCTACTACAATGAAGTTATACTTTAAGCTTAAAATTGAATGAATATCTGACGAATGAATACGAAAACTCATTGCCCCTATTTCAGAGTACTACGGGCGATTCCGAAATTCTACAAATGTTCAAAAATAATCCGACGATCCCTTGCAAGTTTGTTGTTACAATTGAATAAACGACAGTGTTCCGTATATCGCCATTCGAATGCTCATCTTGAACGACCAAACATGTTGTTTGTAGGTCGAGATTTCTACAAGAGCTGTTTCCAAGTGTTAGTAACGCAACGGGGCACTTGTCGGAATTCGTACTCACTGAAAAATGCAAGCCTTGCAAAAAGGAGAAGAACAAGAAAAGGCGCAAGTTTAAGTATAAAAAGCGCTACCTTTTGGCTCAAGGGGGCCACCTTACGCTTTCGTGCCCCAAGTAATTATTTCTTTTGTTACGAATTTTCGTGGCGCACCAATGGCGAAAGCTCGATAGAGGGTGATTTATATGCCCGAAAAAAATCACTCCGAGTGCGGACAGTCCAATGTTCAACGTGATAAATTCATTTGGTAAACATACCGTACGTTAATCGTGACCTTGCTTATTTGTCTGCTTTTGTCAATTCCTAAGGACGTTTATGCTGGCTCGTTTGAGCTATTCAAAGGTCGTGTCTTGGTGAAATCCCCGTGGTTTACGATAAAAAATTGGTATTCTACTCGGGCGACCAACGCGTCAAAAATATCTTGTCAGGCGTTTAATTGTTCCTCGGTACAATTACAATATATTTGTCTTCCGTTCACTCAGCACAACAATATTATCAGACATCATTTGGATGAGAGATTCAAAAGTCTTGCCACGGGGAAAAGGTCGTTCTGTTCGCAAAAAGGACTCGACGCCGCGGATATACGTTGATCACTACAACACTATTTACCTCAAAGGTAAGTTGTTTGTTTTACGCAATCACTAGCACTTTTTCATTTCAAGTAAATTTGGAGCAATAAAATACTCATAGATGTATCGGATCCGGAGCAAGGAAAATACACGTGCACGGTCGACGATAAGCGAATATTGCAGGTCACAGTCGTCGTTGTACCTAAACGCGGACTTCTATTTGAAGGTTCGTTTGCAAAAAATTATGAAGAAGATATAAAACATAATTTGTTTATATGATCGACGAGCATGTATAAATAATAATTTAAAATCGGAATTGGCAAAAAATGTGGAACGCTTCACGATTTTGCGTGTCATCCTTGCGCAGGGGCCATGCTAATCTTCTCTGTATCGTTCCAATTTTAGTATATGTACTGCCGAAGCAAGTACGAACGCTTGAATGCAATATGCGTCTTATATACCAATCATCGTGATTTCCTGCCACTCGCGAGAAAGTCAGTTCATGATGTTACGCCACGTAGCGACCGCTTTGCCAATTATTCATCCAGTCGCTTCGTTGCGCGTGCGCACGGCGACTAGCGCCAGCTCTGGGGAAATCGAGTCGACGCGTCGATTCAAGTTCGAGATGACTCATTTACGATAGTTTTTTTTTTGTTTTTAGCGTTCGTCACGCATTTGAGAATTTTGGGATTTATCTTCCTGCTGACAACCGCTCTTTACTGTGCAGGTGTCATCAAAGCATGCAAACATCGAGATCAATTCAAGATTAAGACTTATGAACAACTGAAAGAGGAAAGACAGATATTTTCAAAGGCATAAATCACAATAAATTTTGTTTTTTTCTTTTCATTATTATTTGTTTGTTGCAAAAATCTAATTAAATTTAAATAAAACAGTTACTGTTAAAAATGGTAAAATAACAATAATAATTTACAAGATATGATTTTTTTGTAAAATTCGAACAAAATTTTAATTAAATATAAATTTGCTTTACATCGATTAATTAAACAAGCCCTAAATATAAAGTTTCGGCAGTATTATAGTAGTTGAATTAATGTTCAGGAGCACTGGTAGCTTTAAGTAACAGTAATACAAAATACTATTGTTTTGTAAAGGTAAGCATTTTCGGCGTAAATTTATTTCTTGCGTAAGAACTGGACGTTCGATTAATCACAACATATTTACCGCAATCGTTCGATCATCGTAAAATCGGTTGCAGAATTTATAATGAAGGACGCTACGAGAGCATATATACGGTAAAATTAATTCCACGCAACGCTCTATGAAATGCTGCCGCCTATAATAAAAACCGATGAGTATCGGCGGGACTGTTGCGAAATCGCGCCTACGGTCGTCCGCGTGCCCAAAGGCCCCCGCGAAGGTATGCGACGCACTTGGGATCGGCAAACGGCGTCGGTTGAAGTGGCGGGAGTAGAAGACGAGAGAGAGAGAGAGAGAGATGGAAGAGAAAGAAGTGAAAGGTGCTCGCGAGCAAGAGACGTGTCCGGATTCCCGACTCGGGCAGACGAACGTTTTCAAAATGGCTGTGCCTTCTGGAAATCTCGCTGCCCGCTGCTAAATATTCGTGAAAAATAAAATCAAGCGCAAGTTGTTAGGATGGCAGTTCGACGAGTCTTCGTCTTCGCGGCGATTTGCGTTCTTACCGAGCTGACGCCTGGAAGCCAAGGTAGGTGCATCGCGCGCGAGAGATGGCAAACCGACAGCGATGCCAGGGGTGTACGCGGTTTCAATGATATATCTTGGGGATTTGTTGCGCCGAATACCAAAAACACGTTATTTTATTTTACCGTCGCACATACCAGACAGTTCTTAAGCCTCGCGTTGTGGTCATTGAAGCATTGCGAGCAGTCGGTTTTGCCGATTTTTCGGCGCCGGCAAGGTGCCAATCAGTTTTTAGAAAGTTTTTTTTTTTAGCGGCTCTCGCGATGAAGCATTGTGCAAGAGCCGATAAGAGCCTTGAAAAAATCTTGAGCATGAATGGAGAATATATACATGATTTTAGGCACCCAACGATGTGTCAAGTGCAGGTCAAGAGGTGAGCTGGGTTCGTGCAAAGACCCTTTTACCATGAACGTCACGCAGATCGAGAGCGAACACGGAGTTGAGGTGCAACCTTGTGTGTCTCACTGGTGCGCCAAAAGTACGGAGGCTCGAAGTATCAATAATGGTAATTTGAGATTTTTTTGTGAAACTTTCCACGTGAAAAAATAAATTGCACGAAGCTAATCCGATTGCAATGAAAAATCGTTGTTCCTTCGCCGTTCTCTCGTATGCAGCGCGAGAAAGCGAGCAATGGTTTTCAATTTGCCCACGAGCGAATCGCATCGAATGCGCAAAGTGTTATTTCATAAGTAATTCTGATTCGTGCACTTTCGCAGAATACGGCACTGCGACAGAGCGCTGGTGCCTGCAACGTGGACCCGAAGACGGCGAGGAACGCTGCGCCTACACCAAGTGGAATGGCAAGAAGATCTTCATGTGCATGTGCCAAGGCGACTTGTGCAATACCACGAGCAGCTTGGCGATCGTTTCGGCTCTCCTCGTGATTAGCCCTGCGTACGCGCTGCGCTGGCTGTAACTTGTACGTATAGTAATCGATCGACCTGTCGCGAGGTCAATTTTAACTGACTTTAAATTCAGCGCGAAAGCTTCGCACGGCTGACTCGTGTAAGCAGCAGTCCAATTTCAGCTTATCAAAGGCTTTCGATTTTTATGTATTTTTGAGTAACAAGTTTCATTACTCGTTACTTCTTAGTAAGCACTGGATATTGTACGCTAATAGACAGTTAATCCTAGGAAAGTTTTGAATCGTGCGTGACAAGCGCATTATAAGCTCAAGGTGTTCCAAGTTTCTCGATTTGGCCGTGCTTGGCTATCACAGTCCATGTTCTTTATTTATAAAATTCAGGAATACCATTTGAAAATATAATGAACGGCTCTCAAAATAATATAGTTAAATTCATTTTCACTGAGAAATACGTAGAAATCAACTCATTTTAACAATTGTCAGTGCGTTCAATCCAACTAATTTTTTTTTTGGAACATGTCTATTTGTAATTTTATAATTCGTGTACATATCGCCTATACATTTTGTAATATACATTGTAATAAAAATGAAATACTAATCAAACTTAGTAAACGAATTTTTTGTCAGCTTCATTATACCCGATATAAAACATGGAATATTGTTTAACGTGGAAAAGCAATTGGCATAGAATATTCAAAGGACAAGAAATCGCGCAATGTCACAATGGCAACGATGGCTTTAAATATTTATGCGGAACCACGCCTAATCAGGTCTCAAACTGCCGAGGATGTTGCCACTCGAGCAATTCTCCCGTCTCACCTGATTATTCTTCGATCGCAATCGCAAGTGTGGTATCTCATGAAAGAACGTTTCGCCGCGTCCGTAGATGTATTTGATGGCCACGATCGCATTGACGCCGGTTCGTAGTTCTGGGTCAGGATAGTACTCTGCGGAAATCAATAAAAAGTTAATGACGCCAGAGTTGCGCGAAGCGAGAGAGAGAGAGAGAGAGAGAGAGAGAGAGATGAATTTTGCCTCTTTGGAGTGTACCCGGTGTACTGGAGAAGCGCCGGAGTGGCTTGACCGGATTCGTGTTCACCGTAGCTGATGTCGTGGCCGACGAGTGGCGGCGGGTATAAGGGCTGACGGTGAGTGGCCGCCGAGCGAAGTTGCGCCTGATTGATCGGACTGTGGTACATATTTCTTGGTCGGTTTGCTACGCGACACACGAATATCCCTTGGTGGACGATTCAACTTTCGCTCGCCTCGACCAACGTCAATCGTAGTGCGCACTTCGGAGAATAAGATTGCTGCGAGATCAGCCCGCCGGCTGCAACGAAGCACAGCACGCCGATCAATCATCGTCGCAAAGCGAAAGTCCCCGCGGAGCGTCAGCGCGCATAATGAGCTAATTAGTGTGTCACCGTGGGTAGCGATGTCGTGCTTCTGAATCTGGTGGGACGGCTGCGAGCATTTCACGCGAATGCGGCCGAGCGGCGATGTCTCTGACGCGCCCAGCACCGACGCTATCAGCAGCCCCAATATCTTTAGCTGAAATGTGTCTCGTTGCGCCAAATTGCGTATTGATGGCACGAATTTCAGTCTGTTTGAACACAAAAGCCCCGGGCTATTGTATTTGTTAGCTATTATGCTTGCACTCAGCTCGTTCGAGCGCGACAGACTTTACAATTAGGCAATAATAACGTCTCGAAGGCTGCCTAATGCGACGTATAATATTGCGATAGCGCACTCTCGCCTGCAGCTCACTATCGTCGGCGAAAGCTCCCTGTCTCTGGAGATTCGACTCTCGGCAAAAAAAAAGAAAAGAATCTATAGCTCGCGCTTCTAATTCAAGCAGAGGTCGCGACAAAGAATCCGGAAACAGGCAGCATTTAGCAACTCATTAATGCGAGACCGCGAAAAAAAGCGAGTAAGAATGACGGTAAAGAACGACACGTGCAGTTACAGTGTGTCTTGCGACTTTGAAATGAAAGCTTGAATAGAGGAGCTTCATGAAAATTCAAGAAAAACTATGCGAAGGTTTTCCCTCCGCGGCGAAAAAAAATGGAGCAGCGTGCCTGCATTCATACCGACAAAAGCGTATGCAGTTGCGCATTCACATACTGCATGCATAGAGGAAGAAAATGAGAGAGAGAGAGAGAGTATACAAGAGCATAATGAAGCCCACGTGCACATGGCCACTCGTTACATACTTTCGAACGGGATGCATTACTGCTATTCTTATTTCTTGTTGCTAATCTAATTGAGTAATCGGCGAGAATTATCGAGTTTGTCGGTTCGCGAAAAACTTCTAATCCTTTGGTTTTTTCTTCGAATTCATATAAAATCATTATCTTCCTATCAAAACTAAACTTTTATTCCTCACACGACTCGAATAAGTTTTGTCCAAAAAACGTGAGTATACTTCATAAATGTTGAGCCCGTCAGTAGTTAGAACTTCCAAACTCAGCTAAAATTTCTAACTAACCAGGTAGTACCATATAAGCCTTCAGCGAGGCCAAGGGAGTTTCCTAATGAGAAGTCGAGGCTCAAAGTCATCAAGGCGTCCAAAGCGATTCCTTCATTTTACGCGTAAATCACTTGGAAAGTTACCTGACATTCAAAATAAAACGAAAAGAAAAGAGAAAGGGGGAAGATCGAAGACTTGTATACCTACGAATGAGGTTGATTCTGGTCTAGAAAAGACGAAAAAAAGAGGTCACACACCCACACATACACCCGTGCGCGCGGGCGCACACACCCACACACACGCGCGCGCGCCCATGCACTCGAGAAGCGTGCTGGCGAAGGTTCAGCAGACAAGATGCTGTCTAAGGCCGCTGGCTGCATTTTAAATGCAACCTCCCTCGTACGCGAATCTCTTCTTTGGTGGGGTAACTCTCAAGTATACGTACTACTCGCCACTTCATCGCGGACCTCTGCGGTAGCGGTTGTGTGTGTGCGTGTGTGTATTGTGCAATGCGGACTGTTCGTTTTCATCGGCTCGTTGAAATGCTGCCTCTCGCGATAGAATCGACGCGTGTCTCTTTTCAATAGCCTCGCTCGAGCGTCTTTTGTCTGTCGATACAGTGAGCAAAGTGCGTATAGTTCGGGAAAATTAGTATGTGACAAGAGTCCAGAAAATGCCTCTGCGCTGCGGACAACGTGACGATTGAAACGTAGCTTCCAAGATAAGAGGCCACTTATCGAGTTTTGAGCCTTCGAGATAATAAGCGCATTTACGAAAACGCGTCTCGTTTTATTTTCTGTCGTTTCTTTTTGCCATCAAAGTATGGTTAAGAAGCTTCCTTACCGTCGGACAATCTGTATCGGAATGGCAAAATGAAGCGCGCGACCGTGTCTCGTGATTTACATTACCCGCATAAATGAATAACCGAACGACAGCTTCGAGCCGTAAAATTTGAGCCGACATTCGCGGGCGTATACGCGCACCCCTCCCCATAAATTTTAGTTTTGCAAAGATCGACAATGCCCGCGGGGGTCACTGATCGCGCGCTCCGGTGACTGATTCGCTCTCCGTTTGACCACATCGCGTAAAGATTAGATAGACGCGTCTCATCGTAATAGCCGTATACACGCGCGTCCATCCGGAGGCTGGACGCGCGGTGCGGCTTTCCTTCCTCCCACCTGCGAGGCTTTATCTGCTTCTTCAATTTTGCAATCGTGGCGATTTTTGTCGTCCATTACTTTTTATAGCGGGTGAGGCGAGTGACCCTTTGCGAGTCAGTTATTCACGCGTAATCACGCGCGACGATTTATCCGCGACGTTCGTGTCCGTGCATGCGTTACCGTGTCCCCGCAGTCTTTTATTCCTTTCGAGGGACTTCACGTTTTCCCGATTCGTACGTTTTCACGGGCATGGAAAAGCGCAGCAATTACCGCCCCGCCGTCGACGTAATCAATGTTGCAAATGAGCAAGTTCCGGCAGACTGCGCAGCAAACTTGCCAGGTGTACACATTTGAATTACAGCTCGCGTCGAACGCCCCCGCGCAGAGTTTGATGGGCGCGTGTAGCATCAAGTTCGCCTTATAGAGTTCGACGAACTTTCGCAGCGCGTATCTCACGAATCGCGATGCCAAATATCAATTTGGAATGCAAAGTCACTGCAGCGAGCGCAAAGCTACGCTTTCGGTTTTGGAGCTCGCGCGATATTACTTTCCGCGGATCGCGACGCGAGCGCGCGAGCCAATTGCTCCCCCGGCGCTACGAAAATTCTTTCTTTTAGCTCAGAGAGCCCATCGAATTTTGCAGGTGTAGCACGTTTCGCGATCGTAATATGCAGCTCAGAAATGTAATCGGGCGCAGTGAAGCTACAGCGCAACCTCGCGATTTGTTGCATATGCGAGATGCAATTTGCTCGGAGTTCGACGGGGAACGGGGCGTCGGCGTCGACGGTAACGATTAATAACGCGCATCGCGTCTCGACCGCGCACAAAGGCGCCGCGCGAGTCGCGGTATCCTTCATAAAGTGCCAGTAGCGTCAGGCACCGCGAGAGACCGCGCCGTAATCCAGGAGTAAAAGAAATCCAATAACGGCGCGTGAAGCGAATTCCAATTCGCCTGCGCCGCCTGTGAAACAACTTGAATGGGAAACGGCTATAACAGCTTCCATTACGGAGACTGACATAATACTTCGGCCGCCACGCTTCGATCCGCTCGCGCAGAGCCGCGATAGGACCTCGGCGAGATTGCATTTCGACTCGCGCCGCGTGCATCGAGCGATCAATCAACGCCTCTCTCGGCGGATCTCAATTGAAACGACGCTCGTCATCGGCCACAGTTTTCCGCGTAGGACGCCCTCCCCTGCCTCTCGCGCCGCCGCCCGCGATCCTCGCTTCTCCTGCAATTTTCGCGCGTCAATTGGCTTGTTCCGAGCGATCGACGCACGTCGCGCGTGACCGACTTGCGCTTGGATTCGGCGGAAAAGCTCGCCTCGCCAATTCAATTTCAGGCCGGAAGCGCACGTAGTTTAGCAGTTGGCGGCACGGCCGCGGACGCACCGAGCGCTTAAACGGCAAACTTCGGGGAATCCGCGGACGCGAGCGGCGCTCTTCGCGGGAATTATCGTGCGCGCGACAAATTGCCGCTTCGTCGGCGCGCTACCGCGACCATTGCCAGCAGCAGCTTCTCCAGCGTACCCGCGCCTCGGGCGAACGACTCGACGCCACCCGAGCCGCGATACCCTTGCTCGCGTTGGCTCTGCCGTTTGTTTGTTCGTTGTTTGTTTCCTGCGTTGCGTGTTGTACGCGCGGGTCGTTACATTTACTCTTCGCCCGAGGGACGTTTCGTCACGGCATCTCCACGACGCTGGCTACTCGTTGATGAATTGAGACAGCAATTCTATTGTGGCCGTACGAGGGTTGTACCCGAACGTAGACCAATGGCGCCTGTAGCGCTCTCCTTTATTCTTTATTCACGCTTTACCTCGACCGTATCGACAAATGATTTGCCGTTTGTTATTTATGATAGTGGGGTGGGTACTTGGGCACCTACGTTTATAACACTTTTTGTTGTACTTAAATGGCTTATCGATTCGTCGCTGGGATGTAGTTTTAATGGCAATTGATGGCTAAATATAATTTAATGCGCCACCGTGATCCAGCTCGGGGCCTCATATTTCCATTGGGATTATTTGGAGCGAGAACAGCGAGAATGCGTCAAAAAAAAAAAAAAAAAAAAAATTACGACAAATTCTAGCAGAATTGTTACGACCTTTAACCATTATCGAATGGACAGCTGCCGCTAGCTCTCTTTATAAGCTGATCCGTCGCAAAGGCTTCGTGTTTCCCAAAAATAAAAGAGTTTCGACGTCGATAAAAGATCAAAGCTGCCCTGCACTTTCACCGTACACAACTGTTAATTAAACTTCTCGTTGACATTGTTTTGGAACTTTTAATTACCACGAGAGTCAAACTCGTTTGCTCTTCGCGTGAATTCGTTACTCGCTAATTGGTCGCGCATCGCCTCTTTCAGCCGCGCGAATACTCGGCACGTATTTTTTTTGCGTCGAATTGGTTCTTTAACGCTGCGGGATCAACTCTTATTACCGGCAATACACGATCCGCATCATTCCAAGGTCCGCGTCAATTCGATCATGACTGTCGTTTGAAGTCCGAGGAGAAGAAAAAGGTGAACCTTTCGAGACCTCGCAGAAGAACGACTGTCGCTCTCATTTGCGAATACGTTACCGTGACTTTTTTTTTGAAAGTCGTTGACTTTCAACGGGAATAAACGGCTCGCTCCTTTAGCTCGTCTCACGGACGCGCGATTAAATACTTACCAGATCGATGCAGCTTTTTAATTTGCCAAGAACCAACTTCAAACTCGTTATACGCTTGGTATCGGCTTGCGTTTCCGCAAACGACGTCCACTTCACAGACTGCGAGAGAAAGGTTACAACGTCGGCGCATTATTGATGTTCCTTTTCCTCAAGACATCGATATAATGGAAAGAAAATAATTTGCCGCATGTATTCCAAGTGCGAAAACGCGTTCGCGTCACTCGGCCCATACGACGCGCCCCGTGTGTACGAGACGATGATAATAAATGGATTTCGATTGAGTGTCAGATAGAAGGGACAGATCTCGAAAGGGGATGTAACTATCAAGCGAGGTCACGACCTGCACGGGGGAGGCGAGCACAAAGGAGAAAGCTCGGGAGCGGCAGAGAGAAAACCGGATAAATTATTTGGTTTGTAGGTTAGGGCTTTTGGTGTCGTATTTTCTTGTACGCTTTTAGAAAACAGCGTGCTGTACTAATGGCGTTCGGTCGATCAACGGAGCAGTACTGAGGGATTGTATACACCGAGTGTGTGGCTTTCGCTGAGAGCAAATACTTTCTACAAGTGTGCCGGTTAGACGGAGTTGCTACATAAATAACACGAATCCTCGTAAAAACCATATGCTCGAAATGATTATATTGATTCTCATGTATAAAAAATCTGAAAATATATCGAAAGCTATTTGCTCGTACAGAATGTTTCGCGTACTGCCTCGATTTACTTTTCTGTAAACCTCACGGTCGAAGGCATGACTTAAAGTTCTTTAAAGCCTTCTGGAGCGCGAAAAGTCGCGGTACGGCGATCAAGGATTTTTTTTATTCGTCTTACGTCACTCGATTGTTATTGCATTTTGAACGTTTCAAAATGACGTGTTACCCTGAGAAATTGCAGCTCTGCCCTCGAAAGTAGTGAATTCGAGCACTTCGCGCAAAGGTATTCGAGCGAGCTTACATTTATTCATACGACAAAACTATTTTTCCGTCCCCTTAAAATACCTCCCATCTCGAATTCGTCACGTCCCCGCCAAAGGTATTATTCACCCTGGAAACTGCCAGACGAAAAAATGAGCTTTCCTCGTCGCGCATCAGTAAAGCCGATACCTCGTATAGATATATTTGCCAAGGCATTCGATAACCGTTAGCTACACTCGAAGGCACGCCGTAAACCATCTGCGCTCTCGGAAACTCCCATCACGATACCGTCGACAGTGAGTGCCGCTGCGGGGTGGTTGGACGTAAGAGCGAGAGAGATAGAGGAGAAAGATGCTTAGTTTTCCCGAAAAGAAAAAAGGGGTGGTAAACGCCGCACAGATGAGGCCTCTCTACTACCCACGGTAGTCGGAGTTTGACCCCCCCTCCCCGTCGCCCTTAGGAAAAAATGGGGGGGGGGGGGGGGAGAAAGCGAGAGAGAGAGAGAGAGGACGGCTGCTGGCGGCTGTGTTTTGTCCTATTGCTGCATCATTTGGGATTGTCGATCTACCTAGTCGAGCCTGCGGCTACCACGCAGGCAGAGAAATTTCCGAGCTGGTGGTTAGTCCATGCGCTGACCTGACCCACAGCGCAATTCACGGAATCCAGCCGAGAGCGAAGCTGTTTATTAAGCTACTTTAAAGGTTTGTCGTTCTTGTATTGCTTGTCTCTTTCTGTAAATTATTCTGTGCGCCAAATCATTATTCTATCAAATTCGCCGACAGTTTCGAATAATTATTTTGTGCTGCTAGATGAGATTCACAGAAAAGTGTATTTTTCTTTATTTATTTTTTATATCAAAGAGAAGTAACAAGGATTACTCTTTTCGAAGCAAGAAGATTCCCTCGTGGCAAAAGAAAATCCTCTCGAACCGAGATAAATCTTTTTGCATCTGCATCAAAAACTGTTGTTTCGACGTTTCCCAAATCTCATATTCAATACCTAATTCCGACTGTTTGCTTTCGAACGAAAAGCAGGCCAATAACAGGCACAAAGTTCACCTAACAAGCAATGTCACCGGGTCAATTAAAGAAAAAACGGAAAACTTGAGATTTTGTGACTGCCGGCGTTCGAAAAACTGTGTCAATTACAATTGAAATGTATAAATATTCACAGTGTGTATCGTTCCGGTTCGAGGTCAGAGAGCGAGAAGTCGCGCGTCTCGTTACTTCGTTCCGCACGAGCGCGACATATGGTGCTAGCCGACGAGGGAAAAGCTGCACAGGAACTGTGGAGAGCGTGTGGGTAGGTCGGATGAAGTGCGCAGAGAGGTCCAGATCGAATGGAAATACACGATCCAATTAATCCGTAATTGAAAACAGCCTCTCGAACTCGAGCGCGAGTAAATAATCCAACGAGGTACGTGGCGGCACAGGGGGTAAAGCGCGAGACGGCGTGCGGTGGCATGGCGTGGGCGGATACACCAGCCGCTCTCTCGCACCGGCGCCGTGCAAAATTCCGGCGAGAAAGTTTGCACAAGCTACCGGGGTAGCCGCGCGGTGTCGCTGCGGGCGCGACTTTGCTAGGGCGAGCAGCAGTAGAGGGAAGCTGGGCAGTTCAGTTTCCCAGGCAGAGCCGCCGTCTTCCCTTCGCGTGCCGTTCGCGCTTCTCCGCCTCCTTTGCCCCTTGTCGGCGCGGACACACCTCCGATATGAGATCGTGAAGGGGTATAGCGCTCGCCCTTTTATCACCGCCGCCGTTCTGCATGCGCTGCTAAACTCTCCGCGGTAAACATGTGCGGGAAATGGCCGGCATTGGTCGGCTCGTGTTGTTGTGGCGCATCGACTCCATAGGCTGTTTCGCACACTCGCTGAGTGCTGCTTTTCTACCGGCCCGGCGTCGCCTGCTTTTTTATCTAATTTTTTATACGAGAGCCAGCGGTGTTCGATCTTCTCAGTTGTTACGCGACAAGTTTTATCAGTGTTTTAGTAGCGTTCCGTTCTTCTAACCTCTACCTCTACTACCACTACGTATTTTTTCTTCTCGAAGTACGATCGTTGTCGAAGGTTTGATCCTTTTACGTATGCTGGTATACTCTCCTACTTTAACCAATTATATTTTTTTCTATTATGTAATTATGTAACGCCATAGTCCCATTTGTGGAGTTGACATAATTTGAATTTGTACTCCAAAATGTCAGTTTCTTTTGTGCCTCTTGTTAAATCCTCTTATTGTTGCAGACTGATAGGAACTATGTCATTAGAAAATGCACAAATTTTTGACAAAACTGCCTATTCGCACGAAGAAATTCCTCAAGCCTTAGAAGTATGTTTAATTTACATTTTCTTGTAACGACAAAAAATTATGGTTGTGTTATCATTTGATTTAATATTTTAATATGATTTGTAGGAATATCAACAAGATATTTTAGGCGAACTGTCAGTATTCATTAATGATAATAATATAAATAATATACCGGTACAACAATTAGTACTTAATGATGAAATACTCAGTAATTTAACTGCCGTGACATTGCCGGATGGAACGCAAGCATTTGTTACGCAGAGTGTTAATCATAGTAATGGTATGTAAATGCAATTATAATCTTTTGTTATTAATTATAAACCTTTCAGAATTACGTCCCGTAATGATAATGTTATTTTACAATTTTTTTTACGTTTTGAAGTAGTATTTTTTACTGATCATTGGCTTACAGGTTATCTCATTTTTAAAAGCGCCATAATGTAGTGAATTTACGTACTATTATCTCATCGAATATTGAGCGCCAATTTCGAAACTCAACTCAACTAATTAAAGATTATTTGATTTTTTCAGAATGTGAAAAAGAAGAAACTTCCCTAAATGTAGATGATGGTGCAATATTTGTATCTCATGTTCCAGATCTTAGTCATAATAAACTAATGCAAATGCAACTGGATTCCTTAGTAAAAGAATGTACGCAAAATGATAATAGTGTATCGAGTGATGTAGAAAATATTTACCCGCAGGTGCAAGTTATAAATGGTGTAGTATATGTAGTAATGAATCAAATAGAGGATCTGCAAAATGTATGGATAGAATCAAATGAAAAACCAAAGAGTGATGCAGATGATGCAGATAATCAAAGTGAAGACGATAATTTTAAGAATGTGCATAAATGTCCCAGAGAAGATTGTAGTAAGAGATTTAGTACTATACACCATTTAAAGGTAAATCGTTTATGTCGACGTAATGTTGTCCAAACTTAACGGTGTTTATCTGAAATTAATATTTGCAGGTACATGAACGGACGCACACAGGTCAACGGCCCTATGAATGTACACATTCGATGTGTAAAAAAAGTTTTTCTACAGGCTATAGTTTAAAAGCTCACTTGCGTACTCATACTGGCGAAAAGCCGTATAAGTGCCAAAAGGATGAATGTGATAAGAGTTTTAAAACTTCTGGTGATCTTCTAAAACATGTTAGAACCCATACTGGTGAAAGACCTTTTGTCTGTCCCTTTGATAGCTGTGGTAGATCCTTCACAACAAGTAATATTAGAAAGGTAAAAAGGATAAACAATTTTTCTTGACTGCATTATCTAAATCATTTTTTTTCGTCTTATAATTTAGTATAATTCTGTTGCGCGATCGTTATACGATTTATCAAATTATCTTATACAAAAAGTATATCATTATGGCTGTATGAATTCCTCATCAATATCTTCTAACATAATGACAACTTAAATCTAACTTTCAATCAATCGTCAACATAATAATATTATTTTTCATGTCATTTGAATGAAATTTTCAGGTACACATACGAACACATACAGGGGAGCGGCCTTTTAAATGCCCCTTGCCAAACTGCGGCAAGGCCTTTGCTAGTTCTACGAATTATAAGAATCATACGCGTATACATTCTGGCGAAAAACCTTACGTATGTTCAATTAAAAATTGCGGCCGGCGGTTCACAGAGTATTCTAGTCTTTACAAGCATCATTTAGTTCATACCCAAGAAAAGCCTTATCGTTGCGAACTGTGTCAAAGGCAGTATCGACAGCAGAGTACACTTCTTATGCATAAGAAAACCGCCCATTCTGGAAATGGCAACGATCAAGATGAAATTTTGGACGTGCTATTAGAAAATTCCGTAGATTTAATTGACGGAGCTAGGGTAAGTTTTATGGAACTTCTTCCCATATTTCCAATTAAAATTGTATTCATATCAAATGTAAATTTTTTTAGAAAAATAAGTTAGGGAGCGAAGCGAACACGGGAGCTTCTGAGTGCAATGTAGCAAATAATTCGCAGTTCTTACTTATTGATGATCCTAGTCAATTGATAAATCTACAGGTCCGCATCAAACTTTGTTTTTGTCATTTTGACAGTATTTTATGATTTCGTTAAAAAATAATTTAACGATTGCATTACAGGCTCTAGACGGACTAAACGACGAGACTGTAGATAATCCTATGGATATTGAATTAGATGAAATGAATGTTAGATTTGAAGGTGTTGAATTCAAATGGAATTAACGTATAGGTGTCAACCCCAAATTATAGGCGTGAATCTCAAGTCGAGCTTTGACGTAACACATTCTAAAATATTATAGTTCAATAAACTTTATACAAGTTTTACGAAATAGCAAAATGAAAGTAATGAGATTTCTAGTATTGTGTTTATATTTATTAATGAATTAGTGGACACATTTGACATCAAACTATTAAGTCAATTCTTGAGTCTAATGTACGAATTTTTGTAATTTGAATTTATCTATTTTTAAATATATATACACGTTCATTATGACTTTAATTTTTGATAAATTATTGGATACAATCATTTTGCAACGTGTGGCAATCAATTAGAAATATGAACATCTTTTTATGTCTGGTTTAGTCTTAACCAAGTAGTTCATTTTTTTTAATCACCGTGAATGTTTTATGTAAAACGATTGTATCTTAGTAATTGCAAAAGTCATTTATCCGATCCCTACCAAAAATTATGAAATACGTTCTGGAATCTAGTTCGTTTTATCAGATACGAGTCGGTTTCATTTGTAAAAATAACCACAAGAAAGAAGAAAAAATTTCACATGCCATACTTTTTTTCAACGTTATCGACACGAGAAAGCTCGGTATCAAAGAATTGATAATGGCCATTCTTAGCTATTGTGCAAGAGTTGAACGCGCCGTGAAATCCATTTTACGAGGTAATTTTGCCACCTGGATTGACGCACAAACTTTCAAATAGTCGACAACAACATACGCAAACGTGAAGATATCCAATTTCGTACGAAAATACATCGTGATCATTGTGCGAATTGTTATAATTGGGAAGAAATGTAAAGAAGGCGAAGGAAAGAATTTTTTCCGCATGAATTATCTTATCAACCGATTGAATAATTAAAAATCAAACGAGTATATGAATTAAACATAATTATTCAGATTAATTTGAATACGTTATAAAATTCTTTCTAAAAATATCTTATTTTCCTTGAATGAATAAAATGTACAAATAACCAAAATGTTTGACGAGATATCAGTATTCGCTTATTTCAACCGAATTTATCTAGTATTTAAGTAAACCAATAGGTGTAAAATTGGAAATAAGATTTGAAAAAAGCCGCACGAAAACTCAACACGTTTCTCGCAAAGCTCCTCTTCTGCAGGTTCTAGGAAATTCCACGAAGCTCCAATTGCATGCTATTCGTAAATTTGTACAGATGTTCGCGGCGTGGTTAATCGATTAGCATTGTGATTGCTCGCTTCCTCCCAGGGAGAGTGTTTGCCGAAGACGCGTCACAAGACTATTTTTCCCTCTCTCTTCGATTCAGAACGGGCGTACGTCAGCGTTGCCACTGGAAAAATTTCTCTCAGGGTCCCTAGAAATTATTCCACTTCACGTAGTGCAATGATTTTTAAGAACCCCGAGAGAACTATTTTCAGCGGCGACGTTCGCGTACACATATTTACTTTTATTTTTCACGCAGGCGGTCCTACTTTTATTTCGCGCCTCCATGGTCAACAGCACGAGTCTGTTACGCGCTTTTTTTCTCTTTCTAAAGTCTAGCCATGAGATGAGTTTCAGATCGATCGATTTGCGTTATTTCACAAACGATTTCTGTGAACTAATGCATCGGGATTGATAAGTCGTCTATAAAACCTTCGATAGCATAGTGAAACACGGCATTCTTAAAATTCCACAGGCTTTTCTGAATAATCCTTGCATACCTTCTTAACTAAGTGAATGCTAGAGCTGAGTAATGTAATTTAACGAACAAATTTTCCATTTATTACATCAAAAGCTCAAGTTTTTTAAACAAATAAAGAATTCCAATGACATCGCGATATTTTTGTGACATTGATCAATAAATATTCCTTTGTTTGGGTGTACGTTCGTTAATACAATGCACCTGTCCAACCAAATATTATAAGGATATACATCGAATTTCCCAATTCCAATCAAAACACAAACACAAATTATAAATACCAATGCCGCTGCAGAATTCGTATTTAATAATCTTTGGGCATAGTTAACTTAAAAATAAACCCAATTCGCACTTACGTTTGACGAAGCATAGAAAAGCAATTGTGTCAGCTTGGAATTCTCGATAATACAAAGTTTTAACAAACTAACGAACGCGGTGCGCAGAAGAGCAATGGTCTCAGCCTTCGTCTACTTTTCTTGTTGTCGCGCCTTATGCGGCTATCTAACGACTCCCACCCTCCGCAAAAACGCGAAAGACAGTACCTGAATCTGTGTACAAAGTTTAGTCTTCGATTGCCCGACTCCTCGGATAAGCGCACTCAAGATCATTGTACTTCTATGAATACAATTCTTTTTCTTTTTACAGGATAAAGATAGAAATTAAAAACGAATCTTCTTAAACAATTTACATTTTCAAATGCAATATGTTTTTCGAGGTCTTTAAAGAAACGAAGTATCCTCGCTTTGGCAAGTACATTAATCATTTACAACATTTACGATGTACAACAATAAATTCAACCTAAATCGTTACACGCATCAATGATAGAATCTCGAGCTTTCAACACCGATAATGAGAGATAAGGTAAGTTGTAATACATTAAAATGTCTTGTAATCGTTACACTCTAACTGATCTAATATAAAGAAAAAAATAATAACAATGCACTTTATTTTATTACAGAAGAAAGCTCAAACCTCATTTTTGCGCTGAGCTATCGAAAGACAAAGATTGTAAAAAAAGATGATGGCAAAATATTTGGTGAGTGCATTTTGCAACAATTTGTTACATTTGCTGTCGATCGCAATCATGCGTGATTATCAAACTATCAGTAAGAGACAATCGGTTCTCTTATGACGTTACTTTTAGCTGATCGCGATAGGTGAACGTGAATCACATTTTATTGTTTTGATTTTGTCTGAATTTTTATGACAAGGCGATCATTCATTTCTTATAAGGGTTGTTAATTTTTGCTCTCGCGGAATTTTATACTTGAAAAATCGCGTTTCAACATTACAAACAAATACGAAATATTATCAACGTAAAAAATTTCGTACATTAGGACAAAACCCTCTCTTTGAAATTCGCGCTACAACAGAGCTTTCAATAAAATTAACGAGAAATGAAAAGAAAAAGTTAGGAAATCCAATGCAAGTGAGTCCAATCTATAGTTAATCAGGTGAGTAGCCTCGGTTAATCCACAAAGATCGTTGCGCTTATCTCCTCCGTGCATATACACAATGTGAAATATCGAGATAAGTAGATATCACACAATGCTCCTTGATTTCTCGATATATACGTAAGTACGCACCTTCTCGTATGACTCGTCGATTCAGCCATATAGCTGTACACAAGTGAGGTCTATGATTTCGAGGGCTTTCTTTTATTAATTGGAGCATGCCTTTTTTCTCTCTTGTTTGCCTTACTCTTATGTTCTATATTGGGTTCCCTTTTGTACGATATTTTCATCATTATTTTAACAAAATTCGAGTCGTTACGTTTTAAATTAAAAATATATCAATGAAACGTCGAGTACAGATACTCGATTAAAATGAACGAAACGAAGCTGTACTACAAGCAAAGTAATTTTACTTTTTCTTTAATTAAAACTTTTCTTTAAAGTTTTGAAATGATTTCATGTTAAGAACAATGAATGAAGATTAGCTCACTTAGCAATTTGCAATAGTTACAAAATTTTTTACAAAGCTAATGTATTTACAAAATGATTGATTTGCCACACATTTATGACCTAAAAAAATGAACAATAACTTTTCCCAATTGCCAAAGAAGATCATTAAGTCACGGTAAATCGCGGCGAATGACTTAAAAGGGGGCAAGATACTGAGACACAGCAGATAAACTATGCACGCGTAATTTTTAAACTGGTCACATGACCGGAAACAATTAGATAAATTAGTGGAAAAGAGTCTAATAGGGACACTAATACCTGAGTTATCTTCCTCTTTTCTCTTGAATTGTATACTCTATCGCATTTTCATCTTGTAATTTTCACGTAAAAGGACTCAATCAATATTTCCAAAATATACTAAATGAATCTGTCTGATTTTAAACTAGATACAACAGGATTGGTATACTTGTTCTGAATGAAAATGAAAACAGAACAAATATGCCTAAAAGTTATTCACTTCATGATAACTATGCTGTTCAATTTGTAAAATATTTATCTGTAATTGTAAAGAACAAAGATACAAGTACGTTCAAAAAAATGTTATTTATAGCATTTAAATAACTTTCTTACATGTCACAATATGTAGTAAATTTTTTAGTCATGGATCGAAGAATATAAATAATATCATGTATAATCTTAAGAGACTGTACAATCTCTTTCTCTAATCTGTCATTTTACAATGTTGAAATATTATCTCTATTTACTTGCAATGTCAGATATAATTTTGGTGCTAGTCCTGTCATTATCTACAATGATGAAAAGAATGAAAAGTTAATCAAAGAATTGTGAAACTGTACACAAAAATTTTATTAAAATTTTGAATTGATCTATATTTTGGGCAATAAGATTTTTAACCAATTTTATGTGAAAGCTAAACATTTACAAGTATTTATATAAATCTGTAAATCTTGTAAATGAAAAAATAAATCAAATAATTGTAAAATAATTTATAGTATAAATATAATAGGTACAATAAAAGCTTATTTGTTTTCTGTTTTTTTTTTCTTAAGTTTTATAGCATAAGCAATTATTGTATTACGTGTTGTTATAAAAATTGTAATATTTATTTATTTCTTCAAAATATGAAAAATTTTATAAATCTTTGAAGTACTTATTCCTGATTTTTGTGCGATTTTTTTCTTCACCATCCAGCATACCACAGAAAGATAAGCTATATTTCAATTTTTCATTATAACATTTTATAGCTTCATAATTCAACTGCAATATCTTCAAGATTTGTTGGCTTTATTGTTTACATTATCCAATAAAAACAAGAACTTTAGAATTTATGAAATAGAATTTTTGACAATTTTAAACTCGTGAAAAAACATTCTTGAGTTTCTTTCTTAATAGTTTAAATAAATAAGTTATACTATTATTACCCAATACAAGTTGGATGTTTGCATCATAATTATGATTTATAAGACTTGAAAATATTGACACAGTTATTGCGTAACATCTTTGATAATTATTCAGTATCATATCTTAGAAAAGAAAAAGCTATTAATTTAAAAAATAAGATAAATGTATTTTCAACTGATTGAAAGTAGGTAATAAGTATTTGTTAATTAAATTAATTACATTTTCAGCATTGTTACACGTGATATACTGTATATGTAATACCAATACTGTTAAAAATACATCTTTGTTTCTTTGAAAATTTATAAATGTCTCATTTTATTCAACTTTTGCTCAAAAACTATAGTGTATTTTTCTAGTAGTTCTATAATCATGTAAGCTTTTTCAGTTAGTGAATTCTCGAAATAAAGCTCATCTGCAATATTGCATTTAATCAAACTATAAATACTTCGAATTGAATTAATTTTAAAAACCTTTTGCAGAAAGATCTAAAAAGTAAATTGTTTATCATAATTGCTTTTCTGCAATCATGTAAACAAATATTCAATAAGTCATGCACAATATTCAATATTCAATATATCTTTACATTTGTCAATATCAATAAGTAGTTCCCTCATATTTAAAGTGATCCATTTCAGTGATACCAATATATAGATTAATTAATCATGAATTCAATGAATAAATTGGACATAATCACTGATGGTACTTATCCCAGACTTCTGAAAATAACAAAATATGTACATTGTTTACAGAGAATAGAGAACCAAGCATATTTAGCACAATTAGAACAATATAATTACATTTCATATTGATTGATATAAGTATAATAAATTTTTTCAAAAGTTAAGATTTCTCCAGGTCTTATATTTTCTGTAGCTATAATGTGTCTTGACCATTTTTTGTTGTAATCAATAGCTATTGACTCTGAAGCTCAAGGTATTCCATCTAATGAAGGAAAACTAAAAAATATTTGAAAGTAATTTTTCATATCTTATTTGAGACAATATTTTTCTTTGCTTGCCACAACAATTCTTGAAATTAACACATCTTTCAATTTGTATAATTTCCTTTTTAATTCATCAAGCATCTAATCATCTACAAGTTACCAAGCTTGGTTGCACACCTCTTCTGTAGCTGATTTATACACAAAAAATGTAAATACTCATTTTTTTTAGTCAATAGTTGGATTTTCAAAAACTTGAATTGAATCATGGTGATTGCTCAATTACCATCTTTTGTACATTCTTTGAATTTTTTAGATGTACTAATAAAATTGATTTTTTACTGTAACTACATATAAGTTTTAAATTATTAGGTGCACGTGTAATACTTTGAGTGTACTTTTTACATATCTGTTAATACATCTTTCTATCATTATTCTTCATTTTATGCAAATCGTTACCTTTTTGCCAGGTATTGGATAAAATTACTGACATTTTACCGTCGACACACCGACGGAGAAGGACATGTATCATCTCTGTACCTCGTGCTCGTATACCTCGATACAGGCATGTGTTCACCAGGCAAAACAATAACCTGCTCTTCTTTTTCCGATATATTTAATTTACAAAAGTTTTAAACTTTATCACTATACTTTGATTTTCACAGTCCTACTATTTAACAATATTTACATAAAACCACAAACGTTCTGTACAGAGAAATCGCATCGTGTAAGACAAAAGCGAATCGAGACAAACTTTAATAATAAATAGATCATTACAACGAACGATATTGCACGTCAACGTTACACTTTTTAATGTCAGGTTATTCGAATTATGAGTAAAACACAGACGATAATAAGTAATTTAATCAAAGTATACGTAAGTCTGTCCTGACAAATAGTAATGAGAAGATACATGTGACGTTTGTTAAATTTTAACTTTCGATGTGTGAGAAATAAATGCTGTACACTTGCAAACGTTCATTCATCACACCAGTCGCTGCTCCATATACTTTTAAATCTCAGGTTTCCACTGCACTAACTAATTAGAAACCATTCTTATCTATTAAAACTATCGGTAAATGAGAAATTGAATTTATAAATGTATTTTGAATAAACATATTTGTATTCTGAATGTATATGCTTGTTTGTTTTTAAACGCAAGAATATATAGGAAATTCGATTAAGTAATAAATATTATTGTTTATTCAGTAATCTCACTATTTAAAAAAATTAAACAAGCTTACTCTTCAAGTTGATGGATACATTGAGACTGTTGCAAGACTATAAAAAGAATATTGATAATTGATATGATATAAAAAGTCAAGACAAAATTCGACATTTTCGACATATCACATCCAGACATTGCAATAATCTAATCTTATTCTTTTTCGACAACATTCCTTCCAATTTTGTTCTAACTATAATTAACTATGATACATTTATGCAAATTTGGAAACGTAAATTTTTGAAGAGATAAAAAAGATGGACAGCAGTCTCGCCTTTTACACCAACATCCATTGTAAATTTACTCACAAGTCAAATTCTAACACATTATATCTATTTACCTTTCATCAAGCTTGCGTTTCCTCGTTCGTTCATCAATTTGTCGCGCGTTCGTTGCGATATAAATTATTTAAGCACGAAGCTACTATGACTTTGCGCGCAAACTTCAATAATTCATCGTCGTTTTCTCACTGTAAGTGAGCATATTGTAAATCATCGAAGACTAGGCATTCAAAACGAGAGAGGAAGGAATACATCAGTTTTTTTGCAACCAATCGGCAATATAAAATGCGCAAGTTTCACTAAAATGACTCACCATAATACATATGTGGTCGACATGTGCGCAGGAGTTGTAAAAAGGAATACCGCCTTCTTTTTTGTGAATGACTTCGGGAGCGGCTCTACGAATTGTTCGAAAAAAAAAAAAAAAATCGACGCACAGATGTAATAACAAAATATATTGTTTTTTTATAAAAATAACGTATTTCCTCGACATATGATTTTAATTCGCCCAAACAATAAGAATTTCTGGTGAGAACTCGACTGATTTTTACTTGGCTTGTTCATAATTATGATGATAAAATTATAGAGTATCTGAAGCAGCAGCTGACAAAAAATCGCAACGATAATGTAAAACGTTTAACGATAAAAACAATTATGATCTTTCATACGAGAAAAGCAAATAAAAGTTTATCTTAGTGTCGAATTTAGAGTTACAGTTTTTTTTTGAGCGATGAGCTGCACACGCATTATATTCAGCAAATTAAAACCATACATCGATATATTTCATACGCTTCAGTATCGTGACATTCTTTTAATCGTTATGTACAGACTGTTTTTCTATTTTATTGCCGCACTACCTATCATCACATATTTCCTTATTTAGTGTTAACTGTTATATTTTTATTTAATTTATTTCATTGTTTTTTTTTTATCTACGTGTAACAGTAGAAAATTAAAGTAATTTTTAATGAATATTTTGTATATTTAAAAAAGTTATACGATATTTCACAAAATCCTTTTTTCATTACCATTGATACTACTGTTATTATTCGTTTATTTTATAAGAAATTTTAGGGATGAGTAAATAATGAAATTGTAATTTACAAATAATTTATTCACTATTGATGATCGCTACGCAATCAAGGGATATGTAAACGTGCACGGACAGTAGATTTTGCAGGCGAGGATGATACCGGTGTTGCCGACAATACAAAGGGGAAAAAATTACGTAGTTAGCGTAGCGTGTTTCGTGTATACGTGAGATGCAGATTAGTTCAATTTACGATTGCTTCGAAAAACGTTTTCGATAAAAAATAATCAAATCAATTGAGAAGAAAAACGACCGGAATAAAGATGCTAAATACGCTTGCAAAGAACATAATTATAGACTTCAACAGACATCATCAACATATTTTTTTACCCTATTTAATTGGCATAAAGAGCTCACTTACGGTAATTAATTTTTATTAGAGGTATCTGTGTTTAGCGTTAGCATAAATTGTAATCATAAATAGTCTAGCGATTTAAGAAAAACCTCTAAATAATACGATATCCTGCAATAATTTCCGGAATATATTCTTTGCACACGGCAAAATCAACGACGTATCGGCGAATAAACGAGCAGCTCTTAGGAATTTGACGTGCGAGCACGTCAGGAGTCATCGTTAAAGCGTCTCTTGGGCAATCGGGAATTTCATTCGGAAAATCTGAAATCGCCAGACTCGTTTATCCGTAGTATCCGTAATCAGGCTAACCCGACGCGTGAAATGTGCTCGCGTGGGTCAACGCTGCGCGTTTATACTCATATACGCGCGCTCGACAAGCAAAGGTGCGCCTCTTCCTGGCTCGCGGGGACTGATTCACTTCACGATTTTCCACCGTTCGCGTCTATTTTACGCGGTGACACGTCTTTGCTATCCGATAAAAATAAGATAAAAACGATGATATTTCGGCTAGTAATTGTCATGAAAAGCCGTGGTGTTTGAGAATACCGATCATTCCTGGCGCACGTCGCATTCTTTGCATGTAATTACTTGGAGCGAGCGAGCGCTTGATCCAAGGCTTGCTTGAAATCGTTGACGCTGGCGCAGTTGCGTCTCAGCGCGATTTGCTACACTCACGATCGATCTCGTTTAAAACAGTCTACATGCGAATGTTTCGTTTCATCCTGTTCCGTCGCTATCTCTAATCAAACTTGAAAAATAAATTTCATAATTTTCACAAGACGATTGTAAAAGTCGACTATCTCGTCGTAAACTACACGCTGATAATTTTTTTTTATCCCGACTGAGTAGGTCCAAAAATATAGCTCCGCTAGATATTTGGACGTAAGGTGCAGCAATTGCGAACATCGCCTATCGCTCAGTGAAACTCGCGCGTGGATGACCCATCGCCATGTATTTCTTTTTATTTGCCGAAATTGTGTTACCAACTTAGTCCAGTGTATTTTAATGCAAGATCGGAGCGAACTCAAGTAGCCAATGTTGGTGAAGTCGTAAAGCCAAAAAGGAGTTATCATCTCGTTGGCAAACATTGCCGGTGGATGCGATGCCGCGGAATGAACGTCGAATCGCATTGTCAACCGCTCGGTAGCGCAGGGTGCAGAGCATCCTCAAAGCTCGCGCATCGAAGTGAATTGCCGTTTGCACGCGCGAACGTGTATAGAGGAATCGCGAGGCAGCGCGATCGCTTTTGACAAATGCGCTCGAATGACGAGATGAAAATCCATATCGACAATCGCTTAGTATATGCGTGTGCCCAAGTCAAGATGAAATTAAAATTTCCACTGCGGCGGTCCTGAACTTAGTTTGCGCCTTCCAAAAGAACAGCGCCAAGAAAAGTATATATTCAGCTGGATATATCAATGAAAGACTGTATTGACATTGTTATCGATTACGTTTTGATCCACTCGATTTCAAATTAGTTGTCTTATATCTGTGTAGTGTATATATTGCAATTGTTTCTTAGTATAATTTCTTTTACGTGCTAAGTAATATTAAGCATTAACTTTAGACAGCGATCAAACGACTGGCTGCGCGGAGTCTTTTATTTCTGACCAAATTTAATAAATTTTAAAGAACAAAACGTATTTCTTTTCTTTTTACGCGAATCAGAGTTTGAAAGATACCAATTAACTTTCGCAAGATGCGATATGTCTAGTGCAACGTGAAAAATGTTCGTGCGGAATGGGCGTGCATTGTTTAAATGGTATAAACGAAGCGAGCAATATAAATAATGCGGCATAAGAAGCGAGGTTGCGCGATCGACGAAAAAAAAAAAGAAAAAGAAAAATCAACGTTTAGACAACGCGTATTGGAGTATACAACAAAGTAGCGGCTTCATGCGTAAATTAATGCCGAGAAACAGTTGAGGGCAGATTTGGGCGTGTTGCGATCCCGTCGATCTTACACGGCTTCGAATCGTGCTGAGAAAAATCTGAAGCAAGTCGATTCGTCCGTAAAAAGCTAAACGAGCGGTATCCGCACCTCGAGACGCAACAAAAGAGTAAGTCCCCTATACATTGGTTACAGTGTCTAGCGCCTCGCCACAGCGTCAGCTGATAAGAATTAATAATAATAAGAAGAGATTCGAGAGAGGAGCAACGTGACAAAGCGTATAGACCTCCAGCGAGGCTCGCTCGAACTTTCGGCATCAAATGACAGTTGTTCTCCCACTCTCGGGCAAAAACCAATGAGGCCGTCGGCCAAACGCAATTTGTCTGCGCGCCGTCACAGCAACCATTGTTTTTAAATCGCCAAACGACTTGCAGATAGCTATCGACTCGAAAGTCTAGGCACAAACGAGGCGCGCGTCCAGACGCAAGACATTAGAGAGCGAGTAGCCGGGCGACGGGAGAGGAGGGATCGACACACTCCGGCGGCGTCACGCTACCCCGTCGCGCCGCATCGAGGTATATATGGCCGAGCCTCGGCGGCCGGCCAGACGACGGCTCAGTCGCGTTGCGCCGCGCATCACCGCAAGTGCCGATTCACGCAGACGCGCGATGACGATAGGCCAGCCGTTGCTCTCGTGACGAAGGCCCAGCGACGCGCCCTTGGCCGCAGCTCGAGCGCGTTTTGAAGACGGGGGGCAGTTTCGCCGCCTCGATGTGTAGTGCAACTCCGGTCGACTCGCAAGGGCACCCGGAGAATGTCGAAGAAGCAATGGTTCGCGTTGCTGATGCTGTTCGTCATCTACCTGTTGCTCGGCGCCTCGATATTCTACCACATCGAGAGCCGACTGGAAGACAAGAGGATCGACATTGCAAGGAAAGAACGCATCGAGATCAACGGTGAGTCGCCGAGTTCAGTGATAATTGCCGAGTGCTAAACTGCGCGCGCGCGCGCCGCTTTTCGGGGCCGGCTCGACCACACTTCCGCGAAGTCGCGGACGCACAGCCTAGGTTTGTAAACACGTACGCGGCGGTTGATCGCGCGCGCTCGTGGCCTCCCGTTTTTGCCCTCTCGGAGATGAATCCGCGACGACTGTCCACCCGCGGCCTTCTCTCGATGCGACGACGCGGCAACGAACTTGTTTCTCCTGCGCTCCCCCGCCTGCCGCTCGCCGTTTCGACGTACGTAGTCCGACGCGAAAGTGCGAAACTTTCCGACAGACGAGGCAAGCCAGCTGATTCGGCGCTCCTCGTCCACGAAACTCGCGCGACGCGTGCTACGCGCTATGGTGCCGGGAAGCGCAGGTCTCGTTCGATCTGTCAGCGAGGCGCGAACTTGCAGCAAATCAAACGATCGACGCGCGGACGTTCGTTGCGCGGATCGTCGGCTGTAGACTCGCTAATCAGCCTCGATGATATTTTCCGGAACGGAGCTGACTCGAGCGCGTTGCGAAACGGACCGTCTCGGCAAGTCGCGAAAGATAAACCGAGACAGTGCCGATGCGAGCGTGGTCGACCGCGAAAAAGTCAGAGGCCCTTTATGGCCCACCTATCAGCGGCATCTTGTGATTCGCCGCGCGCCTCGCTGTCCGTGTGATTGTTACAGTTCCGCGCGAATCGCACGCACACGCGCGCCGAAGTGCGACTTATCGTTTGCGCTACGCGAGATTAATGCTGACGCGCCGCACGAGAGCTTTCGGTTATTTCCATCGGCCTCGGAGGGGTGAACGATAAGCGAGCTTTTTTCTCTTTTCGTTTCTCTCAGCTCTCGTTCGCTCGTCGATCACTGCACCGACGCCTCGCGCTACCGTTTTTCTCGCGTCGTCAATGTTTTTTCATTTTTTTTCTTTCAATGATCGCCGATGACGAGTATCGTTCTCATTTGGATCGAAAAGCTTGCTCGCGGCGCTTTGTCTTGAAAATATCAAGCGGAGCTTAATTGTCGCGCGTAACGATTCCGAAACATTAAAAACTGATTAATACGATTGCCGAAGGGTAAATACGAACTCGTTATGCTCGTCGTTGAAAAATATGCATAATTTCTATGCGTTTTTACACTTCCTTTTTGACTTTTCCACGTACGAGATTTCATCAGCATTTACCTGCATTTCATCTCACCTAGTAACCCACATTTGATGATTCTCTCTCACATCGAGTTTTAACGTGCTAGAAACGCCCGGTCCGCGATGTTTCCCATTGTCGGCTCATATTTTATTAATGAACACATATTCATGTCGCGTTTGTTGAATCTGGCTCTCAGTATGCGTGCTGGCTACTCGGCAGCGCAAAGAAATAAAGAAGGCCGTACGTTTTCACGTCTATCGCTTCTTATCCTGTGATGGAAGTCGCGGCGCGAAACTATATGTCGTGCACAAGACAAGTCTTAGATTTTTGCAAGATCCTTCAAATTGATGGAATACATTACATTTCGCTGACTGATGCATTGTTTTGCCGCACATTCAAATCCAGTGTTGGCGCTTCGTAGTGATTCATTTCTGGAATTGTCGTAGCCTTTTAATCGCGGAAACTGCGTATACATTCGCGCTGCCAACAAATTAGCGCAATGTAAACCGAGTGCTGATCCAGCGATTCGTTTTTCTTTTTTTTTCCGTTCTGTCATTGCGATAATATTTTTGCGATATTAAAATACATTTATTATTTGCACTAGAAATTCCACGGCTACGCTGAGTTGTTGTTTCAAGGAACTTTCAATTTAGATATGGGTATGTACGTCTGTTTGACGTCTGATTTCTCGGTTATACCATCTTTATTATACTTCGAGACTCGTCGTTTTCACTTGATTTTCCCTTTTATAGTATTCGTTATCCAACTTTTCAACAGCAATCATTAACTGATTTAAATTTTACCGATCTCGTTAAATTGATTTACTAAATCGGTCCCACTGCTCTACGAATATAAAAAAAAGTTAATCGTATTATTACAAATTTACGCTACGCCATGCCATGTAAAATAAATCTTTGTTTTAATATTTTTCAATTCTTCTCAAAAACCTCCCATCGATTTCTCGAATAAAATAAATAAATAAATAAATACACGTGCGGAATCTCTTTAATTAAAAGAGAGCTCATTGACCGTTGTAAGTTAGTTTGTTCTGTCAGACGCTACTCTACCGAAATTCCATGGAGCAAAACAAACAGAGCGGTAGCATCCATCGCATTATGTACGTTGCACGAATGTGACAGATAAAAGCAACCCGCCGCTCCCAGAAAAAAGTTCTCCGTCGCGTGACGCAATCTCGTGGCATTGGCATTCAAAGCCTCAAGTTCAGCAATTAGTTTGGCATAGGGAACTGCGAGACCGGGTTTCTTTTTTGTTCGTTTAGTGCTTCCGCGTCAAAAGAGTCTCTCTCGTACACTGCTCTAAACTTTTAATGGATTTGTTTATTTTTAAAAGTCTTTCCGGTTCATCCCTTTTGTTGCTTTAGATGTCGCTGGGTGTAGATTACAGGCGGTGTGTAGTCGAAAATGTTTTATCGAGGCTCGCGCGACGCATTGTTGCACTCTCAAAGAGATTCGCTGACCTTATTTTATTTATTTTTATTTTTGGGAGTTAATTGAACAATAACAATCGAGAGGAGTTGTCTAATCGACGGAAATAGACACTACGAGCTTGTTGTTGTACATGAAGAATGTCATTATAATTATTTCTCAATTAAATTATCTCTTATCACCAAACAATAAATTATAATGGTCATATAGACGACAATCATTAGGATGTTTTGTCACAATTAGCATATTCATCAAGATTCTCCTCGAACTTTCACTGGAAAACATTCAAGTTTCGAATAAAATAAATCTCCGCAGATGTGCGCGACAATTGAAGTCATAAAGGGGCAAATCTATATCGCGAACCCTGATCCCCTGATCCCAATAACGCGTCATCCAAAAGCCTTGTAACACTGATCCGCGCGATCGATATCTAAAAATTTTCACGAGGCAATGCTATCGTTGCTTTCCGATCGATCGATCGGCCGAATTATTTGATTAGCTTTTCAGCGAGCATCGCGCGAGATCGTCAGTCTGATCACAGCGTCGTTTCTCGCCGTTCACATCGGTGATCGATCGGGCCGCTATAAAAATTCCTCGCGGGAGAAAGATGCGAGTCCGATCCGCCAAGAGGCGCGCTCCGCGTCCCGTCGACGCGGCAATTGCATAATTCGTTCCGCGTATACGTCGGGCGCTTCGTTGTCGCCCGACCGCGCGCGCGCGCGCACGTCAATTCGTGCGTGGATCGTTTATCTGCCGATTGAGAATTTCGCTGCCGCGCGTACAGAAATGATTTGGTGGGCTGACCGCGTCGCGTTTCAAGGGTCCGAGTTTCGCTGGTGAAGCCGTTCGGGCTCGCGCGCGTTTTCCTTTCCCAATCGGCATCGGCACGCGGAAATCTCTCCGTGCAGCTGCGCGCAGGTAACAAACGAAACGGACGTCGGGGGAGAAAAGAAGAGAAGCGCAGGCGATTCACGGACTGGCAGGCGTACGTGTATTTTGGTCATTGAAAGAGAGAGCCAGTCGCGCCCGCTGCTGCTTCTATTTTCCACTCCCACTTTCGCGCGCGCGTTAGGTGTGCAATCATGCAATTCGGCCAATTACAGCCAACTTCGCGCGCCGGGGATTTATGGTGGTTCGTTCTCTTCGTTTTATTTCGCTCGGAGCTCGCGCGTCGAGGGTCGTTCTCGATAAATTTCGCGAGATATGTGACTCGCGACGGCAAGCACGGCATTGAGCGAAAAAGAAGAAAAAAAAATGATTGCTCGGAGGAGTATGCGGTTGTGCATGTTAATTGCTTTTATAAATGCTGAACTAGAACGTTCGGGTTACGAGTTATTTTCGTTTTTTTTCGGAGGCACGCGCGTATCGTCGAATGGTGCGTTTACACTCGTGTGCCCGCGTCTTCGATCGAACTTTCCCGAGAATCACATTTATCTTGTCGAAGATAAGGGCCTTCGAAGAGAAACAATTAGGTCTACGTAATGTTATAGTATTGATTGCGTTAGCGCCACTGCAGTATCACATGATAATTAATTACACAGCCGTACCCTTTCGCCTCGATGGAATTAGACGCCAAGCTATATTTGCAACGGGCATATCTGCGACTTTTCAATTTTCAATCGAAAACCAGAAGAATCGCCAATTTAGTATGATCCGAAGTATAAGTAAAAATTGTTGTTTCTACAAAACCACTTGCTTTATCGTAATTGTATGAGTCTAGTAATTCTTAATCTAATCTTGTTCGCAACTTTCAATCCGAAAGCCAAACACGCAGATAAAATCAGTAAAGTCTATAGATACAATATTAAAGTCGTGCCAATTTCAAAGTGTAAAGCTTCGTTTTTCATATATGCTTTATCCCATTCTTCGAACTTTCCGAGCGCGCAATTATTCCGCGCAAACCACAACTGGGTAGCTTTTACGTTTCACCTTTCCGTGCAGAGTTCGACCTGTACTAGACCGCGTCGTACGCTGATAAGATAATAGTGAAGCAAATCCATCCATAAGAGACTGTAGCCGTATATATGTACATATATATGTATATATATACATATATATAAACATAAAGTCAAATTACTTTTGCGAAGACATTGTTAAGTAAGGTTCGCTGGAGAGACGCGGTTACGAGCTTTAATTGCCTTTTTTTTTCCTTTCAGTTACAAGTTGCGGCATGTATCGCTTGCTTCTTTTTTTTTAATGCTATATGCTTCTCGTCACGTTAATAAGAAACAGTAGCACTTTGTCAACGAGAGTCATAAATTTTTTTTCTGCGAATAATATCAAACTCGCCATTGTGAAAAATAGTTTATTTCCAGGTTTTTATGGATATAATACCGAGTTCAAAAAACATATATTTAGTTCAATGCTACGGAACAGAAAATGCTTGAAATTTCACTTTCAGATAAGCAAAGACAAAAATTCTACGTTCCTGAGTGTGTGTATATATATATATGCGATATACGCGTGGCGCTGTCTCGCAACGCTGATGAAATTTTCATGAAACTACGAAAACTCATCACTCACGATATTCAGCTGGCGCGCATCTATACCGTCGACTTGGCACGTGGATAGCGCGATCTTGTAAAAGCTCTCGAAAGCGGCGGCCAAGCAAAGAACTAAATCGCTCGCGCGCGGTTTTCCACGATAATTGTCACGCCAAGCGAAGTCGAGCGATCAATAACAAAGTACTGGCTCTCGCTCAATTAGTTGATTATCTAGATGGATTTCATACTTAATTGTTTTCTTCTTAATTCCTCGACACAATAAACAAACACAATCTGTCATGCGACGACGAAGGTGCGAGAAAAGCGATCGACTTTGGGACGACCATAATGTGAGTGACATCAGCGTCAAAAAGATAACCGTACCTGCGTGCATTTCTTTTTTTTTTCTGTTTTTATCTTATTACATTCCGTAGATGCTTCGCAACTGATTTACCACGCGGAAATTCCAAAATGAAAGAGCGAGCAGACAAGCCTATCCTAGATTTGATGTCACGTCGGTGCATTCTTTTATTTATTTTTTTTTCAAGGTGCGTGCCATTGAACGAGTTTAACAAGAGTACGCAGGCACGGTCAATGCCATGTACGATGACATGCATAGCTACCTCGAGACAATATTCTGAAAATTAAGTTTATGCACGTGTTGAGAGTTCACTTTTCACCGTTAATCTTGCGATTTCGTAAATATCGTCGTTTTTAGATATGGTCTGAGTGAGTGAATGAGTGGAGTGTGCGTATCATGCTCACACGTGAGAATCTGTTAGGCCATCGTTTTCGTCGGCACGCAGACTGGAAATACGTAGAACATTCACGGTTGATCTGCCTGATAATATACAGCCATTATTCGTTGATATACATAATCTTTAAAAAGAATTTGCCTCTCGTTCGAGCAAGTAGAAAACTATCAAAATTGCTTTCCAGCTCTCCTGACTAAACATTATCATTCGTGGGGAGGTCACGACCAGAACGAGATATTCCAGAAGTTGACCGAGTATTGCGGCAAGCCGGTATACAATTACAAAGACGGCGATGTCGACCAGCACAAATGGGACTTCTACAACAGCTTCTACTTCGCTTACACTGTCGTCAGTACCATCGGTAAGTTTCAAAAATTTTGCGCATCGGTCGATTATTGATCTTATCGCAATCGTCGATCGCAAATGCTGCAACATTACAAAAAAAAAATGAATTATAAGAGGTTTGGAGCTCACTATCGATGAGATACAATCACACTCCGCCCTGATTTGATTTCTAGGATATTTTTTTGTATTTAGAAAAATTCGCAATCGAAAACAATTTCTGATTAGATGTATATCTAATAAATAACGTTTTCCTTTATATACAATAATCATATCAAATGTAGAAGCTCCGAGTCAATTGTTTCTTCTGGACTGACGCGACAGTCAATGAAATTAGAATATTTCACGAATTGTCTTTTTTTTACTTTCAGGGTACGGTAACTTAGCGCCGACAAGTGAGCTAAGTCGAAACCTAATGATCTTCTACGCCCTCGTGGGTATCCCAATCAACGGTATCCTGCTGGCCCAGCTTGGCGAGTATTTCGGTCAAGTGTTCGTGACAGCAGTGCGGAAATACAAATCCTACAAGAAAAGCCAAAACGAGTCATGCACAAAGAAATCACTGACGTCGTTGGAGAAGCGACGGGCTGGTCTATTCATGCAGATCGTCATGTATCTTCTGCCGGGCTTTATCATGTTCATCTTCTTTCCGGCCTTCCTGTTCTGCTATTACGAGGGATGGACCTACGACGAGGCCGTTTATTACGCCTTTGTCACGCTAACTACTATAGGTTTTGGAGATTACGTGGCAGGTAATTCATTCTTCTTTCTCTGCGTATGTTCATCAATTATCGAATTATCATGAATTTAGTATTAAGGATACCATTTAGATTCTTTTTTTCTTATCGTTCTTAGGTCAATTTACCAATTCTAATACATGTGATGCCCTGTTTATGCTATGTGCGGCAATAAATTCCATGACTTTTGCTAATTTTCATTACATTTGCCCAAAGAAACTCGTTGAAATGTATAATATTTTATGATAAGTTACGGACCTCATTATATTCTTATCAAGTATACATACGTGCACGTTGAATTTACTCAAAATTATCGAGATAATGTAAAAATGAAGAAAATTGAGTGTATTAAAAAAGTGACTGTCAACAACGTGATAACAAAACAGTTTATTCACTGTTTACGACAAAATTACTTTAAGAGCTTAAATTGCCTTCATAAATATAATAAAGTAAATACTTAAGATGGCACAAAAGTTCATTCGCGCGTTGATCAAAAGGTGTTGACAAGTAATTCAATAAGGATATTATTAGCAGGATTTTTCAAACTAAAATTAAGAATAGCAAAGTAATTTAGGCACACCTAGAGCAAATGCGCAGCTTGTCGCTGATGAACACAACAAACAAACTGTTGTTATCTCACAAATAAAGCCTAGAGGATCATCGCCCCCGATTTCATATATACACTGATACACGTGCATCTCGTCGCTTCGTCTCGCTCACTTTGGCACTTGTCTCCACGTGACAGGCTTTTACGCGGGAGTCGTAAAAGCCCCCGTAATTAACTCGCGCGTCGTCGCCGGATAATTTGTTCGGAAAGACTCATCGCAGAGCAAAATAATTCGCTCACTTGCCGACGATAAATGTGACGTTCGTGAATTATTTATCGACAGCCGCCTGTCAACGATCAATAAAAAATGAGCGAATTGTCTATGTACACACGTTTCGCGGTAAACGTGTTATGAAACGTACATACAGCGTAATAAATATCAATAAAAAAATCCAGGCGTGACTTACCGACAAGAAAAAAAAGAGAACTATAGCGACAAAGAGAAAGAAAATATTTAGCTACGATATATCTAGCTCAAGTAGTAAACTTATGGATGTCATATCAATGAATAATGAATCTGATCTGTTGGCTCACGCACACTGAGGACATGCAGATTGACTTAAAGTAAGTAAGGTCGGAGATCACTTAAGAGACACGCGTTTTCTCACTCGCTCTGCACTCGCTGTTCTTTTTATATGTCGTGGCGAGTTATAACACTTCGTTGACTGTAATTGAGTTTATTTTTTTAGTCGTTTTTATTATATTTTGTTTTTGTTTTCTATACACTCTAGATCACTTACATTTCTGTATATTTTTTTGTTGGCTTTCGACGTTAAACAGATGTGTGCATGAATTGTTTATTATATGAGTTCATAGATATAATTTTCTTAAATTTAATTACATTGCAGGCACGTTATGTAAAAATGTTGTTTCATTTTTATTTAATTTATTTGTTAGTGAGTGTACAATACACATAAGTTCTACAAAAAGAAATTCTATAATCCTCGGCAAAGTAATGAAGTTGTAAGCTCACTATTTGTGTACACCGATTGGTCCGTTAGACGTGAAAGTAGATCGCAAAAAATCTGAAAAAACCTAACCAATCAATGTACCGTTATATAGGCCAAGACAACACGAAAGGAAAAGGACTATGGTTCGCCCTATACAAAGCATTCTTGATCGTGTGGATCTTGTTCGGCCTTGGCTATATCGTGATGATAATGACGTTCATTGGCCGCGGTATGACCAGCAAGAAGATCGCCCGTCTTGAGCATAAGTTCGCCGTCAAACTCAAGCATACGCAGAGCAAGATTTGGCAAGAGTTCAATGAAGATATTAATTACCTTAGACGGGTGTTCAATGAACTTCAACTTTCCAAAGTCAAGGTAATTTGGCGCCTCGGCGCGACATATGGTTCGGCAGGGTTTTCAATTGTGACAATTGAATAACTGTTCAAATACTTAATTGTTATTTAGTGATTGCCAATTTTTGTACGAAATTTCTGAGACTTTGAAAAATCATGTATCTACTTACAGAGGGTATACGTGGACGAATGCGTATATGACACACCGTTACCACACTACCCGAGAAGTAACAGTTTTCCTAACCTTCGAGATCTACTTTACGGAGGTCTGGAACCATCGCCGCCGTGCCCACGACGACGCGCTAATAGCGAAGTTGTTCCATCGGTTAGTAGTATTAAAAGTTGCTAAAAAAACTCGAAATTCTTCTTAAGATCACATAAAATTGTCTTTTTTTTTCAATTTTAACAGGAGGGCCACGTAGCTCGTGTCGTCTCGGAAACCGACTTGCAGCGCATCGATAAGCACGCAACATTCGCCACCCATGCGATGGTTCAACCCGCCGAATTACTTGCACGTTTAGTTAACATTCTCGGCTACATACCACCACCGCCACCCCCCGATGACGATGATATATCAACTACGGCTGACGAAAAAATCGGAGTGCAGGGCTTCAGCGAAAAGGAAATCCTTGCCACTGAGGCACAGTGGAACGTAAGATATTTTTAGGTTTCTACAACATGTATACTGCTTACATGTGTTTGCTACTGTTTACTACTGAAATTCTTGCAGGACAAATGGATACTTGGAGCAGACGAGCCGATTAAACCATGCCGATCGCGAGCGACAAGCGAGGTACGACTCGACCGATCGGACATTTTTACGTGCCCAAATCTAAGTGAATGGACTTGGTCGGGACCAGCGGCATCGACGAAGATACAAGAGATTAGAAAAGCTCGCAGAAATGACACACCGGAGCCTAAGGATACTTTATTTGGGCCTAAATCGCGATTGTTATCGTTGAATTTAGGTTTACCTAAGGGACCTAGAGGATTGCTACCTCGATGGGTTAGATTCTTACGTGACAGCAAGAAGCTGTCGGTAGATCATTCGATATCGGGGGATGACGTTGAGACGGGAAGCAGAGAGTTTGCTTCACAGCCACAGTCACCTGATCGTAAGTAGATTTTTACATTATCGAATGGTTCAATTGATTAGAGTTTGCAAAGTTTTATTCTTTGCACAACAAATGGTTACTTAATTCAAGCAATATACTGATAAACTTCATTCTCAATGTAGCTGTGCTGGACGCTCCGGAACGTCGCGATTCCTACTCGCGACCGTACTACACACACACCGGTGGCAATCTTCTCGAAGAAACGTCCCTGGCAGACTTCCTTCGAGCTTTGACAGCCCTGCATTCACGCGTCGGTGTCGTGCCCGATGATTTTACCACAGGCCCAACGAAGAAAAGCAACAGCGGTCCTCAACGAAAATTAGGAACGGCTTCGTTGACACCACCCAAACTGCCAAGTTTGCTGACGTTGTTCTCACCGCCAACTGGTCACAGTCAAAGTCAGCAGAATACCATCACGGCAGCTGCTGCCAGTGCCCATCAAAAGAGGAGATTTTCACTCAGGACAGCTGAAAACTCGAGCACCTCGACGCCTCTGTATCAGAGACGAGCTACGCAAGGTGCTAATGGTATGAACAGACCGTCCACAAGAAGGTTTTCCTTGAGGCCGGTCGGTACACCGATTCCCACGCCGAGACAATTTTCGTACAATTCGGTGAGTTGAGTTTCGCACTTGGTGTTCCAACTGGTTTCAATTTTTCGCAACGTTCTTATTTAAGTATTTTGAACTCTCTCAACAGAATACGAGTCAACCGGACGACCGTACAAGTCCACCACCTTACAATGCCTCGGAAGCCTTCATGCTGGATTGTCCAAAGAAACCACTGGTAGAAATGGAAGGTGCACCAGGCGTTTCCTCCCCCATGGCGATGCCTCTGCCAAAGAGTTACAGACGTTTTTCGCTACGACCAGCTCAGATTGGCATTCCACCAGCACCTTCATCAGCTGCAATGCCACCGCCGGTCGCTCAACAAGCAGCTAAAGCTATTCCAAGGTGGAAAGCCGGTATGCTGCAGCGTCAGCTCGGGCAGAGGAATGTTCAGAGAAGAGCACGAGCTTTCAGTTTGAGTGACGTTCATTCGGAAGAGTCGGATCGCAGGATTGGTAAGTCGATGAGACAGCTTCTAATTGGTGTGAAAAAAGATTGATGGAGCGGATCCTTATTCCGGTTTTCTTTAAAATTAGGCATCAGTCCCTTGGCTCTGCACGACAACGCCAGCACGATAACCTCGGTTCAAGGCCAACAATTCACAATGACACCGAAAACCGTGACGATCGTATCACCAGACCTGTCTCACACCAAGTCCAAGTACCAAAAGCGTCCGAGCGATTTGACGGACATCAGTAGCAGTGGCAGCAGTGCGAGCACTAATCAATACACGTCGACTCATGGTTTGCGTCGCTACAACAGCGATATCGAGTCGATCTCGTCAAAAAGCTCCAGCCATTCGTCAAAGTCGTTGGATAAAGACGTGCCTGCCTCTTCGTCGTCCAAGAGCAGCAGCAGAAAAAGTTCGGATGTTAGACCGTTGTGGAAAGCTACAAGCTACGAGAAAGAGGATGTCAAGTGGGATTTCCCCGAGCCAGTGAATTCTACCGACGAGATTCTTGCGGAAATTGTTAAAGAGTCGGAAGACGTTACGAGAAGATTGTCCGGAGAGTCAAGTAATAAGGAGGCTTGTGAGAGAACAAATTCAATAAACCAGCCGTCGACTGGTAGAAAAGCGTCGATAGCATCGATAGAGACGTGGACTGAGTCGAGAAGTAGAAAAAGTTCTGTTACCAAGAAAGACCATGTAAGAATTGATGTGCCTGATGATTCCAATGACAAACATTCTCCAGTCTAATTGTTTTAGTAGTTTTCTTCTATTTTTCTCTTGTTTTATGTAAGGGATAGAATTCAGGTGCCGTGATAGGCTTTACTTGTACGCGTGGGAGTGTATAGACAAGTGCATTTTTGTAAATACTGCGTGACAAGCGTTTGACTTGCGTTAGCAATAGCCGTCGATGTCACACCGCTGGTAAAGAAAAGAAAAAAAAGTATTGTTTTTTAAGGGTCCAATGCGATCAATTCGCGAAAATGTATTGTATAAGTATTTTGATGACAATTGCTGTGAAATAGCATAAGTGATAGAATTCCACGATTCCGTTCGTGGCTCCTTAACTACTGTTCTTTTCCGCGAGCAAAATAATAATGAGCTTATTTTTAGGGAGCATGTGATTGAGATGCCCAACGGATGATATTTCCATGCGCACACTTATTAATGATACTGTGATAGCACTGCGAGCCTTAATTACTTTAAGCAGTACTCGGCAGGTACGAGTCCAGTATTTTTATTATTTAATTTTTAATCCCAGTAAAGGTTGTAGCTTCGAGATGGCTATTTGATCGCGAATTGTTTTCAATCAATTTTATACGTCTTTTTATCACAGAAGTAACTTTTATAAAGCAATAAATTTATAAAACTCCTGAAATGATAAAATAATCGCCCTTGTAAATAATTTTGTAGTGACAGTAGCAAAATGTTCAAATGTAGTATTTAGGTTAGAGAGTACAAGCCAGTGTAAAATAGTATCAAACCTTCGTTAAACTAATCACACTTTTAAATGCAAAGAAAAAATATTTATAATTGATTAAATTATAAAATTTGATACCATAATGTTTTAAAGCAATAAATTAACGTGAATATACGTTGAATGTGAACCATATTTTCTATCCTATTTCATAGTAAGTGAACAGAATGTTTGTTAATCCAATTACGTAAAATAACTTTTGATGACTAATTTATAAAATAAAAAAGTTAACATATATACAGCGCAATGCGAGGACGAAATGTGTGATTCAGACCAAGTATGGAATATGAAAGGTATAGTCCGTAAAAAATTGATAGATTTGTATTGTTGTCTATTTTTGGTATGTACTGAAAACATCGATTGCTTTTACACTGTAACTTATAAAATATGCTAACCAAAAGGAAGAGATATTTACAAATTTTTTTCTTTCATTTTTTCATTCCACATACATCAAAACAATCGATATTTTCTATTCATACAAAACTTAAAATTGAATTAATGCTGTTTTGATTCGCCTATAATTTCTAGTTTTTTCTTCAGCTCCTCAATGAGATTCCCTCTGGCAACTTTTGCTTCTTCCCTTGTCTTTACAACTCTCAACGTCACTTCGCCTTTCTTGATTTCACCTTCTCCTATGATAATTGCAATTGGAATTCCATATTCTTCGCAATGTTGCAGCTGAGCTAATAGTTTCGGACTCTTTTTGTATGACTGTTCAGCTTTGATGTCGTTTTCCCAAAGTTCCGCGATGATCCGCATCCTTTCTTCATGCAAATTTTTTTGGGCAGCAGCAACAAAGACTTGTACTTCGGTGGTTCGCGTCTTCATTCCTTTATTGGCGATCGACGTCTCGAGAACGCTGAAGATACGTTCAATACCCAAAGACATACCTACGCAAGGTACCGTCTTGTTCTTCGGATCAAACATCCCTACGAGATTATCATATCGGCCACCTCCTGCAACGCTACCTACCCCAATATTATCTCCTGCAAACAAAAACATTGTATTTGATTATTTTCATTGAAGTCGTTTGTAGACGGTAGAAATGGAAATTAATTTTTACCTATTAATATAGCCTCAAAAATAACACCTGTGTAATAGTCAAGACCTCTTGCCAAGCTTAAATCAAACACCAAGTTATCAATTATCTTGAAAATCTCGCAATACTTCAGAAGGAGTTCCATCAAGTCAACACTCTGCACAGCAGCTGGTTGCTTCATTAATTCGGTGTCTTTTCTCAATTCGTCAACAAGATCTCTTTTACCACTCCGCGAAACGTAAGATCCAATTTTGTCGGCTATCGCACCGTCAAGACCTTTCTCTTCGACCATTTCTTTTCTTACTTCTTCCCAAGGACTCTTGTCTAGTTTGTCTACAGCTGAGCAGATTGTTCGGAACTTTTCCGCGGGAACCCCACACGCTGCGAATATTCCATCTAGTAAGCACCTGTGATTGACCTTTATTGTAAATGGCCCTAATTCTAGACTTTTCAGGGCCTCGTATATTATCCGTAGACATTCTGAATCCGGCAACATTGGATCATATTGTCCAGCAATATCAAAATCCTGAAATACATTGCGATAATTTTATATCAATTTATTACCCTCTTTTTGATTTTTTCGAAAACAAAAAAATTATTTTCAAACATATTTTGAATGTAATATTTAAAATACTCACACATTGATAAAATTCTCTATAGCGACCTTTCGTCATTGCAGGATTATCCCGTCTATATACTTTGGCAATGTGGTATCTTTTAATATTAGTAATTTTATTCATGGCCAAGTATCTGGCGAAAGGAACAGTTAAATCATAACGCAAGGCAAGGATTTCTCCACCTTGATCTTTTAGATCATAAATCAACTTTGAATCTTCTCCATATTTACCCGTTAGTACTTCCTACAATCAAAATATTTGCATTAGATAAATGTTGATAAATAATGTTGATAAGATAATTTTAAAAAGTTTACCTTCAATTCAAAGATTGGAGTGTCTATAGTTTCTGCTCCATGTTTTTTGAAAATGGAAGTAATTTTTTCCATTACGGATAATCGTAATGCCATCTGTTCGGGATTGTAGTCCCGAGTACCTTTGGGTGTTTTGAGAAAAAGTTTTTGTGATCCAACATTTTCTTCTCCAAGTTGAGCTTTCAGTTCCAAAAGTTTGGAAACTTCTTCTTGAATCTGAAAGAACAGAAAGAGTTAATAATCTAGTTCTCGATTAAACAAAAATAAATAAACCGACGACTGTTTGGTACTCATACCTGAGTAGGAGCGACCACAGTCGTGTAACGACGAGCAGCAAGAACAATATTTGTACGCATCAGGTTGAACATGATGCAAGAAGGAAGTGAACCGCAACCAGAATGAAATATAAAATCCACCTCAGTGTTGGTTATCAAACTAAGCGAAACATCAGATTCAACTTAGTTAACCAGCTAGCATATGACTGCCACAGATTATCAACACTTAACAAAATGTAACTTATAAATGACACATGTAATTTGAACCAGGATTGTGTATATCAGGTACTCATACTTCTTGTCACTTAAAAATGTATTTATTTTCATCAATGGTAGATCATTAGCTTACATATTCAGGACAATTAGTTTAATTATTTATAGAAAATTATATTTTTTATAAAAGTGAAAAGAAGTGTATAACTTTTGTTTATGCTTTCATGTGCTAACAATTCATTTCTGTGGCAGTGCTGCTAGCGAGCAACTACTGCCTCACCTTTTTATCTAAATCACAACTAGGTAAAAATGTGAGATGATCAACTTTAATTACTAGTTGGCTAGTGTGCTTCATCTCAGGCAATCCTAGACGTTCCTCTAAACTAAAGGTTTTCATATGGTCAAACCAACGCTTTAAGTTTGGCAAGTTACTATAACCACCATTTTCATGGGCACTACATAAATTGAAGTACTCTGCATCTTTCTTTGAAGGATTCCAGCCAGATAGATAGCTGTAGTTTGACAGAACTTGCTCTATGTCTCCCAATGACTCTTTAAAACCCTGAGGGGAAAGGTCTCATTGAGTTGCCAATATGTGCTTGCAATAGAATTGTAGACAAATTTTGTGTAATTTTTCATTATTTACATTTATTTTGTGCAATTTGGTTGTCTTAATTGATGTATTTGAGTCAGTAATACAATTTCAATAATTGAAACAGTTAACAAAAAGAATATAAAATATTCATAAATTTTTGCATGTAATTACCAAAAGGATTTAATGAAAGCTTCATATTTACAACTCTTCTAAAGAAAAAATTGGAGATTTTTGTTAGCTATACCAGTAAAACTACAACCATGAAAAAATGATGAAATCTTGACATCATTACAATGCAGAATGACTGATAGCTCTACAGCTTTTATTTATACCTATGAAATATCAAGAACAAAAATTCTTATCCATAGTTTTTTTAAGAGCTTTTTTATATTTCTTTTGCTATTATATTGTAATTATTTTTCTGTTATCCATTCATTCTAATGTTTTGAAAATATCAATTGCTAAAATATCAAAGATGAATTAAATCAGAAAGAGGATAAATGGTTTCCATAATCTGCACAAAATGTTTGAGATAGGTCAATTCTGTATGAGTCCCAAAAAATGTGAGTTACCGATGTGCCGATAATTAACGGATAATTAATTTTCTACGTATATTCAAATATTTGTAAATACTTTTCTAGTGTAGAATAAGACCTTTTCATTTCCAAGCCCGCAACATTGATTCCGTAAATTTCAATACATTTTAAATATAAAAAATCTGTGAAAATTAAGTGTAAAACCGAAACAGCTGATGTAAATTACCCAGCGTTGCCTAACGCTATAATTAAACTTGCTACTAAAATAACTACTTATTCCGGATATTGTACTACAATTGACTTAGAAAAAAATCGAACACAAAAAAAACATTTTTTTATAGCTTGCCAAAGAATTTTTCTTGCCTAACATTCACTAAGAAATTGGCGCGTAGAAAGCAGCTGCTGGAATCGGGATCTCTCTTATTCGCGGCACTGTGTCAAAAATTATAGTTTCTCCACGTGCTTCTCTCATGCAATAGTCAGACACACGCGTAATGTAACCTGCAATCAAACCAATTTATACGGTACCTGTGCAGGATCAGCTTTAGCACTTTTTAGTTTGCGGACTAATTCGCCTTGTTCCTTGATCAGTTCTTGTAGACTGCCCATCACGCCGTTAAATTTGTTTCGTTGGATCCGCTGCCCATCGAACAAGGAGAGCTGACGCGCATATATGAACCTCAAGCTAAGTTACTACTCGCACCGTCAAATTGTTGTTGAATACGATGTGAAAGGCGAAAGCCAGGCCATTGTGTCCCAAAGTAAGCGTCGTCGAATTGGAGAATGGAGTCAGAAGTTTTGCTGCTAAAAGTGAATGGCGATTGGGTGGTTGGATGCTAGGTTGCGCATGCGTGTAATTAGCAGCGAATGGCGCGATTTATACTAGAAACGTAGGTAAAGAATTGCAATTTTACAATTTTAATGGTACCCTAACAGTTCAATATTGGCGTGTCAAATTTTAGTAAAAATCATTTCTAAGATATCTTATTATTATTCGATTATAGCTTGTCAAAGAATAAATTGTATAGAATTATTGTTTTCATAGTATGTATTGTAAAAGAAGCCAATTTTCAATAAATATAAAAAGAACCAATGTTGATTAATTAAGTACTTTCTTTTTCTTTATTTTACGGAATAATTATATCTACTACAGAACGATTTTTTATCATAAAATTGCCATAATGTCATTTGAGCATTTTTATGTATTTTACCTTGATATCACTAACATCGATAAAACTATAAATTATAACATCTAAACTTGGTTGTGTACCTACCATATTACTATTTGAAAGCACGTAAGATTCCATAAAGATACCCGCAAATTATTCAATAACAGTATATATGCTCTGCATAGAATGAATGTTATCTCATAAATGTTTTATGAATTCTCGTTTATATAATTTATGTGTTACAAATTTACAAAACAGAATATAAGTTGTAAATATATATTAACTGCAACTATAAATACTGCAAGTTACGGATTCAATTTTTTTTAAATTATCAAATTCATATATAATTAATATTTTATTTTAATTTTTCTTGACAGTAACAATTCCATCTAGATGGTACGTCACTGTTGTATGTTGTAACTGCAACGGTGTAAGACAGAGAAGAAATGATTGGAAGCTTATTATCTACCTTTTGATATTGCATAAGCCGTCCAATTTCATTTGATCTCGGACGAAATAAACTATATATTACTGGCAAGAGAGAGAGAGAGAGAGAGAAAAAAAAGACGAATGAGTTCTACTATCAGTCATTGATAAGCTTAAAATATTATTTGTTTCGTATTCGAGGATGTCATAAAAATAAGTCACACATTTTCTTGATGTAAATCTCGCGATTCATAAAGTTTTTGGCACGTGATTATTGTAAAATATTAAGGCTTACTATAAATATTATTTATCGTGTAATAATTTTCGCTTTTTTTATTTAACTTTAATTGTTAACAGCGCACGTGTTATAATGCAAATAATGATAATACAATAATTTTTTCTATTTCGAATTTTGAGTTTGAATCTCGAAGAAACACTTTTCAGAAACGTAAAATTGAACGACTTTCGAAAGTAACAGACGAAATTTCACTTTCGCTTTTATTCGGGGTTATGAGGATGAAAAAAGTAAGCGCGCGACACTTTCGGTGAAGATTTCTTGTGCCCGAGACTTAATAATTCATCGATAATGATGCACTAGACTTTTAATTAGTAAACGCTGTGTTAATTGAACTATTATAATAATTTATTTTTGCCAACTGCTCCGCAAACAATAAGCTCGTAAGAAAACTGTCATTTTCAGAAGAATCATTTTTTTATGAAAAAATCTTCTTATTATAAAAAAATGAAGTTCAAATAACTTGAACAAAAAAACTTTTGTTTAGTCCTTTTATTAAGTCAGCTTGCACCTGCACCGAGCTCCAAACTGCCCTAATAAGAGGAGAAAATGCTGGAGTGAATGTATGTCAGACGAGATGAAAAAGTGACCTGGCTGTCTCGAATCACTTTCATTTCGTTGCGTTATTGCGGACGAAAGAAAATTACGTCTATGCGTGTGTATTTTTATCTTTCATGCACTCGACCTTGAAAACTCTTTCTGCTGTCGCATACATATGCGAAAAAAATGTGCGAATTAGATAGTGATAAGCGGATGAGATTTATTGTCGTTGCATATTGACACGCAGCGAGTATCAATGATGAGTTTCGGTTTATCGTGGACTTGCCCTAAAACGAAATCGCTTTTACGCATACTATTTCTCATTGAGGACAAGTGATAAGTAAAATGTGATAGTTTTTTTGCGTGCTTTTCAAGTTACAAGTTGGCCATAAATTAATTATTTGTAAAATTATTCTCACGCGATAAACTTGATGTTTGTGAATATAATGTTACATCATATTTCTCACAAAAATGATTTTCCTGTGCATTTTGCAACGAAAATGTTAAGAAAATTTTTAAACGAAATACTCGAGTATTTTGATAAAAATAAATTAATTTGCAGTTAAAAAATTTCTACAGTAATGTAATCAAAATAAACTTTTTTTCTCATGGCATAAAAAATAAAATAAGTAATGCTCGAACCGACAAAAGAAGAGTTGCAACAGTTAGAAGGACAAATAAGATAGACCGTTTTACTATATTTTTACATCTAGATAACTTTTATTAACCAATTTCATCGTTATCGTTACAAATACGCGGATGAGACATTTTTGCGCTTGCCATTTCAAATGGATACAATGAAACGTCGTAACGTCACGTTTTTATCTTCACTTTTCGTTTATTTTATTACAGTCAATGAATTGGCGAATGAACGAATCGAGAGTAATGGTAAATGCGTTTTGGGGAGATGGGATTTGTTCACAATTTGTTTACTTTTTATCTATCATTTTCATTAAATTTTTTTACGTACGTTTGGCATGCTTAGTTCAAATGTATGATGCGACAAGTGTGTATTGGTGATTGATTGATGGGCTTACACTTTTTGCTGTTTCTGTTTACTTAAACATGCTTGTTTCTGTTAATTGCTACTCGACTCTTAAAGAACTTGATTATTCGACAACACGTACTTGGATTTCATGTTTTTTCTTGTTTTTATTTTTCTGTTAAATTCTTAAATTGTTCCTTTACATTAAATGTTCGATTGTGTCACTGTATAAGTCAGTAAAGTGTAAGAGTCACTTGTGCGTGTGTGTACAAACTTGAATAATTATAGTCGAAGACATCAAAAACATTCTACGTAATGTTTAAATAACGAGACCGTGGATTTGCCTTCTATAATTATGCTTTAAGTTTTACTTTTTCTTTTGTTTCCTCGGCTTTGTTTGTAGATTCACTAGCAAAGTCACGTAATGGTGCGCGGTGCATCGTCTAATCTGAATTCATCAAGAAAGTGCATTATCTTATCGATCCCTATGACTTCGCCTATAATTAAGGAGCGCTCGATCGAACAACTAAAATCACAATTATGGCTTCATGTTTTCGTTTTATATATTCCGTATATATCACTCATTGAAATTCGTCCGTTATAATAATTCTAAACTATCGATAAAACGTCGTTTAAAAAATAGCTTTTTTTTTTATTTCATCATTCTTTCATTTTTTTCTTTTGGCGTAAAAAATCAATCGACGAAAATTTTCCTTCTTTTTGATTTGACGCATTGTCCGTCGTTGAACTTTGAACGCGAACATTCTCGCGATCCTTTCTCCGTATTCTCGCAAATCCACGGCCTTACAATCGTTTAGGCTTATAGCTACTATTTATTTCTTTTTTTTTTTAAGATATCGGTGTACTTATACAAGAATGCTTTAATTTCCATCTTAGCTTTCTCTGATCTTTTATTCTCTCGTCCTTTCGTTAATTCCATCTCATATCATTTGAGCTCGTCAACATCGTAACCCCCATAAAAAATGGGCAGGGATGGCAAACAACGTTAAAGCTCTTCAAGTATCGACAACACAGTACAATGTTCAATATCAATTCGCGCTCCTCGATCGCGAGAACTATCGCAAAAGGGGGGGCAATTTAGCTTTTATCGTTAATGTTTATAGACTGGAACCGTAATATCATTCGATCGGTCGGATTTAAAACCGACGTGTTTTATTCTCTCTGTTTTCTATGTGTTTTTGTTTGTTTGTTCTCAAGTTTTTCTTTTTGGTCCGGTGTGGCAGTGCCTTGTTCAATTTAACGAACAATCGGTATAATGATTTGGCGTTTGAACGATCGCTTATTATATTGATTTATCCTGCGTTTAAGTATTTCTTATTTTTCCCTTTCATTCTTGCTGAAACACTATAACGGAAAAAAGAAATCTTTATATATCAAGCTATACTTAATTTTTTCATTATTCACCTTCGCGTATTTATATATATATGTAATACGATTTGAATCGCTCTTCCACGACGGAAAGAAAATAAAAGGTTTGTTCGTTACAATGTATTTATCTATAATTATAGTAAAATTGCGAGAATACAGTGGTGAGAAAAATCTTAGTTACGTAAACACCACATTATAGCGGTCAATAATAATAATAATAGTAATCATAATAATAATAAAGAAAGAAAGAGAACAATATATATTTTTCTTTTTTGTTTTCGTATATACGAAGTAAATGCATTAATACACGCAAACATACTCAGTATTTCATCGTACAACTCACTGATATTTACATCGTTATTAACTGCACACTCATGCTATCGCCAATCGTTCTACACACATATTTAATAAGTCAATACAATTATACCATTCACATAATAATTATAATATATATTTATATTATCTTTGTATATCGTATTCATCTCCCTTTATCAATATCGCATCGCCGCTTCGGGTACTTCTTCCTCTTTGCTCAATAATGTATGTATATGTATAATGTTCGTATAATCATTATTTCTGTTTTGCTTTGTCTTTCCGTTTATGTCGACGTGACGTTCCTCAAGGATCTTCCCATCCTAAATATCGCACGCGATACCAGCCTTCGACTCTCACATTCGGTTATTACTTTCCCTCTGTCGTTATATTTCTTTTGTTCGCGACATGACAATCGATAAAATCGTACATTAGCAATCTTTTGTTCTTACATCTTCGTATATGTATAATATAATTATTATTTATAATGTACTTTTTTAATATTAATTCATTTATTCATTAACGAATGACATACTGTGTGTAGCCTATTTCAGAGTCTTGCCCACATTTGTCTTTCTGCGTTTACAGAGTAAGTACGATAAAGACTCGTAAGCTATATGCTAAAAGATGGATGCGAATGAAGGATGAACGATTCTTTTATTATCTACGAGAGAGCGTGTATAATTTTTTGTCGTTCGTTCTATTGAAGCATTTACGTTCGAGAATCTCGGAAGGAAAAAAATGACTGTTTCGTGCTTTCTCTCTAGTTCCGAGGATAAAGTTTCAAAATGGGCTTCTTAGGGGGTATTTACGATTATTATTACACGTTTTTTTTCCTAAAACACCTTTGAAATACATCATCGCGTGTGTAAGTGTTTACTCTTATATCACCAGCATATTAGCGACGTTAATAAATACACAGTTTTGTTGCTGTTTACTTATGTTTAATGTTATCTGTTTCTCGAGTATCGAGAGAGTTTTGCGGCCGAGAGTGAAAAAATTGATTATCCCGGCCTTTAGACACTAATCAATAGCGACATTATTAGTTTTAATTAATTAATACATCCTGCTTTGAGAGTGAGTATGAGTTTTGCGTGTATGGTATTCCTCGTTAAAACGAGTTCTTTCTTTCACTTATCTCCTAAACTCGTGTGAAATGCGGATGAATCCTCATCTAAAACATCGTTTCTGTTTTTAATCCACTACGGCCTCTACGCTTAATTTTTCGTTTACTTGCGTTTTTTATTTTTATTTTTTTGTTTTTGCTTGGCTTCGTCACTACTTGACGTCGGCTCTACAGCAATTGGATTAATACTTTGGACCTTTGTGTGCGGGTCCATTGACACTCATGCGTGCGGTGTATCTCCCATCATATCCCTTGAAAGAAACTCAGCGTCCGCGCTGTCATCACCACGGACTCGCAATCGGATGAAAAATTTCAGATAGAGACTCTAGACGCGATTAACCATCGGACTATTGCATTTTGAAGACTCGGGGTGAGCGAACGTGAATTTTGTACTCTCGTGTTTGCCGATGCAACCGACACTGAACACATAGATTCGGATGGGTGTTGAACGCGCGATTGAAAAATCATGTGAACCGAGCGATCGAGGTTGGTTTTTGCAAGGTGCGCCCTTTCGAACCGTCAGCTATCTCGACAGTGCCGGCGGAGGTATAAAAGTAGAAAACGCGTCGACAAAGTGTGTTTGCCGGAGCGAAACTCAACGCACGATTGCGCGTGTCCCGTCGCGTGGGCGAGGGCCGACTTTGGACTTTGAGCCCAGCGCGGAGGAGTTGCGCACAGACGCGATGGCGAAACGCAAAAGCGAACCAAGACGAACGAAGGGCAACGGAAGCAAAGTAGCAAAGTAGCAACGTAGCAAAGTAGCAAACTGGCAAACAAGCGAGAAAAGCGCAAAAGCAAGGGGATTTACTCGAGACGCGCCTTGTAGCTTGTCTTCCAGATCTCGGCGAGCGTGACGGCGCTGTGGAACCTGTGGAAAATGCACAGCGGTATGCAGACCCTCTGCAAGAGCGCCCACGGCAAGTAGCCGTAGAAGTCGATTTGCACGGGGTTCGCGGCGACCTTCTGCGCTTCGAAGGTGTAGATCACCCACATGGCCACGTTGCAGATGAGCAAGAAGGTGACGATTTGCCGGCCGGGCTTGCTGCGATCGTGCTCGGGCAAGTGGACCCTTCGACGGCTGACGTCGGCGATGAAGAGCAGCTGGAGCACCACTTGGAACACGGCGAGCAGCCCGGTGACCATCACGAGTAGATTGGGCTCGTGGGTGAAGGCGGCGAGCGAGCCGGAGATCACGCTGAACACGGCGTAGATGAAGAGGCCGAACGCCGAGATGCGCAGCAGGATGTCGTTGAGGTCGCTCTGCTCCTCGGCCTTGAACTTGAGCTGCTTCACGCGGAAGAAGCCGATTATTATGGCCAGGATCGACAGTACCATGAGCGCGCAATGCGACACGTCCGCCAGGTAGATCGCGAGCAAGCCGAATTCCGGGTGATGGATCAGCACGAAGAACAGGATCAGGCAGATTAATGCACCGACGAGGAGTAGCAGGCCGAAGAATAATCCCTTGCTTGCTCCCACGCAGTCCACGCGGCCTTGACCTGCGCGTCAGGGAGAAAAGAGAAAAACGTGCGTCTTTCAGTTGTCGTCTGATTTGCCTGCTTTTTTTCGATTTAGCGAGGACCTAGCTTGGCACTCCACCAGGACTCTGGCTTGCTTTATATGTACAGAACTTGCGGCCTCAACTTTTCACACAAATCACCTAATAATGCAAATCTTTTCGTACTCATGCTCGTGGTTATTGGCTAGAACAAACATGGTTTTGCTCCTCATTCATAGATGAAGAATTCCTTATCAAGATCTGATCAATAGTTATAAGTTGTGCTATTTTTTTCAACTGAGGCATTTCAGTTGCGACCTCTTGTAAACACCAATGAAAGTTGATAATCATTCAATTTTATGAACAATGGTTGTTCTTTTCCTAATTTAATCACATGTATAGTATTTATAAATATCGCCACGACTTCATAACTTGAAAAATATAACTATTAAATTTATGCACTTACTACAAAATAATGAAAAGAAAACGACATGTCATTACAATCTATAAACCTTTCGAAAGGAAATAAGTAAAAATTGTAATCTATGATGGTGAAGTAATAGATATTTTTACAAAATAATGATATGTGCAACTGAAATCCGATGGCAGCACGATCAAAGCTATTAAAAAAATCCGATTCAACTATGTACGACAAACGATAAAAATAAAAGAAAGTTACGGTTATGCTGTCATACCACATGTAATGCAAATACTTGATATCTAACTTTCTGTTCCTGTGGTATAGACAGCATTATGCAAAGCGGGATTTTCACTTAATAAAAGTGTTTCTCCCTACTTTTATAGGATAAGCTCGATAATAAACACAACGGAATGTCGCTTATGTGGTGGATCACGCTGAAGTGCTAGAAAGGAAACCAATTATCGCCGTCATCAAATGGAAGTTCTGCCATGATCAATAGTCTGCGAGGAGTGCCAACCAAATCTCGAGCGTGAGTTTGTCAATCAAGCTCGTGAAAATTGGTATTCAGAGAAAATTCATCAAGCTGCTTTGTGTGTGTTACAACGTGAAAGAGAGAGAGAGAGAGAGAGAGAGAGAGAGAGAGAGAGAGAGAAAGAGAGAGAGAGAGTGAGTGTGTGAGTGTGTGTGAGTGAGTGAGTGAGTGAGTCAGTGAGTGAGTGAGTGAGTGAGTGAGTGAGTGAGTGAGTGAGTGAGTGAGTGAGTGAGTGAGAGAGAGAGAGAGAGAGAGAGAGAGCGACAGAGAGAGACAGACAGACAGATAAGTAGACAGAGAGACAGACAGACTCATAGACAGACAGAGACAGAGACAGAGACAGAGACAGAGACAGAGAGAGAGAGAGAGAGAGAGAGAGAGAGAGAGAGAGAGAGAGAGAGAGAGAGAGAGAGAATGACAGCCGTACCTTTGGCTACTTTTTTACTGGTCTTGGCCTCAACTTTGACCTCTTCCTGCTTATCGACTTTGCCTGACTCGTCATTCGTATCGACAGCCGACTCATCATCTAAAAGCAATGAGTAAGAAAAGGGAAAACAAGGTAAGAGAATGATGAAAGAAGTGTAATTTTTTTAATGGATGATAAATGGCGGCGATGATTAATTTTAATGTTTTATTTATTTTTGTTAACTATTGTGAGAGGCATTAGTGCATAATAATGAACATGAATTTTGTGATTTGGTGTGAGTGTGTGAGAGAGAATATGACATCGTAAAATGGAATGGGTATAATATGCGACCGCCAGCTATTGTTGGTTAATGAAACTGGCATTGAGCGAGCTTAATAAAATCCCAGAATACCAATTTCCATTTATATAATGTATTGCACATAATACATCTCTTACTTCTTTCTAATTTGTTATTCATTATTTTTAGTGTGAACTCGTAACCATCAATTGTTTTATACTAAGTTTTACGAAATCCAAAGTGTTAGTCTATTGCAAATAACAATGTTATCTTTCCCTCGTAGTAATATTATTATCCATCAAGTATAATAAATTGATACCTCGCTGATGAATTTCCGTACTCAAGTAACCAATTTAATTTGTGAATATTTGAAACTTAGCACAGCGATCATCAGCCAAGTAAAATACAAATATACAGAATAAAGAAAAGATAGAATGAAGAAGCATTTCAATCAATGGGTACGTACCTGCTTGAGCAAGAGCAACAGCACGCCGCGACAGCATAGCCTCGAGTCTACGCTCGAGATCAGCTTCGGCTTGATGGGGGCATCTCGGATATCTACCGATGTGCTTCCACATGACGTAGATCACCGCAGCCCCGATCAAGCTGTACTCGATGATGAACGGGAACAGATAGGGAGCCGAATCCTTGACGATGCTGCCCATAATGTTGACACGTCCACAAGTATTGTTATCCATCACCGGCGAGCGGGTGGTGAGGGTCAACGCTTCGGCGTAGGCATTGAAGCTCGGGTTCCAAAGTGGCGAGATCATACTGGCAGCTGCACCGGTGAAGTTCGTCGCAGTGGAATTAGCCGCGTCGAGGAAGCGTGGAATGGTATTCTTGCTGTCGGATTGCAGATCGATGTTGCTGAGCAGACCGTCGGCGAGCGTTGCCACGGCTTCGGTGCTCGCTGGCGAGGTGATTACGTCCTTCCTCGTCGGCAGGAGGGTGGTAAGGAAAGTCGACAGCGTCGTGGCTGCCGTCGATGGGCTCGCCGACGCTGCTTCGGTCGGGGTCGTCGCCATTGTCGTCGTCGTGGTCGTCGTGGTGGTCGACGATGGGTACGCCGACGACACCGGCCACTCGGAGCTGCTGCTCGAAGTGCCCAGGGTCACCGCGCGAGCTACCGGTCTCACGGTGGTGCGCGCCATTCGCGCCAGGCTCGATGCGGTCGTTGCCACGGTGCGTACGAATTTGCCGGGGTAAGGGGTCGACATGCGCAAGTTCATCGCTGGATCGCGCGGCAGCTCGCCGAGGAAGCTGCCCGCGTGACGGATCGAGTGGTCCCTTATGCTCGCTACGGCATTTCACAAGCAAGCTCATCGATTAGTTTTGGGCGAGCCAGGCGTGGGGACTAATCGCTCGTTTCGATCACACTTACCGAGGATACCTTCTTCAGCGCGACCTTGCCTCCGGTGGTACGATGAGATCTCCTTGATGCTCTCGAGCACGAGGGTACGAATCCAAACGCACACGTTCGTCGCGACCACGTGCATGAGGCCGAATCGGGCGATCACTTTGAATCGGTGGATGTTTAACTGCGAATAGCAAAGAAAAACGTGGCGTTCGTTACTTCGTCGAGGATAGAACGTTACGTTGATCGAGGCTGAGTTGAAGAAAGGGAGGTAGGCAAAGCAGAGAAAAAGTGCTTGGGAAGCGCTTTGAGGACAAGTAGAGGGCACACTTACCCTAGAATTCATGAAGATAAAGTACATTTGCATGAAAGTAAAGATCATCTGGAGAACGGGGTTAACGCCTTGGAGAATCTGATAGCAGGGTGACGTTGGTGGCACTTCAAAGAACGTGCCGAACTCCAGTCCGTTGTACACCATCGTGCCCAGGCCGAAAGCTTCAATGAAATTTATAATAGAAGCCTTTGCTTATGTCTTGGAAGCGATTTGTTTAGGAGCAAGCTGTTGAAAGCTCGAGTGTCCGTGCAATTTGATTTATCGTCGCGTGCGATTCGGTAATTGATTCGAGCTGCTGTATCGCGGTACCGGGTCATCGATTTAGCGCCGATTTTTTACGTAGATATCGCAAACGTTTGCTGTACTGATTTCGTGACGAACGATTTGATACTGGCGACGCTAAGCCGAAATAACGGCTAATTTTATTATGCCTGCGCTGTAGTTTCAATGAATGATAAACGAGTGCCATTTGACTTTCATTTACGCGTGAAGTTGCTGAATTTGTTAAAAATGATGTCGAAATGACGTCAATGTAAATCTCAGCGAGTTATCTACCGCAGCATCCTATAAAACTAGTCTGGTGAACGACAAGCACCGGTATCGCATCAAAAACATCAGCGCATACGTTTTACCTCTGACAGTTAACGGGCCCGCGAGATAGAACACCGTATAAATTTACGAGGCGAACGGGGGTGTGGAAGATAAGCATTCGCTCACCAATAGCACCAATCCGCAGGAAGAAGCTGCCATGGCTGGAATCATTCTGGGTGGTCTTGCGCCTTCTGACCGCGCGCGTGGCAACGCCAGCTTCCACATCCGTGGCGTCCTGAAATAAACGTTCCTGCGTGGGTACGATTAAAGCGCCAGTCGCATAAAAAAATCTTCAGTTTCATTTTCATTATCGATATTAACCGTCGCTCGGGAGAATTAGCGCGAGGTCGTTCGACGTCGGGAAGATATTTGTGCGTGCGTTTTCTATTTCGGGACACTATGTAACTTTGTTTCCGCCGCGAAATTTCACGCTTGCTCCCCCATAAAGTTTCGGTCGCGTTGCGTCACTTTCTTTCTTTATTCGCAGTTGCCCCTCGCGTGTGGATACAACGCTTCGCGGAAGGCATCAAGTCCAGATAAAGAGATCGTACGGCGGCTTTGCGCGAAACGGAAATAGAAAATCGCGCAATGGATAATTAGCAAATGCCGACCGAGAGTCGCGCTCAATTCAATCAGATACCTGAAACTCTTTCTTGTCTTTCTCCTTGTCCTTCTTGTCCTTGTCTTTCTTGTCCTTCTTGTCTTTCTTGTCTTTCTTATCCTTCTTGTCTTTCTTGTCTTTCTTCTCCTTTGGAGGTGGCGGTGGTGTCTCGGCGCGCGTGCAACACGCGCTCTCCTGCAGAAGGAAGCAGAAGACGTAGAGCAGGAAGAGGATGCTCACGCCGTACAGGTAAGTGAAGAAACCCTCGTAGTACCACAGTGGCAACCTGTGTGTTACCACCTCGCTTATCACGTACGCGATGCATATCACCACCAGTAGCTTGGCGTAGATAAAGCTCATTATTATGAACAGGGACGTTCTGCAAGTATAATATCATAATAGGCGCTTAGTTTCTTTATTTTTATAGTTCTTCTCGTGGTTTCGAACAAAAATCGCTGATGTTCCGGGTGCTCTAGGGAGGGAAGATTTCTTATGCACTTATTCAAATTCAGATATCTGAAGATCAGAGAAGAGAAAATAAATGGTTCACGTTTGTTTAATGGCATACGGGTATGTGTGTGGCCGAGAGTGAGAAGAGCTCAGATAAAGATTTTCACAAGATTTGTTTGACATCTCCGAGAAATTCAAACGCCGACATTTGAAAGAGGTTTTATAATGCACCATAATTAAGCCCGCAGCGAAGAGTTCTGAAATTGTGTCGTGCAACTCCTTCGAGACGAGGCGAGTCTCGGCGACACTCGATCGGCTTTCTCTCGCGCGACACAGGCCAACCATATATGCATCTCACCGTTTTTTCCTTGCAAGTCTCACTCGACTACTTCGTCGCCTGGACAGCGGTGTCGTTGGTCTATCTTCGTTCTCGACGAACGGCGCGATTTCCACTTCCGTGTTCGCCATTGTTATTGTTATTGCCCGATCGATTGTACTTTCGCACTACTCACAAAGTTTCTACTATTAAACTGGCGAGCGTCACCGGCGTTTTCCCCATGACGACTGCCGCCGCCGCCGCCGACAGCGTGGAGGCGTCTCCGAAAAATCTTTCTCTCTCCGTCGAGAGAGGAGTTGCTATTTTCGTGGGCGCGGGTTCTCTGTTTGTAAGCGTCTGCGTGTTATTACGCCGGCTGCATACGCGTGCCTCCTCGCTCGCTACCGAGTGGAATCTAGCGGCTGATAAAAGAGGCCTTTTAGCTGTACGACACTGATTCAATGCTCGTGTTTTTTTTATTCTCGCTTCCGTTTTGAATTTGAGGGAACGATCTTGGACTTTTTTTTCATCTGCTTGCTGTTATCTTTGCAAACTGTTGAAACTGTTGAATGTCCAGCAAGTTGAATTCATATTTTAATCAACAATTAATGAGCTTTCATAGTATATAATCTTAATCTTAATTATTAAATCAAATCAATCAACGGTATCTAATCAGCATTTCAAATATTAAAATCCCGAAAGTCAACAAATTGAGAAAGCTATCTAAAAGCCCTCGTTCTCTACCTCAATATTCTCGGCAAAGGCTCAAATCGAATTGCCACCCTCTCAAAAGTAAATCCGATATTCCTTCGCCAAAAAAGCAATAAAACTCGGTGGTCGCGCGCGTTCAACTACAATTTTTTCATCTCTCGCTCCAATGGAGTTTCCGAAATAGCACTTTTGAGAAGGCAGTAGACACACTTTGGCGGGCTTCCAATGGCATTTGCCGAGGATCGATGTACACACAATAATGCGTATTATTATGCGCTGCCAGAAAGCGTTTTACAAGCACACAGCTTGAAATATCACGAGCAACAAATTGTCATTTGTCAAAGAAAAAGAGAGAGAGAAGCAACATATCGTCGCGCACATATGTCTCCGTCAGGAGAGAAGCGAATAACGTAAAAAATTAATAATTCAACGGGAGTGGAAAAGGAGAGAGAGAGAGAGAGAGAGAGAGATCGAAAGAGTGAGGGCCCTCGCAGAAGCTGGGTTGGCTGGGTGCTTGGCGGTAATGACGGTGCGCGCGCCGCTCGCGTGGGTGTGGCGCGTTCAGCTTCGGTCTGCCTCGGCCAGGGGGGGGGGGGGTGCCGGCGCCGCTCGCTGCATCTTTGTCAACACAGAAAGCTGCCGCTGCAGCCTATGGGATGGCTCTCGCTGCGCGTGAATTTCGCGCGTGCTTATGGCAACTGACATAGACATTGAGGCGCGCGCGCCTGTTCTCTGAATAAAGCGCCGATCGAGTTTATGGGGGTCAGCGCGTCGTCGCCCTGAACTTTCACGAGCGCGTCACAGTTTTCTGCGCTGCCTTGCAGGCTGCTTGCCGCGCGCGCTCGATATATCCAAGTGCCTACTTTCCGCGTGCGCGTACCAAGAGAAAACCTGGCTTTCGGAATGGACTTTTTTGCGTGTCTCGCTCGCTCTCGCTCTCTCTCTCTCTCTCTCTCGCTCTCTCTCTCTCTCTCTCTCTCTCACTCTTCCTCTCCCTCGCCCGGATTTAACGGTCGCGACTCGAGGTTTTGTTTTCAGGTTAAGTAGTTCGAGTTGCAAGAGAAGTCAAATGTAGTTTCTTTTGATATGAATCGAAGCGCATTGTTGATCGTTTAATGGATTGTGCATCGTTGAGGTGCATTGTCGCGGCGAGATTGAAAGTACATTCGCTTCACAGTCGTTTATTTTCAGGACAAGTTTTCGCTCTAGCTGTTTATGATTTCACGTAAGCGTTAATTTGTATTCTCGTCAACGTGTTTACGGCTGTGTACTTTGCGCCCTCAAGGCTACGAGTTTTATGCAGAAATCCAAACGGCGAAAAATAAACGCGCACCCTTTGAAACGGTTATTTGCGTTGCCGGCGTTCTGCTCGTGCGCTCTCGACTCAAGACCTAGCGCGTGTCTTGCGCGCGTGTATCACGGTAATTATGCAAATGGTATACATTTCATCAAAGCGAGAGAGAGAGAGAGAGAGAGAGAGAGAGAGATCCATTACAACTTGTCCACCTACGCTCTCAGTATGCGCACGGACGCGCGTTCTTCGACTCGCGAAAGGGATTTAAATACCTATCCAGAGCGCGTGCGAGCCTACGACTTTCCGGCTTCGCACTTTTGCTTTGTTTCACTCTCGTTAATAACGCGTTTCCTCCTGCCTGTGCGCGAAACTAGTGCGCATTTCTCGGGCAACTCCGATCGCTGAAGTTCGCGCGCGGAAAAACAAACCGCTTGACCAAGCAAAGAAAGCGAGGGCACAATCTCTTTCTTATCTATCTCGAAAATAATTGCCGTAAGTTATATCTTGTCGAGAGCAGAGTAGAAAGCTGAGAGCCAAGAGATCGATGCTTGGGATATCAGTCGAGTGCTATGCACAGAGCGAGAGAGCGAGATAGTTGAATTTAGAATAGCCTCAAGCCGCTTGTCTCAGATTCGCAAACATTACTAATTTTCGCTTCGTTCACTCGAGTCAGCGCTTTAGCTTGATCGCGCGTCACAAAATGATCCAGCCGTTCGATCGGAAGCTAATTGTTTGGGCGAGCGCGAGGCACGAGAAACACAGTCACCGATTGGCACTCGGACCACGCATATCTCCCTCCGGCCAAATAGCCAGAAGGAAAAATGGATGTGCGCAGGCTGAGCCGCATCCAGCCTACGATATCACGATCACAACATTCACCGGTAAACAAAAAAAAACAGCGAGAGGAGCGCGCAGCGCATGCACCGCTCCGCTGGCGACAACGCGGCGACTGACTGCGCGCGCGCGTAGCGGGAAAGCGCACGCAGGTGACACTTATACGGAGAGAGAGCGGATGCTGACTCTGTGCCGCCGCTGCTGCACGGCGATATCGGTGTATATAGGGGGGCCGCCAGCGCTGCGAGTTCGAGAACAGCCGTATACGCGCGCTCGATCAATAACCGGCGAGTTGCAGCCAGCGGCGCCAGCGTCTCTTCGGCTGCTGCGAATGAATATCCGTGATTCCGCGTATAATCAGACGTGTCGCCCGTTACTTACGAGGCGACTCGATTTTCCGCGCACGGGGGCCTGCACGCGGAGGTGCCTGCTCGATGGATTTACGAGCTGCATTTCGGGGAGCAGGACTCGGTTCCGTTGCGGTTTTGTGCCACGATGAATTATCGGCTTTCAATTTTCAGTGATTACGAATCAGCGGGGATGGGTTCGCGATCGTAGTTTTTTCGCTACGAATCCGATGATGTTACGAAGGCTATTACGAAGGCCCGCGATTCCGTTTTTAGCTTCGTGTCGGGAACAGTCGATCCGGCCGGTTAACAAGTTTCAAGTAATTCTTACTGAGTTTTCATAATACGTGCTGATTCAATGGTATTCTGAAATTAGCTAGGCTATAGCTATCGACGGATGAGCGACCTCACTTATTGAGCCATAATATCCAGTAAACTGTTACCCATTCGATTCAATCGAATATAAATATTGTCGGTTGAGCTTAAACGGCACTAGAATGCTTCTCCGAATCTCCGATCTTGCTCTACTGAAAACAGACACGATCTTGCGCGTCGCAACAACAGCAATAACAACCAAAGACAAACAAATTTACATCGCGACGTATAAATTAGAAGCCAAGCGATTGTCAGCGAGTTCCCGACAGAGCGACCTTATTCCATGACGCGTGCAGCTGCCCGACGAGCGACCTTTTTCCTCTGGCGATAGGCGCGTCTCCCTCTCTCTCTTTCTCCGAGGCAATGTATATACGTATGTACGTCGAGCGTGTCCTTTCTCTCGCTCGCGAGCTACAAAGTCCCGTTCGATTTCGAGTGTAGAACGCGCATTCTATTTCCAGGCCGCCCATTGTCTCCCGAATCACCCTCGTTTCGCGGCTGGGGATGCGTGTCCTTGAGCTGGTTGTGCGAGCGTCGCGTCTTTGGTCGTTGCGTAACGAGCGAGCGACGCGGCGAGCTATTGCTCATTGAATAATTTAATAACCTTGCGTGCTCGCCGTCGACAATGGCTAGTTGTCGCGCTGCAGTTTCGAGCAATAATGCGCGCCGTTACAAAAACATGGAAACCTAATTGGTCTTGGCGCGCTCGCAACGCCAACGCGTTCAATGGAATCCTAAATAGGCCCTGCGGCCGAGAGTAAATTAGAATTCATTCACGCCGGATTTACTTTTCACCCCCGGACGGCTACGACAGACCAAGAGAAGATAAAGTAAGCCCTTGAACTTCCGACCAAATCATTATCTCAGCGCTCGTCGCCGACAACTTCGCCCCTCGCCGTTCCGCTTTTAGGTGAGCGAGCCGCGAACCAAAAATGCGCAGCCATGCGTGAAGGTGCACTTGGAGTAAGGTGAACTCGAATGAGTCCGGTTTTTTGGGAGTTTGATGGCGGGCCATACCACTGAAACTTTGATCGCCATGTTTGCATGAGAGAGGAATGACTTGTGGTGATGGTGCAGCGATGATCGTGCGGAGCGAGTCCGTGTAATTAGCCGCGTCGCAGTCGACATCGAGCCTGTTTGCTCTGCAAGCCAGCTAGTATTTCTATTTGCAGCGTGCGCACACGAGTCAATCGGATTGATCAAGGTTTATTCGTCGAGCAATTAATCGCTGGTCGGCTAAGTGCCCCCGCGCAAACGACCCGAGCCTCGGCGAAACGAAAAGAGGAAGAAAAGAGCCCGTGTCTCTCGTCGCCCTTACTTTTTAGCAGGAGTGGATCGGACGTTCTTCAACTCCATCTCCTTGTTCGCGGCGTTGTTCTTCTCGGCGTTATCCTGCGCAGGCTCGCCGCTCTGTGGATTAAGGGGTCGCGTCACGGGCAGAGTGGCCGTGTCGCCGCCGCCGCCACCTCCGCCATTGTTTGCCCCGCATGCTTCCACCTCCACTGTGGCTACTTTGCAATCACCACTACCCGGGATCTCTTTCTGCTCGTCCTTCTTCTTCTTGCCCATTGCACTAGTGAGCTGCTGTTGGCACTTGAATTAGACGACAGCTATAGTTGCCCTCGGCGTTTCGTCACACGGATCCGCTCTTCTTTTTGCTGGTAACTTCAGCTGGAGTTGATGGACTCGGGGAGTCCCCGGATTTGAGACTGCCGTTCTTTAAGATGGGCGTTCTAGCTGCAGAGATTTGTCAGAGTTTGCAAATAGTACTTTCGTTTTTTTTACCCTGGGCCTCGAGTAAATGGTCGTATGAAAGTTCATTGTCAAGTGGAACCTTCATTAGAATCATTTACTGAGATGGACCTTTTGAAAGGTCTTCACCACTACCACTACCACCATCGCCACTGCCACACACACGCGCTTACAAGAATGCAGCCAAATAACACACATTTCGAGCAAAAAAACTAACAATCCTAGTTTCTAAAAATACAAAATTGCAAGTGAAAAACCTCAGCGACTCTTCTAGTCTTTGTTTCAGTATGAAACGTGCGAGGAGTTGAAAGAATTGAATGCAAAGCTGCTACTATTCCTCGTTCGGAACTAAAGAATAATAAAAAGTATATAAAAAAATGGAAGAATCGCGCGTGTAAAGTTAGTGGTCGAGTGCGATAACGGTACGGCTCCTCCCGAATCCCGAAAAGAGAAAGAAGAGAAAGAATATTAGGCACGCGCTTGCGCCCTCAGGCCGCCATTTTGGTGAACTACTCGGCGATCCTGTTCCATCTTCTCTTACTCAGCAGGCAGATAGAGAGAATCGGGGTTAGCGAGCTAACTGCTGCTGCTTGAATTTTTCACGAGGCTTTGTATGGCTCAACTGGGTCGACTCACTCCGTCTCCCGCACCTCCAGCTTTAAAGACTAATTACTTGGGATGAGACTCCAAACGACAAGATTAAATTATGTTTTCGAGCGACGCATTAGTCGACGTAAAGCTTCGACTGTGATTAGACGAGGTTTTGCTAATTGAGAATGAACTGGAGTCAGGTATACAGGATCGAAGAATTTCACGTAAAAGCGTAAAGCTCGTAAAATGATAATGACGACTTATAGGTATGATAAAACATCGCTTCGTTGTCGAATTTCGAAACTGCCAAGGAAATGCCGATGGAACCTAGGATTCCACTTGTTCGCGATTATATAGAGCAACGCCTAGAAGAAAAGATCCGGCTCGAAGGACCAAAAAAGAAAGACAAAGATGGAATTTTGGCACGAAAAGCGCCGGGCGGTATGACCTCTAAAATATTCAAACCCAAACAAACCCTCTAAAAATAGGCTCGACTGCTTGAAACCTGTGCACCTCGCACACACACACACACACACACACACTGAGTCTCCGTCAGTTGGTCGCAGAGTAGGGAGGAGCGCGCATCCGAATCGATGAGGCCAGAGAGCGGGCGTCGAGGTAGCGCGCTCCTTCTTCTTTCAGCGTCCCTCTCTCGTGCACTACGGGCGTGTGCGACTCTCCCGATGAACGAATCCCGAAAATTGCTCACTTGACGACTTATAAAACCGAAATATAACACATTTTGACACTCTAATTGGCACTCGGAGCAAATTGGGTGTGGTGGTGGCGGTGGTGATAAGAGGGCGCGCCCTTAGCTTGGCACACACGTACACTTACGAGTGATAGAATGAGTGAGTGCGTGTGTGCGTACGTGTGTGTGTTTGTGTGTGTGTGTGTGTGTGTGAGAGTGAGGAAGGAAGATGGTGGTGGTGTGCTGTTGCCGCCGCTTAGATCAGCACCGCTGGAACCCGCGCAGCATCCCGATCCCTGACTGACTGAGGCTGGCTGCTGGCTTGTCGTTGCTGGCTGCTGGGGGAGAGAAAGCCCGGTCTCTCTACGCTCTTCCCCGGGCAGCTCTCTCGCTCTCTGCCACCCGCACAAGCGCACTAGGAGCGGCTCCCACTCTCACTCTCCCTATCTCTCTCTCTCTCTCTCTCTCTTTCCTCAGCCAGCCGAGGGATGCTGCGCTGTGCAGACCTGCCTACCCTGCCACTCCGTACAGGGACTGTATGCGTTTTTTTTTCTTTCGCGACAGTCTATTGGGGAGTGCATAGCTTTCTTTTCTTCTGTTTTTGCCGGCTTGCATGACAGACAATCTGATTTTTGACGCCACTGGTATTCATTTTCTCTTGCTTTCGAGTGTTTCTGCGTAATGTCACGGTCGTGGTGTTTTTGATGGGAGTTTGATTCCGCATGAACAAGATACTTGATGAAAATGTTATAATGCTTGGATAAGAAAGCTTCTCTTTCGTGTATCCAATTTTCTATCTTGCCAAGAGGAAAAACAATATTCGCACACCTTCAGTTTGAATTTCCGTTTCAACCTTCGCTAGAGAAATCCTGAGGCGTATGCTTTTCCCCTTTCCAAGTCAGACATTTGCAAGAGGATAAGAGGTGTCGATCGTTGACGTTTTAGATACCGACTGACTTGAGAGCCTTCTCGTAAATAATCTCTTGCGGAAGCAAACACATCGCTCGTCTTGATCCTTGCAAATTAATCATGTTCCGAAGGGCGACTACTACTAAAGTCCATAGGTGAACTGAACACGCGTAGCTTAAATTAGCAATTAAGATACATGAAACAACCCAGTATTCTTATCTCGGTCGTCGTCTCGGTTCGTTGTGTAACGGAGACAAATACTCTTCGTGAATTTTATAAAATTAGTTGCCAAGCGGGAGAATATTCCAAAAGCTTATTTAATTTCGCAGATATTTATAAAGGATTGACCCGCAGTAATTGATCATTTGCACCTAAAAATACTCGTAACACACAAATCGCAAATGTACACTTATATATCTGTATCTCTCTCCCTTCCAAGGTGATTTTTCATTGCGAAGAGGCGACATTCGATTTTCATGAGACTGTAATTTAATCCCTCGCCACACCCTTCGTCGGAATTTATTGTCTTCGACAACACAAATTAATCCAATATCTTTCGTTAATAAACTCTATATATCGGTTGGCAAAAAAGAAAAAAAAAAGAAAGAGTCAACGACTTTCGACGTGTATAGGTCCTTTGTTCTAGCTAGCAGGACACGCGAGAGCGGTGGACCATGGACGATGCTTGATTCTTTTTTCACGCGCGAATGCCTTATTGAGTTGGCCTCACCGGGTCGGGCATCTCCCTCTTGCTCTTCTTTTTTTCGCCTTTGGCTTTTATTGACTCGACTCTCAAGCATGCCAATGATGATGGCTCCGATTGAATTTGTTATGAATGTAACGTTGCCTGTTATTGGTGGATTGGATTTTATGGCACGTACGTTTGGACGAACTGAATTCTCTTCTTTTCTTCGATAGTAACAGGTGAGGTTGATCAGCCGACTAGGGAATTTCAATGTATAATGGATTTATTTGGGTTATTTTTTATACATGAGCGTCTCTGATAGATATTTTTATAAAAAGACTAATATTTTCTGATCGGATTCGTTATTATTTTATAATATTTTATATATACACCAGCTGGAGATATCTTTTAGTGGCTAAAAAATATAAAATGAAGTTCATTTTGTGTGGTCATTTAACATTCATGCAACCATAATGCTCTTCAAATAGCTTTGTACACATTTAAAGACATGCATATTTTAGGTTCACGTCTTCCTCTTGTGGTAAGTTTTTCTTGTGCAAAGGCAAGTAAGCTCTTGAAAATTCGACAAATAAAAAATTTAATTTACAACGAGCAAGACTAATTTACAATGAAGAAATTCTCGAACAGATCCATTTCTCAATTTTCTTCCAGATAGATTTCTCACTTGCACAACCTGGCCACGGCAAGCGCTATACTTATTCTGTTTATACAGCAGCCGTTCGTTATAACCAAAGTCAAAGTTCAACAAAACTTTGGAGGGGGGTGCGTGGAGTGGCACAGCAGCAGCTACTCGAGCCTCTAGTTGCTGCTACTTCGACTGAGCTTCGTTAAAGCCGCGAATCGGCCTTTTCATCAAATCCTAGAAGCGAAAAAGCTACTGTGTAGCTCTACTATAATGCCCTGTTTCCTTTTCTTTCCTCGATCTTAAGACGACATATATTGAGTCATGGTGGTGCTTGTCGCTTGTGATAAATTTTGCATTTACTATGAGAAACATTCGGCTACTATGTTTTTATCGCTGATCATTAGAGTCGAGAAGCCGTATAAATAAGGTACGAAAGGCTCTTTTTTTCATGAGTTTTTAGAGATTCGGTGACCTAAAAATCACAGCCGCGTCACCGGCCTATTTCTACAGGCTACAGGCTTTTAACTGGAAACTCGTGTTTTCTGCAAGCTGCAAAATTTAAGCTTCTACTTACATTCGCTTGAATTTTTCAGAAAAAGAATCTCATTTTTTTCCCTTCAACTTTGCAGCGCGAATGCCTTTGAGCTTGTTATATATAGAAATCATATTCGTGAAAATCCAATGGTTTACAAAAATAATAATGCATCGTATTAGGGTCTTTGTCAAAACACATTATGTTTGAAAGACGACTTATTTTGGTTGGAAATATTATGCAAAATACAATTTCATCGCAACATTTTCAATTTCTCCTCGATGACAAAGCCAAACAATTTGCCTATGGCTAAATTCACTACTATCTGACGCAAGCAAATAAAAGGAAACAGAAAAGAACCATGCCTCATAAAGAACTAAATTCGAAAGGTTCAAAAGAGGTTGAAGAGGTATTACAACAAAAATTTACTAGAAAACAAGCTTTCGTTCTTGCAAATGACAAGAATGGCCGGTAACCTTGCTCTAGATCGACAGAACTATCTGTGACAAAAGGTGTGGATCTTTAGGCCGAAAGAAGAAACAACAGAAACAGAACGAGAGAGGCAGTCGGTCCGTGGTAGGAGCAGCTTAGATAGCTGTTGAAGGGGGCGGCGTCGCGACCCACTGACCCGCTCGATAACGTTGCACCGCGCTACCACCCAGGTCAGTGACCCCCCTCCCAGCCAAATGTTATATACCCATGAGAGAGAAGAGGGGATGCGCGCGCCCAGCTTCCGGTATAACGAGAGAGAGAGAGAGAGAGAGAGAGAGAGAGAGAGAGAGCAAGAGACCCGCCCCACCCTACTCCGATTTCGTCGACGTTTGCACTATGTGTATTGACTGTATAGCCTTCTTTGTTTTTTTTAGTTTGTCTTTTTGTTCGTGGACGTCTGCCTACTCCGATTCTTCTTCGACTATCGATCTGATAAAAGGGATGCGGCTGGACATTGCTAATTTTTTTTTCTCTTTTTCGCGGGAGAAGAACTGTACCGGTCGATATTCATCGCTATGAATTTCCGATAAACGTTTACTGCGTGTTGCGGCGGATCTGCGGAGTTATAAATTCCGAATAATCCGGTAATTAAGTTGGTAATTTACGAATTCGCGAAAAAAGCGTAGCACACTCATCGACGAGAGTGAAAAATGCTACGGCGACAGCATTCAATATTGACCTAATAATTATTCTCGATTTGCATACTAGACAGATTCTTTTTCTAAAAAACATTCAGGCATATGAAAGATCAAGCGAGGGGGAAAAAAGTGCGGCATCAATATTTGAATGTCGGCGTTTTACGCGTTGAACGTGTGTACGTGTAAGTGCGCGGAGGGGGCAGGGAGGGAGGTGTCAAATATTTGTCTGACTAGGTACGGCTGTTACTTCACTGAAACGCAGGTCGCACGTATACGTTGCAGACATTGACCTCTCCGAGTGACGTGCTATTGCTGCTGCCTCGTAAAATCTGATACTTTCTTTGTCGGAGCTTCATGCTAATTACCTCGTAAATCGTCCGGATTAATTGTCGACTAAGTAGGTAGTCGGTCACGCCAGATCAACAAGTTTTATTTTTCATTTCACATTTCGAATTTGACGATATGTTTTTCAAATGGAACTCACTCCCGAGCTTATTTCGATATATTCTAAACAGCGTTATCCGCGCGGATTAAATTCTAAATTCTCGAGAAAATAACGAACTCGCATGTCGAAGCAATCCCCCCAAGTGACTAGCATCTTTTATTCGCTGGGCGCTCATTGAATTGCCCTCCGACTAAAAACAGCCTATCAACCGAAATTCTTGCGGCCGTTCTCCCTCAGAATAATAAGATAATATCGATCTGTCGATCCTTCAAGACCATTGGCAGATCGTCCTTCGAGAAATACCGAGAATGTCAGCAAACATGTTAATCCGACTGCTCTATATCGCCTTTCGAGGATTGCAAAGAGCAAACTGTGCACGCACCGCCAAGTATTGATTGCGAGCTACCAGTGCTGCCACCGCCCGGCGAGTGCTAGCGTCCTACGAACTAAGCGCCGTCTCTCTTCCCCCATTATGCCCTCCAGCGGACCGACCACCCTCTCTCTTCAGTTTCGACTTTTCGCGAGTTTCGCGTTGGCGGTTGTTAATTAATTAATTGCTCCTGCATTCAGAATGCTACTTCCCTGCGTGTTCAGACGGTTTGCCAGGACTTGTGATTGGTCCTGATTGCTTTTGGGCAAACGAAAGACGCGCTTTTCTCGACGCACGACGTAGCACCTTCAATTCATAATAAGCAGTTTTATGCGCCTTGCATCGCATTTCATAACCGAAGTGCATTAGCGGAAAATGAATCCAACGGAGCCGAATGAATCTTTCGATACTCTTGCTTCTTTCCGCTCATCGTAGCATCCATTTATCACGATAACATTAGCGTTATTTTATGATCATTCCCTCTCTCTCTCGTAATTTTATACTGATTGTCGATTGTCGCTCGGGAGAGGAATGAACATTTTCATTTGCAACGTTATTATTGGGGAAAACATTTCTTTTTTCCACAACGTCAGTCACCGACGCATTATATGTATGCGCGTTCGTGTAATTCACTTCG